GCAGCGGAGCCGCCGTTGGACCAAGTTCGTAGTAGTGGCGATAGTTAACATCCCCCAGTGGCGGGATGTTAACTACCTCGCCTGGTGTACAGGAGGTCGCGGGGTCCATCTCAACCCTGACGCCTGCTGCTGTATATTTGGAGTTTGTGTGTCTCTCTCTCCCCGTGGTCATGTGGATTTTTCTCCGGGTGCTCCGGTTTTTTCCTCCACATTTAGAATGAACATCACGCGTTTAGAGTATTTGGCTGCTATAAATTTCCACGTCATAAGCCACTTTGTTGAGCTATCATTTGTGATAGGCAGGTTGCGTCTAAAAAAGAGCTACATAGCTCAGTGGGCCTTCACTGGTAAAATTAAAAAGAGTTTTGTTTTAAATCGTAATGCAGCACCATAAAAACTTGTTATAACCCGTGGTGTGTGCGGCTGCCCTTTGTCGATCTGCTGCTGGATGAAGGCCTCCCCAGTTGTCCGTGCTTCAACACAATGGTCATTGCGGGTTGTTGAAGGACGGGGCTGAAACATCGCCCGCCACCGACGTTTGCCGGGAAATCGAAGACGGCACACCGGGCTTATCACGCGGTGCGCTAACCACTTTGCCGCCGCTCCGCCATTTAAAGGAAAACGTCATCCCGCAGAATCGTATTTTGGGCAGCCTGCTCTCGCCACGCTGCCTCCCACGGGCACCGCATCGCATGCGACGCTCCCGTCTCTCTTGCACGATCCCGCAAACCCGTTGGGCCCGCGCTCGGGGCCGCGCTCGCTTCGCTCTCGCGTCGCCGGTCCATCCTGTTAGGGGAGAAGCTGCGCCCAGGCAGCGCTCGGGCTGGCTTTGCCGCACGCACACACGCACACACACGCGCACACACGCGCGCACACACACGCACACACGCGCACACACGCGCGCGTTCCGTGCCGTGCTGTGGCGTGTCGTGGCATTGCCGTGGCGTGCAGTTGCACATGATGGTTTATACGGAGGGTAAAAGTTCAGCGCTCTGTTTAGCGATCGCGCGACTCGCTGGGAAGAGTTATTCTCGTCGCATTTTTGCTGTTTTTCGTGGGGTGGGGGGGTTTTCGCGAGCAACTTTGGATTTCTGCGGGGATTTTTTTTTTTGCACGTTGGAGAAAATATTTATGATATCGCCCCCCTCTTCTACTCCCCCGCCCCCACCGGCCTGGCCCGGCCCGGCCCGGCCAGGCAATAATTTACTGGTTCTGGAAGGTAGTTCACCGCGTGCAGTTTTTTTGCGTAGTGAATTTTATTGCGGTACCGGACGCATCGTCGTCAATGTCGTTGTCGCCGCCGCCGCCGCTGTGGAATTGACACACCGCCGCCTGCATCCCCTGCCCTTTGTTCGCAGCCACGAGTCGTGGTTATCGGACGGTTGCTGCGGTAGTCGCGCTCTCCCCGGTATATTCTTCGTGCGCCTTCCGTTCGAATGCGGACGCTCGCTTCCTGTTGGTGGGGTACGAATGTTCGCTGCTCTGCTGCATACGCCGTGTCCCCGGAATACCGGGTTAATTCCGGGACGGAGTGCCCCGGTATATATCCATTTCCTTAACAAAATCAAGCCCGTTGTTTCCACGTGGGCCTGTCAGAGGCCACTTGCGGCTTGTAATACCATTTACTTTGTTTCGTTATAAATCCTGCATGAATCGATGAAAAAAAATACATAAAATATGGAAAACAATTCCATCGATCCCACCAAATAACACAATTCTAAAATGCACAAACTAGTCTTGTAATAATTTAAACTTGTAACGCTGCGCCGCCACCACACAGTGTGTGTATGTCCAATTCCTTTTTCCACCGTACGCAGCCAACCGTGCTAATTGGAGGTGCGGGGGAAGGACCACAAACTAAAAAATAAAAGCAGTTCTGAAGAAATGAGTTTAAAATCTATGTGATGTAACGCTGCATAGCTGTAGTGGCTTGCTAATATCGGAAGGAAGAGAGTTCCAGACGGCCACAGAAGCGCACCTGAAAGCGCGCGGTGCAGTGACCGTCTTTGTTCGATGGTTAGTGTCGTGGAGGGCGAGCGACTCCTCTTGCGGTGGTAATCGGTGAGTGCGTGTTGAGTGAGTGAGGCTTTGTCTGGTGGGGTAAGTAGGAGTAGTGATGCGGTGTGAGTAGGAGAGCGTGTACGTGTGTTTGTTGAACTTCTTTCGCACCGTACATAGCCAACCGTGCTAATCGGAGGTGCGGGGGAAGGACCACAAACAGAACACAAAGCAAGCTCTAAAGCAATGAGTTTCAGTGCGCATAGCTCCAGTCGCTTCCCAATATCGGAAGGAAGAGTTCCAGATCGCAGGCGAGCGTGAAGGCAGCAGTAGCTACGCCGTGAGCGGTGAGCTGGCAATCGGCGAGCTCTGCGGCCCTCGACACATTAAGAAGTTTGCGGCCACCGCACGAGTGATTATCACACATACACACGTGTGAGGAGGCCGGAGCGCCTGGAGGAAACTAAACTAATCTCTTTATATTTTCCCAGTTCCGACCCACCGAGCTGCACAGCTCTTTTTCAGAAGCGACCTGGTCACAAATGATAGCTCAACGAAGTGGCGTATCACGTGGAAATTCATAGCAGCCAAAGACTCTAAACGCAAGACCCAGAGGAAAATCCACACGACCACCGGGAGAGAGACACGAACACTCCAAATATACAGCAGGAGTCGGGGTCGGGATCGAGCCCATGACCTTCTGTGTTCCAAGCGAGACTGTTAACATCTCGCCAGCGCGGCGCCCCTTGTTCGAACTTGGCAGACGTGCGTAAACACGCCGTTCGCGTGACGGTTCTTGGGTGGGCGTCGGCGGAGAGATGAATGTCCGCGGCGAGCAGGGCACTCGTGAAGAAGGGAGGCGAGGGTCGTGTCGTCGTTTACAGTTTCGCCGTCCGATTCGGGATTCGGACTAACTGCGGTCAGAATGGATGGCAAAAAAGCTGAGGGGAAAAATGACAGAGCAGGTGTTCCGCAGATGAATGAAACGATCGCACCTCGACTCCGTTGTACGTAAACCCACTCAAGACTTGCACCGGAACCCAACTACAAAATAATAGAGCGGAAAAAAAATTAAAGGATAGTTACAAATTATACAAAGAGAGGATAAATCCCATTTGTAAATTCACGGGCATTTTTCAAAATCCTTACGCAATCGATAGGAGCCCCCCAACCCCCACGGCCTTGTGGGTGGTCTGTTGACGGAGGGCGTCATGTGCCCGCTCGTGCGCTTTGTAACTCGCTCGCCGCTCCTCGTCCGTCGCCTCCCCCCCCCAGCCCCGGCTTGGCCGCGCCGGTGGCCCCCGCTGCCTCGCGCTCGCGGCAGACGCGAAATTAAATCGTGGCGTGGCGTGCGGACGTGCGGGTGTGCGCGTGCGAGAGTCGTCGCCACCGCCACGGTCACCGCCGCCGCCGCCGTGCGCCGGACGTCATCCGTCCTGCCGCGCTCCGGCCTGCGCCGTGCAGCAGCTTGGTGCCAAGTTGGCACCGATCTGGGCGGGGTCCTCGGTTGACGCGAGCAGTTGCACTTCCCCCACCAAGCCGCCCCCCCCCCCACCGAGTTCGTCACTGTTGTGGTGGTCGTCATCGTCAACATAATCCACAGCCATGATCTATCCAATGCTGGACGAAGCTGTCTCTCGCGGTCAAGCAGCGCAGATATCCAGCTCTATATTCTTAGGTTTTTTCGGTAAAGTCACGTAGGTAAAAAAATAAAAATTAATAACAGTAAAATAAAATAAAAATCACGACGTTTCGGAGGCAACACAAGCTTACGTCGTGATTTTTATTTAATTTTTATTTTACTCTTATTAATTTTAATGAAAATTTTTTTACCTACGTGACTTTACCGAAAAATCCTAAGACATATGAATCCTTGCAGTCATGAAAGCTTCAAATCTAGAAATATCCAGCTCTGTCTCTTGCTTTTCGTCTTTCCGTCTCCGCGGAGGGTCTAAACCCCCCCCCTCCCCTTCCAGTGCTCACCCGTTTGTGGGCGGATACGAGGCAGTGGTGGAAATTCCTCATTCCCACGGCAGGGGTCACGCTTTTCGCGTTGGGCGGCCGCGGTTGGTGTATTCGTCAGGCGTGAATGGCACGCCGCTGCGGTTCCCCGTATACACCCGGAGTGTGCGATGTGTGGCCAGCCAAAGGTGTCCTGTTCGGCCCTCCGTGAGGAATTGTTTCCTTCCCCTGCTGTGCATGGCTGCTGTGAGCTGTACCGGTTGTGGCCTGTTGGTCAGTCTGTCTGTGTGTGTACTTCATAGGTGCTGCTTGCTAACAGCACTTGCCCTAACAGTCTGTTAAGGCTAAACGGGGGATCTTTGTATTTGTGTACTTTTGGGTGGATCGGCAGTGCAGCGATTCCTCGATCTCCCCGAGGTCGACTCGGCGTCAAGGAGTACTTGGGACAGTGTGTAAACATCGCTACTGGGGAGACAAAGGCAGCCGGGCGTGGTGCTGGCCACCCACCCCCTTCGTGTGCCGTGTTGGCCTTCACAGGTGCTCACGAACAGCACTTGCCTCAAAAGTCTGTTAAGGCTATTGGTGAGGGGGGGATCTTTGCCTTTGTGTCTATGTGTGTTTGTGTCCATGTACAGCCGCGGGAGCGGGAGTGTAGCGGTTAGCGCGCTGCACTACGAACCCGGCAACCCGAGTTCGATTCCTGCTCACGGCCAACACCAGTGATGATTATATTATCTGACCTGGTCCTGGGCCTCCACTAGGTCGACTCGGCCTCAAATGATTACCTGGTGCGGTGTTTAAACATCGCCAATGGGGAGACAAAGGCGGTCGGGCGTGGTGCCGGCCACCCACCTTCTCGTGTGCCGTGCCAGCCTTCATAGGTACTCGCTAACAGCACTTGCCCCTACAGTTTGTTAAGCCTATACGGGGGATCTTTGTCTTTGTACAGCCACCATATATCCAATGATTAATTTCACACGTGTGTGTGTGTGTGTGTGCTCTGCGTTTATCCATCTCCTTTCACCCGTGCGTGTGCACAGTTGACATTCGCGAGATCAAAGAAATCAGGCCCGGGAAAAACTCGCGCGACTTTGAGCGGTACCAGGACGAGGCACGGAAGGTGGACGCCTTGCTGTGCTTCGTCGTCCTCTACGGCACCGAGTTCCGCCTCAAGACCCTCAGCATCGTCGGTGAGCGTCGCCCTTCCCTGTTCGGCATTTTTTTTTCAAACAAGAGCCCATTATAAAGCACGAGCGGATGACGATCAGAATCCAGAACACGTTCCTTCGGAGTGGGCAGGTAGGAACTTGGTTGGACAGCGCATTCGTGCACGACAGACAGACAAATAATCCCTGGTAGGCAGTGTGGAACCTGTTGTTCCTACCTGTATAAGTGTAGTGTATCGTGTAGTGTATAGTGTAATGTGTAGGTTAAACGTTGAGTTTTATAAGGGCACCACGGATTGACCAGCCCCTCTCCACCCAGATCCACCCCTCCCACCCAGCTCCATTTTGTGAATGAAACATCGTCCGTCTCCTCATTGGCCCGAGTCGCGGTGGTCCCCCCCCCCACCACTAACACCCCCCTCTATCAACCCCAACCCACCGCTCCCATTGGTCGGCACCCCAGAGCCAATGGGAGGGCTCTGGTGGGGCGGGGCTATGCACGACAGACAAATAATCCCTGGTGGGCAGTGTGGAACTGTTGTTCCTACCTGTAATATTTATTTATCCTGGAGGAATCCGATGAGCTATGAAGCTCTTTTACTCACGAATGTACAGTGAAGGGCACAGATCCAGAACGTTAAAACCAAAACAAAGTTAGGAGCACAAAGAATCGGAAATGTAATAAAATCGTACAAAAATATATAGACAAATAAAACAAAACTATTTTTATTTCACCAGGTAAAGCCCGCTGAGTCGACCTTCATTTTCAGAAGAGACCTCGCCACAAATGATAGCTCAACGTTAGTGGCTCAGCATCGTGTGGACATTTATAGCAGCCACGTCATCTAAATAATGCGAACGCCCTAGGCCAGGTCGCCACGGGGCGAGGGGAGGGAAGGGCGATTGGGTTCACTGCCCCCCTACTCGCGTACGGGTAGCGGTCGGGAACGTGGTAATTTTATGGGAAGCAGAGTGAAGGGGGGGGGGGAGTTAGAGATAATGTGCTGAGACAACCACAAAATATAATAACGGGGACGCAGCGAGTCAACTTGTTGTGTTGGGAGTCTATCCCCTGTGTATGGGATGGCGTGTTGGGAGTCTATCCCCTGTGCATGGGATGGCGTGTTGGGCGATTAGTCCACACTTGCTATACTGCCCTCTCCCGACGAGCCAGGGTATGGGAACCTGCTCCACGCCCGCAGGAACAACATTTGCGTGGTGGTCTCCCAACCCTCTCACAACCTCCGATTTTAGCTCTGTCGGCTACGCACGGCGCGATAGAAGCCACGTGCGTGGCCACCGCCGCCCGCACCTTTGTAGGTTCACCGTCGTCGTCATCCTCCTGCTGCAGCGAGCGTCGTGGGCTGGATGCGAGAGGGACGTGCGTTGTGTGTCGTGTGTCAGCCGACAGCAAGGAGGAGGCCTCCGTTTGGGTTACGGGACTCAACTGGCTCCTGACGGACACTCTCTGGGCTCCGACCGCGCTGCAGATAGAAAGGTGTGACGATCGCTCGCTTCCCTCGGGGGTGGGGGGGGGGGCGCGTGGGGGGGGGGGGGGAGTCGGAACACGCGGAGGCAAACGGGGGGGGGGTGGGGGGGGTGGGCTGCGCTTTGCGGCTGGAGGCGTGCGTCCCGAACGCCTTGGACGGTGTTATGTTTTTCGTCCGTATCGCCGTCCGCTGGGGAGGAGTCTTGCTCAAGTCGGAGCGCTTTCTGTCTCGCTTTAGATCCCCGATTTTTGATCTGACGGCACGTGGCAGTTTGCAACCTCCTCTTCTTGCTGCGTTTGCTAACCAGAGTCAAAGTGACCCCCTTCTCCCCCGCTTATGCGAGCACCGAGGCAGTGCTCGGCTCCACTTCACCGCCCTAAGCCGCTCGAGGAAATTCCACGTTTCTATGGCAAGGGCGAGTCCTGCCCACAAAGTGTAGCAGTAATTTTATTAACGCCCGAGGGTTGATGGAGGCAGTCAACCCTCAAGCGGGATTCGAACTCTCGACCTTCTGATTGCGAGCCGCTCGCTCTCCTGCTCGGCCACCCCGGCGAGGATAATGCCGGTGTCCCACGCTCGTTGCGTTACCAATGTCGGTACGGCATCTTGTTTATTCTAGGATGTGTCTGTTACGCGTGGTCGCTTTAAGATGTTCTGTGTTCATATTTAGTTTGTTGCGGTTGCACCCGACTTAAGAGCTGCATGGCTCACAGGGCTATACCTAATAAATGAACTTGATCTGCACGATGCCTCTCGGCTACCCTAGTCTTGCGGACGAGAGCTGGTCCAATTAGCACGGTTGGCTATGTACGGTGCAAAAGAAGTTCAACGTTGAACTTCTTTTGCACCACTATGGGAACCTCATTTGCCAGTAAAAATATGATAATTGGTTTTTTACCCTTCTATCTGGCAACAAAACTGACACCTTTTTACAAGGAGTCATGTTTGCATAGACCGCAATACCTGCAGTCATAATACAAACAAAATACAAACAAAAGACATAACTCTGATAATGTGCACTGTCCTTGAAGTTGATTGGTCCACACCCGAGACAGCTTTACTTAGAGCCTAGTCTCACATGGGTTGGACCAGATGACGCCAAAAGGTGCACAACTCAAAGACAATGCACCATCAGAGTATGAGAGCTCGGGGCAAGCATCTACACTATGGGAACCTCATTTGCCAGTAAAAATATGATCATTGGTTTTTTACCCTTCTATCTGGCAACAAAACTGACACCTTTTTACAAGGAGGCGTAACGGGTAGCGCGCTGCGCTATGAACCTGGCGACCCGGGTTCGATTCCCGCTCATAGCCAACACCAACAGTGATGATTATCTGAACCGTGCTGGGCCTCCCCTATGTCGACTCGGCCTCAAATGAGTACCTGGTGCAGTAGTGTGTAAACATTGCCACTGGGGAGACAAAGGTGGTCGGACGTGATGCTGGACACCCACCCCCTCGTGTGCAGTGCCGGCCTTCATCGGTGCTGCTCACTAGCGGCACTTGCCCCGGCAGTCTGTTAAGGCTACAGGGGGGAGGAGCAGGTGTTGATCTTTATCTTTGTTGTTTGATTGTCACCTTACAGGTGGCTGAGGAAGCAGTTCTACGCGATGGACAGGAACCGGGGAAACGGGTGCGTCCGCGTCACTGCGGTTCTCGCGTTATCGCCCAGGCGTGTCGGGTACCATCCGAGCGGTCGGACGGTCAGTCGGCCGGGCATCGGTTGGCCCGCGGATCGGTCGCGGGTCGGCCGGCGGCCGGTTGGCCGATGGTTCGCCACGGGTCGGTCGGCCTTGGGCCTGCCTTCGGCCGGCCGCGGGTCGGCCATCAGTCGGCGGCCAGCCAGGGTGTGGTGTGTTCCGACCTTTTTTATGTTCCCATGAAATCGCCGGTTCCGAGAACCCAGAGGTTTTGTGAATATCCGCCCTAAACTGGGCTAATACGAGGTGGGGGAGGCGGGTGTACGTTTGTGTGTCACAGGCTGGCAAGGTACCCGGCGTCTCTTCTTGAAGTGGGCTCATTCGGTTTGCTCTAATTCGTTGTAGTGGGGTGTGGGCAGGGGGTACAGCTGGGGGGAGGGGGTTTAACAATTGAACAGGAAAAGGTTTTGAGAAGCGGGCCGTGATCGTCGGTGGGCGCCGCGCGATTGGCAGTCAGTGTGTACCCCCCCCCTCACCACTGCCGTGCGAGAGCCTCACTTGCGTGCTGCTCCTTTCCCATTGGATGGGCGTCAATTCCACATTCCTATGGAGGGGAGAGGTAGCGTCGAGTCTCTCCTGTCGCACGAACGAGTGCGTTGTTAAGGTCGCCCGTTGTGGTAATGCAGTGCTTGCGAGGCAAGGGTTGGTGGGTCACGCTTGCGTACATTCGCGAAACGTTCATGTCAGCTGTGGGATGCAAGTTTTGTCCGGCAGGCGGGTAGTTCAGTAAGTGGCGTGGCGACGTTGAAACCTGTCTGTGCGCGGACCTTTTGCGTGTTATATTACCCCAGTGCACCGTGGGTTTTCTCCTGCCACTGCAGTTTTCCCTCGCGCATGTGAAACGCTCTTTCATAACGTCGTGCAGGGTTACGTCAACGGACGTCTGCACAAGCCCCGCCTCCCCCACCCAAAGCCGCGTACGTGAGTCGGCGATTTCTGTGCCGGAGCGGATGTTAAACCTGTACTAAACGAAAAACTAAACTATTTTTTATTTTACCAGGTAAGTCCCCACTGAGCTATGTAGCTCTTTTTCAGAAGTGACCTGGCCACAAATAATAGCTCAGCGAAAGTAGCTTATCACGTGGACATTTATAGCAGGCAAGTACTCTAAATGCGCATTGATTTTAAGTGTGGAGGGAAAAACCGGAGGACTTGGAGAAAAATCCACGCGACCATGGGGAGAAAGACACGCAAACTACAAATAATACGGACATCAGGGTTGGGATTGACCCACGATCTCCTGTATACCAGGCGAGGTAGTTAATATCTCGCCACCGCGTGTTTGAAGCAAAATAGGAACGGCTCGCACATCTGCACGAATTATTTTTCTTTTTTTCTTTCCCTCTTTGTTCAGTTTCGGGCTGGAAAAGACGGAGAATAGCGGCTGGAAATGTTTTTCTCTCTCTCTCTTTTTTCCCCTTTCTTTCCACAATCCCAAAAATAGGACAAAGGAAATCTGTTCCTTGCTGATAACACAGCAGTGCAGGAAGGGATCTTTTTTATCATGGGACTTGAAGAGTTGAGAGAGGGGGTTTTTGTGCGCATGGACAGGAAGTAGCTACGCGATGATTGACCCCCACTCCCCGCGTGATTCCGCGTGCGACCACGATTCTGGGGTAACGATTCAACTAAAAACTAAAGGCAGAATTTTACCAGCTAAGGCCCACTGGCCACAAATGATAGCTCAACGAAGCGACTTTTCACGTGGAAAGTTATAGCGGCCAAATACGCGCGATGTTGATTCTAAATGTGGAGGGAAAAACTGGAGGACCCGGAGAAAAATCCACATGACCACGGGCGTCAGGGGTTGGGATCAAACCCACCGCTTCCTTGGAAACCAGGCGAGGTAGTTAACATCTCCCCACTGGTGCCCTCGCCACCGTGGTGATTCTATGCACACTATAACTTGTGCATTGGATTAACAGTCAACAGTGGCTTCAAGCGTCCACAGCAAAGGTGCAGTCCCTGCAATTACTTGTGCGCGCGACTGCCGTCGGAAGGGCCTAGTGCTGGAGTTTGCTCCTCTACGGGGTATTTAGCCGACCCATTCCATGCTGAACCGGCGTTTTTGGAGTTGCCCACGCGTTTTTACCCCGGCCTTTTCGAGCCTGTTAAACGCCGTTGCGTTGTCTGCAGGGTGAATCGCAAGGACCTGAAGGCCATGCTGCCGCAGCTGAACTTCAAGTTGCCGAACACGCGGCAACTGCGGGACAAGTTTGCGGTAACCCGCGACGGCCGCGCTGTCGCTCGCCCTCCATCGCTTTACCGTCGGTTCGGAGTTCGGGAAGTGACTTGGCGTTCATAAGCTCGGTTACGTCGCGTGACGAAATCCGCTCGCCGACGGCCGCGATGAAGTCCCACGAAGGTTAACGATCATCCGCGTGCTTTGCGTGTTGCACAGCAACAGTTGAGGTCCCATTGTCATTCCACTGCTGGATGACGGGCTCCGCACCGCGTGACGTGCCGATTGTTTGGCCCAAGGTTTTCTATTAAACCTTCCTTCGTGTGAGCACACAACAAGTGAGATTAACACACAGTAGGCTTTCGCGACCAATATTATCCATAATGGAGGGTGATGATGTTAGTTGTAATGACTGGCGAAACGTCGTACTCGAATTGAATATGCTGTGGGTTTACTCTCCAACACACCGGCGTGCTGAACTCGTAACAAATCGGCACATTTTGTTAACGTGACAAACCTTAATAATTAGCCGTGTCGGGTGGTGGTGGGTTTAACGACACATTAATATTTACGCGATCTAACCCAACAAAAAAACCTCTTGTGAACACAGCGAGCTCTTTTTGTTCACAACAACAACAAAAGTATGCTCGCGCACATTTATTTTTTTTCAAACACAAATGTTTAGTTTTTTTGTTAACGTTTTTTGCAGGAAGTGGAAGCGAGGAAGGGGGAGATTTCCTTCACGCAGTTTGTGGCCTTTTACAAAAACCTCATGTTCGACGCGCAAAGATCGGTGAGGCTCCGCGGGAATGTCTGCGCGCGCTCGCCCGGCCTTCACGGCACGCGCGCTCACCCATGCTTTACCGGGCGCGGTGCCGTCGACCTGTGAGCCGGCCGGCAGCGGCGGCGGTGACTAAGCCGCTACAATACGTGGCCGGCCTCCGTGAACCTACTGCCGTGGAGGCAGCAGGAGAGGGTTGGCGGATCGCACACCGATGATGTTGCGAAACTCCCTTGCCGTGGTCGTCGCGGAGGTGCGCGCCGTATGGCAGTACGGCAGCAGTGTGGACTCCACCTGTTCCTTCCGTGTGGGATTAAGTGTTTCCCCCTCGCACGCGTGGGTGCTCTGGTTTCCTCCCACGTGTATGATCACTCATTAATTGACCGATAACACCGTCATATACAGAGGGCCACTGAGCTTCGGCAATTGTTGGTGCCGGCTCAACGCGTGGCTGCTGCTGTTGCTGCTGATGCTACTGCTGTTGCTGTTGCTGCTGCTGCTGTTGCTGCTGCTGATGCTGCTGACTGCTGCTGTTGCTGCTGCTGTTGCTGCTGACTGCTGCTGCTGTTGCTGCTGTTGCTGCTGCTGCTGTTGCTGTTGCTGCTGCTGCTGTTGCTGTTGTTGCTGCTGTTGCTGCTGCTGTTGCTGCTGCTGCTGCTCTCTCGCTGGTTGTCTGTGGTTCCCCCTCGCGCACCTCCCGTGTCCTCTCTTTTCGAGAGCGAGCACATCCTCTGCGGTGCGCTGCAAGTTGGGGGTTGGCGGCTCTCGCAGACACATTAGGACGAGGTGGCTGCGATGGAGCTTGTTGACGTTGTCGTGGTCGGCCTTCGGCTTCCCACTGCTGTCCAAAAGCCTCCCTCCATTTTCTCCCATTTCTATCGTTCCTCAGTTGCTTGTGCCACAAGTGGCGGAATGTTAATTCCCTCGCGTGGTATACAGGAGGTCGTGGGTTGGATCCCGACACTGACGATGCCTGCACATTTGGAGTTTGCATGTTTTCTCTCTTTCGCTCTCTCCCCCCTTGGTTGCGTTGATTTTTTTCTCCGGGTCCTCCGGTTTTTCCTTCCACCTTTCAGAATCAACATCACGTGTTTAGAGTATTTGGCTCATACAAATTTCCACGCGATGGTAAGCAGCTTCGTTGAGCGATAATTTGTGGCCAGGTCGCTTCTGACAAAGAGCTACATAGCTCAGTGGGCCTTACCTGGTAAAATAAAGAATAGTTTCGTTTTAGTGCCTGGTCATGGCCCTCTCTTCCGCTGTCTCCCTCTTCCGCTGTCTCCCTCTGATCCTCTTCCCTTCTCTCGGTCTCTTCCACCCATAGTTCACTTTTGCTTGGTCTCACCTCTCATTCGGCTGTTGCTCATGACGCCCAGTTCCCCATTGGCGCCCATTGTCCTGCCAATTCTTGCTCGGTTGTTGTTGTTGTTGCTTACACGGGCGACTTGTCAGACGTACCTCTTGAGTCTCCAAACTATACAACTACTTTGAATTACGGTAAATATCTTGTTTACATGTTAACATTTGTTTGCACTCTACACGCGATATAACAGATACGTTGGTGATGATGCTGCTACTGCTGCTGCGTTGGCAGCGGTGCACAAACACAATACACAAACATCGTGTGTGTGTGTGTGGCCATAAAAATAAAAAATATATTATCGGCAACGTTTCGGGAAATTAGTGTAATGGATATTGAACGTCTTTCGCAGCCAACTACATTGAACGGAGGTGGGCCTTTTTCACAGCGTGGCTAAACCTTAAATCATGCCTCTTCCCCTGTCTTACAGATCGTTGAGCAGATAGACTTCTGCGTCCCTCTTCGGTAAGTTCTAAATAAATCCCCCACACCCGCTTCCCCCCCACCCACCGCTTTATTTGTATCCCAGCACAGTTATCATCACAGCCATTATCATGGAGACCGAACGGATTTATTTATTTTCATTTATTTTCTCTGCGATTATTTTTTTTCTCGTTATTTATGTATTAATGTTTTATTTGCTAATTAGTGGGGTTTTGTTTTTGTATTATCTGTGTACGGAACTGGGTAATTGATGTGCAGCGTTGTGGGATGCCATTGCATGAATGATGATAAATAAAATTTAATAATTATTATCATTTGTTGTAAAGGGTGGATTTTGTTGTAACATTTGTGTGTGTGTATTGTCAATTTTCGGCTATACGGGGGGAGGTCTTTGTTTAAAAAAAATGTTATTTAGTTCAAACCAACACTACTAGCCATCAAAAAGCCAGAAAAATACTAAAAACACAACTCCATTTTCAATGCCGCAGAGCAAATATTAGCACCCAGGTATAAACTCATCTGCAGTGTCCAGGGAAGTGGCCCATCTGGCCTTTAAGAGCGGGAAACATGTGTGCCTGGTCAGTTGTATTCATCGTCTATAAACTAGCAATCCAAACGTTGTTAAGCATATTAAATGCTGGCCACAAATGAACCATAATACCGTGCTGGTCTCGTCAAGGAGCATAAACCATCATGCGAACTCCGGTCATCCTCGCAGCAGTGGCGGCTTTTGGCTGCTAGTCATCAGACCAAGACGGCCACCGCATCATCGTGCGCTTTCAGATGGAACGCTCTTCCAATATCAGGAAACCACTGGAGCTATGCACTTTAAAATCTAGATTTAAAACTACATTTTTTAGAACGGCTTTTCGTGTTTAGTTTGCCCTTCCCCTGCACCTCCGATTAGCACGGTTGGCTACGTACATTGCTCAAGAAGTTCACCATACAGAACATGCATAAATGTTTTAGTCTAAAATTATAAACTAAGCTTTTTATTTTATTTTACCACGTCAGGCCCACGGAGCTATACAGCTCTTTTTCAGAAATGACCTGGTCACACATGATAGCTCAACGAAGTGGCTTATCACGTGGAAATTTGTAGGAGCCAAATACTTAATGCTAAATGTGGCGGGAAAAACGCGACTATGGGGAGAACATGCAGACTCCATATATACGGCAGGCGTCTGGGTTGGGATCGAGCCCTCGACCTCCTGTATACCAGGCGAGGCAGTTAACATCTCTCCACCGCGTCTCTCGCTGGCATGCCGACGTTGTCTCGCCCCGTGTGTCCGTGACCCCGTGTGTCTCTGACCCCGTGCGTGTCCGTGACCCCGCGTGTCCGTGACCCCGCGTGTCCGTGACCCCGCGTGTCCGTGACCCCGCGTGTCCGTGACCACGCGTGTCCGTGACCCCGCGTGTCCGTGACCCCGCGTGTCCGTGACCCCGCGTGTCCGTGACCCCGCGTGTCCGTGACCCCGCGTGTCCGTGACCCCGCGTGTCCCCGACCCCCGCGTGTCTGTAACCCAATGTGTCCCCGACCCCTGTGTGCCGTCCAGGAACTCGGAGCGGCCGGACGTCTGCTCCGTAACGCTGCACGACTTCCAGAGGTTCCTGCAAATCGAGCAGAAGGTGAGGGCGTAAATGTTTGAGCTGATGTTGTTTAGCCCGCTGTGAACTCGAGGGGCTGGGGATAGAGCCTCATTTGCAGGATTACCCTGGGGCCGATGATGATTTTTCCTCCATAATACAGGTATTTTTTTTGGTTAGGTCGCGTAAATATAAAAATGTGGTGTGAAACCCGCCACCACCCGACGTGTTAACCGAACGTGCCAATTCGTTACTTCTGCAGCACATCGGTGTTTTGGCGAGCAAAGCCACAACCCCCCAAAAGAAACCTGTATTATGGATGATATTTGTCGCGAAAGCCGTCGTGTTAAAGATTATTCTTCCTGTGTGTGTGTGACATCCCGATTGAGTAATTCGCGGTGTGATTTTCGAACCTGGAAATTGTGTGGGCCCTGACGCTGCCGGCACACGGTGGCCTACTCTTGCGAATTACGTCAGGGGATCTTCACCGTCCACTGTGAAAGCAGACAGCACGTATTGTCACGGTTATTACACCCACTGCAGTATCAACCAGGGCGGCCGTAGTGCAGATACCCTGATTTGTACAGATAAGTCGCCAGGATGCAGAGTCGCGATTTAGAAGATTCAAAAATAGTTTTTCATCAGGGTTATACTGTCATTTAGTATTGTTTGTGTTGTCCATCTCATTTCTTCGTTTCATATAATGGGAATCAGAATCTTTATTTATCCTGGAGGAATCTCCGTGGTCCTGTCTAGCTCTGCTCGTTACGTTTAGTCCAGGTGGAGTAGAATCGCATTGGTTTGCGCTATGGAGCTGACAATTCGAGTTCGATGCCCGGCCATGGATAACATCAGCAGCAAGTGATGTCTGAGCTGGCCCCGTGACCCCATCAGTAGCAGCCTGTAATAGCAAACAATGAGAGCTGTTGCCACGCAACAGCACCGCATAGCGGTAATGAGACGTGTCGCACAGCAAACCAAGTAACAGCAACCGCCGTTCGGCACAGAGTAATGATGGTGCACCACGGCACTTGTACCAGACTAAGTGCACTTTGAGGCCACGTGAAGTATTGAAGGCTCGCTGCTGGGCAGGAGGTCGCGGGACAAACCCAGGTGCTATGGGTTGATTGACTGAGATGACCGGCAGATGCTGCCCACTGTGGTGCCAACTTGCTACCGTTTTAGCCACCCGACGCTCCGCTCGTTGTTGTGAACGTCGCTCCTCTGCCCTCCGCTGTTGTTGAAGGGTGACCGCCTCCGACTGCTCAGTAGGGTCCTTCACACGCAAGTGAATAACAAAAACAATAATAATTCCCGTGACTAATAATAATAAAAGGAATACCTTCGAGGACTGTGGGTCGCTGCAAATTGTCCAAGTAACTACCAGACTGTGTCTCCGAATCAGAATCAGTATTTATCCTGGAGGAATCGGATGAGCTATAAAGCTCGCTTTCGCAGATCTCCAGTCGGGGCGGGTAAGAACATAACACCACCAGTACACAAACACGATAGGAGTGCAAAGTACAAGAAAGGTAAACAAATCACCCAAAAACATCAAAATAAAACTAAACCATCCCAATCCTACCAGCCGAAGCTCGCTGACGTATTAACTTATTTTTAGAAGTGTCCACAAATAATAGATCAACAAAGTGGACCATCATTTGGACATTTATAGCACCCGAATAATCTAAATAATCTCAATGCATGTTTCTAAATGTGGAGGGAAAAACTGGAGAAATTGGAGAAAAAAAATCCACGTGATCACTGGGAGAGAGACACGCAAACTCCAAATATCCAGCAGAAGGCGTCAGGGTCGGGATCGAACCCACGGCCTCCTCTATACCAGGCGAGGAAGTTAACAACGCCACACACGCTCCCGACAAACAAACTAACGCAAGCTCAGATCCGAAGAAGCAAATCGCGGGGCGAACCGCCCTGGGCCATCCTGCACGGCTGCCTTGTCGGTTGTCGGCCTCCACTCCCCCATCCCCAGGCGAGGCTGAATATTCCTTGGGACCATCCCCCCCCTTCCCCCCCCTTCCCCCCCGCAGGAGCCGTGGGCCAGCGACCTGGCGTGCGTGCGGGAGCTCATGTTCCGCATCCTGTGTGACGGCGCGCGTGAGAGCGAGGAGCCCTGCTTTTCCCTCGAGGAGGTGACGCCCGCCCGCCCACACGCGCTCGCGCGCGCCCCCCTTGCCGTGTGTTTTTTATCGATGCCCCGGAGGTGCCCGCCAGCTGTGTTGGGTGTGGGGGTCCTCGGAGCCGAGCGAAAGCCGAATCTGGGGGCGCGAGCTTTGGGACGCCTCCCTTTTGGGAGTTTTTGTTGTAAATATAAAAATGTTATGGAGGCGCAATGTGCGGGCCCGTTACGTCACGTTGTGACCCACGTGGTACACACACCGTCGACGTAAGCCAAACCGGTCGTGAAGAGCAGGGAGATATAGAAAGGAGAGGGATGGGCTCGCTGCCCTGAACCACACAAGGGGGGGGGGGGGGTCCCACCGAAAGGGGAGAGGGTACATTTTATTTTAAGCAAGAGGTAAGGGATGACAAGGGGAGAGCGAGGGACGCACACCTGGCAAGAAGAAAAGCAAAAAACCATAAGAGGCCCCTCCGAATCCAGCTCCCGTCTAATTTGCAGTGGTTATGCCTCTTATGCCCAGTCCCCGTCTCCCGACCCTCCATCCTGCTAACTTATTGAAGTTGCTCTGTGCGCGGGGGGACCATCTGGCCTCTAATTCCACCTCCTTTCCCTTGAGCTTACGGCTCACGTGTTCCACACCGCAATGCGCCATAAGCGTCCTGACCCATTGTGTCCACGTGGGTGGTTTCGTGTGATTCTTCCAGTTGGTCAAAATCACCTTCCTGGGCTAAGATATTGAAAGTCTGCAGGAGAGCGCGCCTGGTGCCTTGAGGTCGCGGGAGGCCTTAATCCCCATGAGGTCTCCTCTATTGGTGGGGGGCAAATCTGTGCCACTCAGGTCATTGATGAACCCACGCGACCTCGCCGTAAGGCTTCGCCACATCCACGCAGTGACAGGAGGCATGGAGAGAGTTCTGCACTGAACCTGGAGAACGTCTGGGGCCGTCTAAAGAAATGTTAATAAACTTTGCCCTGCTCTCATTCGTTAAGTACTTCACATGCGCAAACTTAAATTGAATGAGTTTGAGCGAAGGAGCTCTTTGGCCTGCCTTATTTGGGGGGGGGGGGTTAACGCTTTGTGATTGAGCTTGCAGGACGTAGATACTTTTTTTTGCTCTGTCCGTCTGTCTGTAACGAGGCGGCACGAAAACTCTCGTGATGGGGGAGCCACTGGAGCTGTGGACTTTTAAATCTAGATTTAAAACTAATTTCTTTAGAACTGCTTTTTGGGTTTAGCTTGTTGTCCTTCCCCCTCCCCTGCCCATGCGCCTCCGATTAGCACGCTTGGCTACGTACGGTGCGAAAGAAGCTCAACATACGTACGTGCATAATGATTCATTTCAAACAAAACTTTAACGTAGAGGTGTGTTGCCTTGAGGTATTCGGCCGAGAGCCGTGATACGAGCCCCGGTGGTTCTCATCGCAGACCCACCGCTTCCCGCGTGCTCGACACGATTGACAGTTTTTATTTTTAATTAATAAATAAGTAAATATTGTCATTCACGAACCCAGACTACAATGCAGAATTCAAAAAGAGGGGCAACAAAAAGGGCAGGCAATGTGTAACAAACTCGGCGCAATGCACCCTCGAGATTGGCGATCGATCGGGGGTGTCCGGACTTTCTGCCCTCCGAGACGCTCAAACGCGCGGCCCCACCCCGGAAAGGGCGCGCGTGAATTACGAGCGGCTTCGACGAACCGGCGTGCGACACGTTTGCCGGCCGTCACCGTTTTTTTGCGAATCATCGTGTGGTTGTCGTCGTCGTCAATGTGGACATTTGTTTATCCTCCTGTCCCCCCCCCCCCGCGTGGCACAGTTCCTGACGTACCTGTTCTCCCGTGAGAACTGCGTGTGGGACAGCCAGTACAACCAGGTGTGCGCCGAGCAGATGAACAACCCGCTGTCGCACTACTGGATCTCATCTTCGCACAACACGTGAGTGCACACGCACAGTAACATACGACACACGCGCGCACGGCGACAAAGATCTCCCGTGTAGCCTGTAACAGGCTGTTGGGGCAAGTGCTGTTAGCGAGTAGCACCTGTGAAGGCCGGCACGGCACATGAGGGGGTAGGATTGCCAGCACCACGTCCCGGCCGCCTTTGTCTCCCCAGTGGTGATTTTCCACAGTACCAGTTACTCATTTGAGGCTAAGTCTACTTAGGAGAGGCCCGGAACCGGTTTCAGATAATCGTCACTGGTGTGAGTGGAAATCGAGCTCTGGTCGCCGGGTTCGTAGCGCGGCGCGCTAACCGCTACGCCACCGCTCCCCGCACGCACGCACCACACACGTACGCACGTGTGTGGTGCGTGTCGATACGCGTGCGTGCGTATGCCACCGCACACCCCTTATGTTAAAGTTTCAACCGCGCCTTCCACATTAAAGAGTTGAAAAGGCTCCTGCTCAGATGAGCTTAGGATGCTGCTCATCTCCTTAGTCGCCTCGAGTCTGGGGTGGAAATTCCATAGTCCCATGGTGGAGTCGAGCTGAGCAGCAATATTGCCACGTGCGCAGCGGTAGGTGGCTTTGCACATTGGCAGCTTTTAATCAATCACTGCGGAGGCAGCACCGAGGGTGGGTGGATCGCCACACACACACGTTGTGAAACTCCCCTTCCCCCGTGGGCGTCGAGGAGGTTGCCGTTCCTGGCTTGCCATGAGGTGGCGGTACAGGAAGTGTGGACTAATCTCCATCTGTCCCATCTGTAGTGGATAAAGTGTTGCCTCCTCGTGTGCGTGGATTTTCCCACGCTCGTTGTCAATTGGCTGAAAACATCTTAATCTACACGCGCCTCTGTGTGTTGCGGATTGCGAAGAGGTATGAGATGATGTTTGCAATTAATGACGCTAATATATAGAAAAAACATTGATTTTCATCATTAACGCTTTAAGTTGACCGTTGTGCTTGATTTGTGTGTTTTAATGCGTAAAATTCCCGGCAGAAGGCAGCTTATCTTGGGTGCTGTCATTGGTCGCTTCGTCGTACAACTAAGCCACCGATTGGTCGCTTCGTCGTAAAACTAAGCCACCGATTGGTCGCTTCGTCGTAAAACTAGGCCACTGATTGGTCGCTTCGTCGTACAACTAAGCCATCGATTGGTCGGTTCGTCGCACTGACCGGCGGCTGTCCGCTGCTGCTGCGTCCGTTGTTGCCCCCACAGCTACCTGACAGGGGACCAGTTCTCGAGCGAGTCGTCGCTGGAGGCCTACGCGCGCTGCCTCCGCATGGGCTGCCGCTGCATCGAACGTGAGTCCCCGCGGAGCTCACGGGGCGGCCGTCGCGACGCTCGGGTCTCACGTCCCCGGCGAGGGGGGGACCCGTTGTGACGTGTCGGCTGAACGTTCGTTTTCTCAACATTTTGCCGTTCATGGTCTCTTCTTATTCCCTTTTCTCATCCGTATGTACGTACGTATGTATGTACTTTGAACTTCTTTCGCACCGTACATAGCCAACTGTGCTTCATACCTAAGTGGGCCTTACACCTGATACAATGACAATACTTTATGGTTTTATTTTTTTATTTAACATCCCACTGGTGGACGAGGTGCGTGCAACAGGGAGTGGATTGTCGTTATGCAGCAGTTCAATGTATATGTGTTTAATTTATTTCGCACCGTACGTAGCCAACCGTGCTAATCGGGGGTGCAGGGGAAGGACCACAAACTAAACACACAAGGCAAAAGCATCCGGCCTCTTTATGGAGGCACCTAGTTTGTAAACTTCTGGCAGCTACAGCGGCAGTCCGCCACTCTTAATGATCATCGTCGTCATATCCCATCCATTGCTGATGTTTCCCTGTCCTTTCTCTCCTTGCTAGCGCCGCCTCCTCCTCTACATTTAAAACTCATTTCTTTTTTGTGTTCAGTTTGTTGTCCTTCCCCCGAGCCTCCGATTAGCACGGTCGGCTCCGTACGGTGTGAAAGAAGTTCAACATACATATATACAAATGATATTGGCCTACGAAAACCTACGAAAATCTTTTTAATGCATTACCTTAAATAAATACATAAATAAGCGGTTAAATACATGAAAATTATCATCATAACACATCTCTTTATCTCTCATCACTTTATATCTCATCATTTAATCTCATCACTTTATCTCATCATTTCAGCTCATCACTTTTTTTCTCTCGCTTTCTCGATGCAGTCATGTAGATGTGCAGATGTGATTCGCGGATAGGGAAAATATCAGATAGCAAGTTCGTGAATGACGGGGGATACCGTACACCACTCTTGCGTTCACGTGAACCTTTGGATGGAGATGCTGCTCCCCCGAGGAAATGTGTCGCGCGGGTCCGAAATGTCTGCAGAGCCCCCACTGTATTTACACGTGTCCTGCCACTGTGCGCACAGTGGACTGCTGGGACGGCCCGGATGACATGCCCATCATTTACCACGGCCACACGCTCACCTCCAAGATCAAGTTCCTGGACGTCCTCAACACAATCAAGGAGCACGCCTTCGTCACGTCCGAGTGAGTGGCGTAGTGGCGGGCGTAGTGGCGTAGTGGTGTGATGAAAGTAAAACGATGAAGTGTGGCCAAAGTAAAAGAGGTGAACAGGTCAGCAGGTTGGCATACTTTTTGGAAAACCGAAATTGATTAACGATGAGCAGCTCCCAATATTTTGAATGAAGAGAGTTTTTCATGAGCACGTATTAACCGAAAGCTATTAGATGGTTTATAAATCGGGGGGGGGTTACGCGACTTGACCCCCGCGACGTCGCCCACAGCTACCCCGTGGTCCTCTCCATCGAGGACCACTGCAGCATCGTGCAGCAGAGGAACATGGCGTCGTTCTTCCGCAAGGTCTTCGGCGACATGCTGCTCATCAAGCCCGTGGAGGCCCAGGCCGAGGAGCTGCCCTCGCCCACGCAGCTCAAGGGGAAGATCCTCATCAAGGTGGGAGGGGGGGAGGGCCTGACACGCACGCGGAGCCAAGTCTGAACGCCCGGGCATTGGCGCTGCGCTAGGATGGCTTGTGTGCTGCACTAGGTCACCTCTCCCTCCCCCCAACCCCTGCATAGTCGACTTTTGGCCGCGTTAGAGTCGACGGATTGGGGAGGCCTCGTGCAGCAGTGGATTTACCGTGGCTGATGATGATATTGCCGGTGTAATACTAACCCTAGTAATAGCACGAACACTCCGTGCTGTCCGCTTTCCCAGTCGATGTTAAAGACCCTGTGACGTCATTGACACGAGAAGGCCACCGCGTGCCGGCGTGATGGATTCGAATGTGCTCCAGTCGAACAATTACACCGCAAATTACTCGGTTGGGATTCTGCACGCACACGCCAGCAATCCTGAGCCCTTGCTTGCAGCAGATTAATGCTCGTACTGGCCTCTTGAGTTTTCGCCTGCCTGAACAAAATGACGTAGAATTTTGACTTAAAACTTTCGTGACTGCAGGAATTCATATTCTTTGGTTCGTTCGGTAAAGTCAAGTCCCGTAGATAGAAAAAGAATAATAAATGAAGTGAATAAAAATAATAATAAAAATAATGACGACCGCTTGTGTTGCGATCAAAACGTCGTGGTTTTTTTCCACTAAATTTTTTTTTATATTTTTTTATCTATGTGACTTTACCGAAAGAACCAAAGAGTAAAAATGATGTAGCTTGAAACTTTTGATCATGGTGATGATGGCGATGGCTCGTTCGCTCCGCGTCGCGCAGCACAAGAAGCTCGGCGAGGGGAACTCCGACGAGGTGGCCTCCAGCGGCAGCTACTCGGAGTGCGACATCAGCAACTCCATCAAGAACGGCATCCTCTACCTGGAGGACCCCATCAACCACGTGAGTTGGTGGGAGGTCACCGGTTGGCTCCAAAGGTCCAGAGTGCCAAAGCTGGCACCAGCGTTGAGATTTATCCTCGGTTTGAATCAGGGCTTCAGCTGCCCAGCTGGGATTAAACTGGGCTCTCTGGTGCGGCGATTTGCTGATCTGGGTCCAGTCGCCAGTTTAAAAGAAAAACGTTACCCAGATGGCCGTGTCGCTCAGAGGTCAGAGGTCACAGGGCTGAGCTGCTGCTGAAAATCCGGGTTTTGAATTGGGGTGCAACAACTGCCATGTTCTCAAACGGTACTAAAACTATTTTTATTTTCCCAGGTGAAGCCAACAGAGGCATATGGCTCTTTTTCTAGAGCGACCTGGCCACAAATGATAGCCCAACAAAGTGGCTTATCGTGTGGAAATCTAAAGCAGCCAAATACTCTAAACGCACCTTTCTAATGGGGAGGGAAAAATTGGAGAACCCGGAGAAAAATCCACGCGACCACGGGGAGAGAGACACGCAAACTCCAAATATACAGGCGTCGGGGTCTAACCCACGACATCCTGCATACCAGGCGAAGGAGTTAACATTTCGCCACCGTGGCGCCCCCACTGGTGATGGCGTCAAAGACGGCAGGTGCTGGATGCGTGGTGCGGGCGACGCGTGACGCCCGCTCGCCCCTTGTGCGCGCCCCCCCACCCCTCTCGCTCCGGCGCAGGAGTGGAACCCTCACTTCTTCGTGCTGACGAGCAACAAGATCTACTACTCGGAGGAGACGACGGTCAACCAGTCCAACGACGAGGAGGAGGAGGACGACACCAAGAGCCAGGTACGGGCCGAGCCGACGGTGTCGTCGGACGTGCGGGTCGCCGGTCCCTCCTAAAGGCCACCGGTCCGTGATCGAATTGCCCAGAGATGCGTCCAGCCTTGGTCAGACCTCAGAAGCCGAACTGCAGGGCAAGAGCCTGGATTGCGCGTGATTTTGGCGACCGCCACCGCTGCGCGTTAAACGGGTTGTCGTACCGTACTGTGCTCCAACGTCTTCTCCCCCCCCCCCCCGCACTGGCCAGCGTGGTGAAATATGGACAAACAACCGCCATGACCCGCACGGGCGCTTGACCAGCAGTGGATTGGCAAAAGGGCCGTGTACGCACGTACAAATGTCAGTACAGAGTGGGGCATCTACCGTACCGCCACCGCCACTGCCAGCGGTGATTGTGGTGTGGGGAGCCAGGGACGCAGTGATTTTCGCGCTCTGATGCGAACCCGGCGACCTGAGTTCGATTCCCGCTCACGGCCACCAACACCAGTGACGATTATCTGAACCGGTCCTGGGGCTCCCCCCAATCAACTCTGCCTGAAACGAGCACCTGGTGCGGCGTGTAAACATCGCCACTTGGCATACAAAGGTGGCCGGACATGGTGCTGGCAACTCGCCCCCTCGTGTGCCGTTGCCGGCCTATAAAGGTGCTGCTTGCTAACAGCACTTGCCCCAACAGCCCGTTAAGGCTATGTTGGGTGGTGGGGGGGGAGGTGGAATCTTTGTTTTTGGTGGTGGTGGTTGCAGTACGAGCAGTTGTGATGAGTCGTGTTAACAGTTGGTCACATGAGTTGTAGTTGTGGCAATATCAGCGAGTGGTAGTAGTGGTTGTGGTACGAGCAGTGGTACGTACGTATGTTGAACTTCTTTCGCGCTGTACGTAGCCAACCGTGCTAATCGGAGGTGCAGGAACCGAGATAGTAGAGGTGATGGCGGGTTGGGTTACGACCAACGGAGGTTGCGGTTGTCGTCGCCGCCGTCGTAGTCGTAGTGACGGCGGCGGTCGGGAATTGAACCGCTCGATCGCATCCCGTTGCAGGAGTCCAACAACAACGAGCTGCACTTCAGCGAGAAGTGGTTCCACGGGAAGCTGGGCGGCGGGCGCGACGGGCGCCAGATCGCCGAGCGCCTGCTGCTCGACTACTGCTTGGAGAACGGCGGCAAGGATGGCACCTTCCTGGTGCGCGACAGCGAGACCTTCGTGGGCGACTACACGCTGTCCTTCTGGTAACCGCTCGCCGCCGCCGCCATCTCTGCCGTTAACCCCTTCCCGTTCCGGCGACGTACGTTCGCATTGCGATTATTCCGTATCCCCGCCAGAGGTCGCAACCGGGTACCCGATACCCGTACCCTACCTGATACCCGGCTACCCGTATCCGGTCGGGTACGGGTACGGGTAGGCGTTTGTGACCCTGGTGCGGCCGGGTACGGGTACGGGTAGGCCGTGAGTCACTGGTGAGTAACTCTTTGTCACTCATTTTGGGTAGGGTACGGGTAGGGAACGGGTACCCGTATCCGGCCGGGTACGGGTACCCATTTGCGACCCTGGTGCGGCCGGGTATGGGGTATGGGTAAGGAATCAAAACCCGTTTGCGACCTCTGATCCCCGCCCCCCGCCCCCCCCCCCGCGTGGCGGCAGGCGGTCGGGCCGCGTGCAGCACTGCCGCATCCACTCACGGCAGGAGGCCGGCACCATCCGCTACTTCCTGACGGACAACCTGGTGTTCGACTCGCTCTACTCGCTCATCCAGCACTACCGCGAGGTGCCGCTCCGCTGCAACGAGTTCGAGATGCGCCTCTCCGACCCCGTGCCGCAGCCCAATGCCCACGAGAGCAAAGAGTGAGCGGCCGCCCCCCCCCCCTCGTCCCCCCCTCGCCCCCCCCTCGTCCCCCCCTCGTCCCCCCCTCGCCTCTTTGCCCCTTCGCCCCTTCGCCCCCTCCCCTCACCACCACTCTTCCTTCCGATATTAGCAAACCACTGGAGCCCTTTTTGTGCTTCGGTGTTGTTGTCCTTCCCCCCGCACCTCCGATTTCGCACGTTCGGCTGCGTACGGTGCAAGAGAAGTTCAACGTACTTGCAAACTCCCGTGACCGCTCGTTTGCCCGTGCCGTGGCGCCGCAGGTGGTACCACAGCAGCCTGACGCGCGCCGAGGCCGAGCACTGGCTCATGCGCGTTCCCAAGGACGGCGCCTTCCTCGTGCGCAAGCGCAGCGACCCCAGCTCCTACGCCATCACCTTCCGGTGCCACACGCACGCGCACCGATGCACCCACGTATCCACTCGCCGACGAACGCTCCCAATCACCCACACACCCACACACCCTTCCATCCACACACCCATGCACCCACCCATGCACCAATACACCCACTCACGCATCCACGCAGGCACCCGCACACCCTTGCACCCATCCACCGGCCTACCGACACATCCACCCACCCACTCGCACACCCACTCGCGCACCACCTCACCCACCATCTCACCCACCCAACCAACCCATCCTCTCGCTGTAACCCACGCTCCCCCCTCCCGTAACCCCCGGCAGGGCGGACGGGAAGATCAAGCACTGCCGCGTGCAGCAGGAGGGGCGGCTCTTCCTGCTGGGGAACTCGGCGGAGTTTGAGAGCCTCGTGGACCTCGTGTGCTACTACGAGAAGCACCCGCTCTACCGCAAGATGCGCCTGCGCTACGCCATCAACGAGGAGACACTCGAGAAGCTGGGCACATACGTGCGTGCCTCTCGCTCGCGCACAAAGATTAAAGATTCCCACCCTCCCCCCCTATAGCCAACCCGAAATGCCACACGTTATAAATAACCTAACAAATAACTAATTTGTTTAGGACTCCACCGTGCGTAGTTAACCGTGTTAATCGGAGGTGCGGGGGGAAGGACAACAAACTAAACACAAAAAGCAGCTCGAAAGAAATGAGTTTTCAATCTAGATGATGATTTAAAAGTGCATCGTTCCAGTGGCTTCCTAATATCGAGCATTCCAGATGGCCGCAGAAGCGCATCTGTAACCGCGCGATGGGGTGACCGTCTTTGTTCGATGGCTGCTGTTGCGATGATGATGACCGGCGTGCGTGTGTGTGCGCGTGTGTGCGCGTGTGTGTGTGTGCGCGTGTGTGTGTGCGTGTGTGCGTGCGTGTGTGTGCGCGTGTGTGTGTGCGTGTGTGCATGCGTGTGTGTGTGCGTGTGTGCGTGCGTGTGTGCGCGCGTGTGTGTGCGCGCGTGTGCGCGTGTGTGCGTGTCCATAGGAGCTGGACTACGGAGCGCTGTACGAGGCACGCAACCCAGAGCTCAACTACGTGGAGGCGAACAAGATGGCCGTGTCCAAGGTGAGCGGCGGACTCCGTCTCCCGCCTCTCGCTGTAGCAACCCACTGTAGCTGTCACACACTGTTGCTGTAGCAGCACTGTTGCTGTAGCAGTCACTCATTGTTGCTCAGCACTCGTCTAACGCAGGGCCGTCGCCCCCCGCCCCCCGCCCCCCGCTCTGCAGTGCGTAGTGAAGGCGCTGTACGACTACCGAGCGCAGCGCGACGACGAGCTCTCCTTCTGCAAGCACGCCATCATCACCGGCGTGGACAAGCAGGACGGAGGCTGGTGAGGGCCGCTCGCCACGCGTGACGGTCGTGGGCCAGCGGGGGGGGGGGGGGCGGTTAAAGAGCCACGGTTGAGACCGGTGGTTCTCGACGTTTTTTGGCCGCTGTATCCCCCCTCCTTGTTGAATTTTGTTTCAACCGAGTTACCCCCCCCCCCTCCCTGCCTGAGAAATAAATTCATGAATATTGAACGTCGATGTTCATTATTCAACGGACACTCTGCATGCGTGATGTACTCTGTGCTCGCTGCTTACTCTTGGAAACCGCATTGTGTACGATCAATGAGTTTATCGTTCTAGGTTACCATATGGATTTAAATGTCCCGGTAGTTATTTTATATTGGCAGATTCATCCGACGTGATTATTCACCAATGGCTCTCACGTGCGATTATAATTTCACACATTTATCAATCGCCTCTTGTAACCCCTGGGACATCGCCACGTACCCCCCCCCCCCCCCCCAAGGTGGTCCGCTTACCCCACACCAGTTGAGAACCACTGGGATAGAGTGTTGCTCCCTCGCACACGTGGGTTTTCTACAGGTTCTCCGGTTTCTAACCACAAGTACAAACACTCGTTAATTGGCCGACGACGCGTTCACCACTGGGCCTAGGCGACCGGGCCGCTTGGAGGGCAGGCCGGCGAGTCCGGCGCTGCCGAGGTTCGGAGTTTCCAATCCGGGTGTCGGCCACCACAACCACCCGTGGTTATACCCGGGTTGCCACGTGTCGCGAGGTGGCGGCCTCGGCCCCATTGCCGGTGGCCACGCGCCCAAAAAGAATCGCAGCGTCAAATCAACTTCTGTGTCTTTTGAGTAAAAAAATATGTATATAAAACAATGTGTTGTGCTCACGAGAGATGTCCAATGAAAGGCGCGTTTGAGATATTGATTATTTGTGCACAATGTGAGCAGAGTTGATGTACTTATACGAAAGATTATACTTTATTTATATTCATATTGCTTAACTTCGTACTCCTCTTGATTCTTGCATCGTTTGTTGCAAATTTCTGACGCGCCCCTAAGTGGGCATCTGTGAATAAGAACTTCGTAGGCCATCGGATTCCTCCGGTCCAAATAAAGATGAGCGATTCTGCATTATGCGGCTGTATATACGATTTGTGTAACTCGGAAAACAAAACGGTTCGACCGGCGAGCCAGAGGAGAAACGAGACGTCGACACGAGCCAGACGGCAACAACGAGACGTTAAGATCAGAATCAGAATATTTATTCACGCTGGAGGAATCCGATGAGCTATAAAGCTCTTTCTCACAGATGCCCAGTCGGGGCACGGGGTAAGAACGTTACAACAACAAACAGTTCAAGAACACGACAATCGATTATTGACTCCGACTCATGACCCCCAATTGTGACCGTTCATCGGGACTTGCTCTTGGGGGGCAGGAGGAGACGCAGGGGTGGGGGGGGGCAGGAGGTGGGGGGTCAGGTGGTGCGTGGTGGTGGAACGTTTCCCCTCCCCGTGCTCACCGGGTGCGCTGCGACGCGGCATGCGTGCCCGGTTCTTTACGTGCGTCGTCCAGGTGGCGAGGAGACTACGGTGGCAAGAAGCAGCTGTGGTTCCCCTCCAACTACGTGGAGGAGATGACCTGCACCCTGCCGCAAGGCCTGGAGGAGGCCGTGAGTCCAGGGCACTTGAGTGTCGCGCGCCCGTCGCGGTTCTCCCAGATCGCGGCGCTACTTTTTGTCCCTCAGCCACCCCTCCCCCCCCTGTGTATTTTAAGCAAAAGTTGTGGATGCGTCTTATAATCTTGCCAGAAAGAGTAAAACCCATACGGCTTGTAATCCGGTAGATGCGTCCGTGCGTGCGTGTGCTTGCCCAAAGCACTTGCCCCACAAAAGCCTGTTAAGGCTATCCGGTGGATGTTTGTCTTTGTGTGCGTGTGTGCTGGGAGCGGTGGTGCAGCGGTTGGCGCGCTGCTCTACAGACCCGGCGACCCGCGTTCGATTCCCACTCGCAGCCAACACCAGCGACCGGTTATATGATGAACCAGTCCTGGGCCTTCCCCTAGGTCGGCTTAGCCTTAAATTAGTAGCCGGTGCGGTGTGTATACATCGGCACTGGGGAGTCAAAAGGCAGGCGGGCGAATCGAATCCTAAATCCGGTTTGGGCCGGGAGTATTTCGGGTGATTTGGTCATGGGGTCTTTTTATCGTAAATCGCACCACCATCAATAATCGACAGCGCCTCTGTCCGCCCAGCGGAATGAATGAGTTCGCGGATCGGCAGGTCGCGCGTGGTGGGATGCAGTCTGGGTACTGTCACCCAATTGTGGAAGAGCAGTCCAAGTTACCCTTCTCACAAAGGGGATCTAGTCAGCCTCTATTTCAGAGGATCCCCTTCCGCCGGCAGTGACGCGAGCGTTGCATGGCAGGGTTGCGCCTTTGCCTCGTACGTACGTTTAACTTCGTCCGAAGCGTACGTAGCCAACCGTGCTAAGTGGAGGTGGGTAGCGGGGGGGGCGACGAAGGACAACGAACTAAACACAACGAGAAGCAGTTGTAACGAAACGAGTTTTCAACATCACTGCGCTGTCGTTCCTTGCAGGCCGCCGCCGTCGAGAACAGCCCCCTGGGCAACTTCCAGAAGGGCATGATTGACGTGACCACGTGCACAGTGGGTAAGTGCCTCCCCGTACGTTGTTCATCATCGCGTTGGCGGGATGGTTGATTTAATCATCGCGTTGGTGGGAGGGAGAGGGATTAATCGTCGTGTTTGGTAGGAGGGTGATTTAATAGTATGGTTGGTGGGAGGGCGATGAATCATCGCGTTGGTAGGAGGGAGATATTACGAAGGTCCGTGGCCTGACTGAGAGAAGAGAAGATTAACTCTCTACGTGGTCCCCTTGAAGGACAGTGCCCCCTTTGCTTCGTCGCTGTTCCAGGCTTTTAATTTCTGCAAGGGGTGAACTCCTCATCTCCTCTCTCAAATTGTCACTGGAAAATCGTTTCTCTTTGAGCGATTGTTTGACTGTTTCGTCTAATGTCTTACACCAGGGCCCGTGCCAACCACGCTAATCTGCTCCGTGTCTCGGCCTCCCACGTGGAAATGTATAGTGGCCAAAAGGCTTTAAACCCATGTTGATTCTAAATGTGGAGGGAAAAACCGGAGGACCCGGAGAAAAATCCACGCGACTACGGGGAGCGAGAGAGACACGCAAACTCCAAATATACAGCAGGCCTCAGGGTTGGGATCGAACCCACGACCTCCTTGCATACCAGGCGAGGTAGTTAACATCTCGCCACGCCTCCAACTCGGTACATCGCAACAGCGATGTACCGAGTAGGGGGGGGGGAGGTGGCGATGTTTGCGACGCGGCTTCACGTCTGCCTCTCTCCCCGCGCGCCTCTGCGCCGCCACCACGGCGGTAGTCGTGCCGCGGGACTGGCAAGGGAGCCCAGCGCTACGTGTTCAGCGTGCAGTCGATACACATGCACCCGCCGCTGCCCAAGCCGCTGGAGATCGCTGCACCCTCGCTGGAGGAGCTGCACGAGTGGGTATCGAAGGTCAAGGACGCCGCGTCGGCCGCCGACATGAAGGCACGTGCGCGCGACGACCGAGCCGTCGGATAACGACGGCGATGAGGACGGCGACGGAGATTACAATCGTGATTTGGTGATCGCGCCATTCTCGAGGGCGCGAGGCGTGTTTCACGGACGGGTCTGGTGTGCCAGCCGAGGGCGACGTTGCTTGTGTGGCTTTACCCAGTTGAGTAATTTGCGGCGTAAATTTTCTGATTTGCCAAATTTGGAGCGGAACGCCGGCACACGTGGAATTCCACCATTTCCAGTAACGTCACGGGATTTTTTTTACTGCAAGCCGGACGGTGCGTATTATTTTGCTCAACACGCCCGTGGTATTAACCAGGGCGACCGCCAGTTCTGAACCACCAAACCTCGGCAACAAGCACCAAGCGCACCACCGCTTGACCATGTCGCTGGCTGCGGACGGCTGCTGTTTTTTTTCCCGTTACCGAAACGGCATCGATCCGTGGCGGTGCGGCGATTATAATAGCTTTTCTCGGAAACTCGGTCGAAAGTGGCGGTGGTAGTTTCGCGATTATGCTGCACGGATGCCTCGGCTGGGAGGGAGGGTGTGGGCGGTGGAGTGTGATGTCAGAGGAATCCAATCGGACTCTACTAGTGACAATCAATAATGATGTCTCTGTAGCAATGTGATACATGTGTGTAATGTGGTGCGTGCATCCGTGTGTGTGTTTGTGCGCACGTGTGTACGTGCCTGGGTGTGTTTGTGCGTGTGTGCGTGCCTGCGTGTGTCTGTGTGTGTGCGCGTGTATGCCTGCTTGCCTGTGCGCGTGCGTGTGTACGTGCCTGCGTGTGTGTGTACGTGCGTGTGCCTGTGTGTGTGTGTGTGCGTGCCTGCGTGTGTGTGTGTGCCTGTGTGCCTGTGTGTATGTGTCTGTGTGTGTGCGCGTGTATGCCTGCTTGCCTGTGCGCGTGCGTGTGTACGTGCCTGCGTGTGTGTGTACGTGCGTGTGCCTGTGTGTGTGTGTGTACATGCCTGCGTGTGTGTGCGTGCCTGCGTGTGTGTGTGTGCCTGTGTGTATGTGTCTGTGTGTGTGCGCGTGTATGCCTGCTTGCCTGTGCGCGTGCGTGTGTACGTGCCTGCGTGTGTGTGTACGTGCGTGTGCCTGTGTGTGTGTGTGTACATGCCTGCGTGTGTGTGCGTGCCTGCGTGTGTGTGTGTGCCTGTGTGTATGTGTCTGTGTGTGTGCGCGTGTATGCCTGCTTGCCTGTGCGCGTGCGTGTGTACGTGCCTGCGTGTGTGTGTACGTGCGTGTGCCTGTGTGTGTGTGTACATGCCTGCGTGTGTGCGTGCCTGCGTGTGTGTGTGTGCCTGTGTGTATGTGTCTGTGTGTGTGCGCGTGTATGCCTGCTTGCCTGTGCGCGTGCGTGTGTACGTGCCTGCGTGTGTACGTGCCTGCGTGTGTGCGTGCGTGCGCTCCTGCTCGTGCAGCTCAGCGAGGGCAAGCAGATGGAGCGGAGGAAGAAGATCGCCCTGGAGCTCTCCGAGCTCGTCGTTTACTGCCGTCCGGTGCCCTTCGACGAGGAGAGTGAGTGAATCGCGCCGCCCCTGCTCTGCCACCTCCTTAAGTGTAGGCCTCGTGAAGGCGCCATCGCTCTCGCGACGCGGCATTCGGAAAAACGCGGCGCTGATGTCACGCTCACAAACGTGTGATACCATTCATGTGACGGAAGTTTCCTCGCTGGAAGCGAGGAGATTCCGAGTGTGAGCCGTGGCATGGAAAAGATTCCATGACACGGGGAGAGAAGGAGAGAGATACAATAGAACGGACAGAGACACACGGAGACAAACAGGAACGTGAGAAGATGACATCGGTTTTGGGGAGGCAGTCATCATACAGCAGTGGAGTGATCATGGCTTTGTGATAAAACAAATGTATCTGCGCCCACCCCCTCCCTTTTATCCCCCCCCTTCACCCCCTGTCCATTCCCGAGAGGGTTATTGGAGTTTAGGAAGTCGACACCATCGTATAGTTTATTGAAACACACGGCAAAGACAGGTTCAAAATATAAAACGTTGGTCGTAATCATTGTACTTGGCATTGTGTCTACTACCGGTGTCAGTGTCCCGTAACATGTCCTCTGTGTGTACCGTAATCGTTTGTTCAATAAAAAATACTTTTGGAGGGAAAAAAAATGCGTGTCTTTTCTCATCCCGCCCCCCCCACCCCCCGCGGCAGAAATCGGCACGGAGCGCGCGTCCTTCAAGGACATGTCGTCCTTCCCCGAGACGAAGGCCGAGAAGTACGCCAACCGCAACAAGGGCCGCAAGTTCCTCCAGTACAACCGTCGCCAGCTGAGCCGCGTCTACCCCAAGGGCCAACGCCTCGACTCGTCCAACTACGACCCGCTGCCCCTGTGGGCCTGCGGCAGCCAGCTGGTGGCGCTCAACTTCCAGACGCCCGGTACGCGCGGCGGTGGCGCTGGGATCGAGAACATTTTTTTTTACTTGAAAATAAATTCACGATGGCTGCTGGGGCGAGGTTTGAGATGTGATGATGATAGTATCTTAATGATAATAATAACATCAATTTGTCACATTCACTCATCTGGAGGAGAAGAAAATGACAACGACCCTGAGGTGAGCCGGTGCCAACAGTTGCCCAAGATCTGCGGCCCTCTATGTATTAATTTGTTTTCTTGGTTCTTTCGGTAAAGTTACGTAGAAGGGAAAACAATAAAATAATAAAAATTAAACAATAAAATTATCACAACGTTTCGATTGCAACTCAAGCAATCATCATCAGGTGTGAAAACCACAGCAAGAAAATGAGAATTTTTTTTTCTTATTATTTTATTGTTTTCTCTTCTACGTGACTTTACCGAAAGAACCAAGAATATGAATCCCTGCAGGCATATTTGTCTTTGCCGAGCATGTGTGCGCATTCACGTGAAGATGACAGTGCGAGAGCGAGTCATCCATCTGATTGGTGCTCGCCAACAGCACTTGCCTCATAAGTCTGTTAGGGCTATACAAGGGGGCAAGGAGAGGGGGGGGATGTTTGTCTTCGTAGACGTACGCGTGCATTAACACCCGCGGCGGCACCACGAACGCAGCGGATTGGTGCCGAGCCGGCCTACGGCCATCTCCGAGGCGGCGCTGCTCACACGCGGTGTCGTCGTGGTTGCAGACAAACCGATGCAGCTGAACCAGGCCCTGTTCCTGCTGGGCGGCCGGAGCGGCTACGTCCTGCAGCCGGAGATCATGCGCGACGACTCCTTCGACCCCTTCGACAAAACGTCGCTCAAGTCCCTTGAGCCAATCAGCATCCAGCTGACGGTGAGGGCGCACGGCGGTTCGCGCGCAAGTCCGGGTTCCCTGGCAGCTCGGGATCGAGGTGGTAGGTGTGTGGGGGGCGCGGTGACATCATCGCCACCTACCGCCCCCCCCTCCCCCCCCGATTCTCTAAAAACGTAACACTCAAGTATGTATGTTGAACTTCTTTCGCACCGTACGTAGCCAACCGTGCTAATTGGAGGTGCGCACGGTTGGCGATGTACGGAGCGAAGTGTCGCTTGGAGGAGGGGAGGCCTGCATCCAGCAGTGGATAGATCGGGGCTGTTGATGATAATGAAGCGTTGAACTAAATGTCGGGCAGCGGCGGACACACACAGCCTCGGTAGGTAACTACAAGATTGGGGCTGTTTGTTTTGTTTGGGTTGCATCTGTTTATTTGCCGGGCGTGACCCTCATGACTGACCTCCGACGGTCCACTTGGCACAGTGCAAAGGCCGCGTGGGTTTGTATGGCGCGCGTGTGGCGAAATCTCTCTGCTCGGCGCTGTGCTGCTTGGTTTTACTCGCCCGCGTAGAGGGGGGCCAAGGGTGTTTGCTTCGGGTTGATTCTGCGGAGATGCCGCTGCAGGGCACGAAGGATTGAGGGAGGGCGAGGCAGAAAGGGGGGTGAAGGAGAGTGGATACGACTAAAACTAAACTAAAAATAAAATATCGCGACGTTTCGATCGCAACAGAAAGCGGTTGTCCTCAGGCGGAAAAAATAATCCAGCAGTGGAACTGCTGAACCAGCGAGAGAGCTTGTGTTGCGACCGAACCGTCGTGATATTTTTATTATTTAAATTTTTCTACCTACGTGAATTTGCCGAAAGAACCAAAGAGTATAAAACTAAATTAAACTATTTTTTATTTTACCAGGTAATCAGATATCACGATATTTATTTATACTGGAGCTATAAAGCTCTTTTTCACAGGTGTCCAGTAGGTAAGGCCCACTGAGCTATTTAGCTATTTTTTTAGAAGCGACCTTGACCGCAAATGACAGCTCAAAGAAGCGGCTTATTGTCACGTGGAGATGTATAGCAGCCAAATAATCTAAACGCACGTTGATTCAAAATGTGGAGGGGGAAAACCGGAGGACCCGGAAAAAAATCCACGTGACCACGGGGAGAGAGAGACACGCAAACTCCAAATATACAGCAGGCATCAGGGTCGGGGTCGAACCCACAACCTCCTGCATAGCAGGCGAGGTAGTTAACATCTTGTCATCGTGGGCAGAGGCACAGAATATACGTGACTTGGAGAAACAAATAGGAGCAGCCGACCCCATGTAATAATAACCTCGCTCGATGCCATGCAGATCGGCCATTGCCCGAAACGTCGCCTAGTATATATTTTTCCTTTTATTATTGACAAATGTGCCGAGCGCTTTTGTTAATTGTGCTTATTGTGCCACTGCCGACGCAGCATCAGCACGTTGCGCGTTTTTTTTTGTCGAAGAATCGGAAATTTTCTTTTTTTGGGATCTTTTATTCGTGCTGCAGAAATCCGTTGAGCCTCGTAGAGCTCCATTTCACCGATGCCCAGAAGAATAAGATGAGGGCGGCGAATGTCTTCGTGACCTGCCGCTCTCGTGTTCGTTCGCCCGCGTTCCTTCTCGACTGCACGTCCGTCGATACGTCGCTGTGCGCCGCCGTCACCACCGCCGCTACCCATGTGCCCCGCCCCCCCCGACCTTGGCCGCACGGCCACCGCAGATCCTGGCGGCTCGGCACCTGCCGAAGAACGGCCGTGGCATCGCGTGTCCGTTCGTCGAGGTGGAGGTGTGCGGAGCCGACTACGACTACAGCAAGTACAAGACGGAGGTTGTGCGTGAGTAGCGCCTTTGCTGCGCAGTCAACTTTACCCAGCTAAGCCTTTCACGTGTGTACGTCACCGGTTTTTCTTTTCTTACGATGACGTTATCGGAACGGAGCCAGAAGAAAAACCAAAGTAAAATAACTTTATTGTTACCAAGGCTCCCACAAGGCCATGCGGGAGGGCGTGTGGCACAGTTTGGATATCGTAGATTGCGACGGTCGTGTCGCTGCGGCTCTCTGCGGTGACTACAAACAGTGGGGGGCTACGCCTCTCTGGATAAAATTAACGCTGAACTGCTCGCGCGCTCCGAGATTCAGCGGTGAACGGGCCACCCTCTCCGCAACTTGCAGTCGTCTCGGAACGGGAAAGGGTTAAGTCATTGGCGGGTAATTTGGCAACTTTGGATCGTGACGTGGCGCTCTCTGTAACGTCACAGGATCTGTTTACGACCAGACGAAGCACGTGTTATTATGGTTAATGCGCCCGCAGTACCAACCAGGGCGATCGCCGGTCCCGAACCGCAAACCATCTGCAACAATCGGCAAATGCACCACCGCTCGACCACGTCACCGGTGGAGATGGCTGCTGCTTTGTGTCGTTGCCAAATTGGCAATGATCCGTGGCGGTACGGCGGTTTGAACGATTGTCTCAGAAACTCGGTCGAATGGTTTCGCGTTGCACGCGCACACACAATAAACAAAGACAAAAGAGAACCCCTTTATAGCCTTCACAGACTGTTGGGGCAAGTGCTGTTAGCGAGCACCTATGAAGGCCGGCACGGCACACGACAGGGTGGATGGCCAGCACCATGCCCCGCTGCCTTTTTCTCCCCAGTAGTGATGTTTACACACCTCGCCAAGTCCTTTTTCAGGCTGAGCCGACCTAGGGGGGAGGCCCGGTGTCTGTGGCCGTGAGCGGTGAATCGAACTCGGGTCACGCACGCACACGCGCACACACACGAACATGACTCTCCGTGGAGGGAGACGCAGCAAGATTGACGAGCCGGGTGACCTCTGTGACCTCCCGCAGCGGACAACGGCCTGAACCCCGTGTGGACTCCCAAGGTGGCCCCGACGGTGTTCGACGTCAACAACCCCGAGTTCTCGTTCCTGCGCTTCGTGGTGTACGAGGAGGACATGTTCAGCGATCCAAACTTCCTGGCGCAGGCGACGTTCCCCATCAAGGGGCTCAAGCCGGGTACGTTGGGGGGTGGGGGGCGGGGGGTGGGGGGGTGGGGGCGGGGGATCGGGGGTTGGGGGACGGGGGGAAGATGAGGCCGTAAAGAGTGGTCACGTGACTTGAGTGTGGTCATCATAAGCCCCTGTGGCATTTTAAACCTATAAACACATTTATTTTATTTTATTCGACCAGGTAAGGCCCACTGAGCTATGAAGCTCTTTCTTTTTCGGATGCGACCTGGCCACAAATGATAGCTCAACAAATTGGCTATATCACGTGGAAATTTAAAACGCATGTTGATTATAAACGTGGAGTGAAAAACCAGAGGTGCCGGAGAAAAATCCACACGACCACGGAGGTCGCGTGGACATTCAAACTCCAAATATACAGCAGGCGTCAGGGTCGGGATCGAACCCACGACCTCCTGTATACCAAGCGAGGTAGTGAACATCTCGCCACCGTCGCGCCATTTAAGGGCAGGAGGATGAAAAGGCCCTGAACCTGAACTGGAAGACAGGCAGTCGACAGCATGGACGGATGTGGGAATGAAGTTTCAAATGATGGGGGCAGCAGAGGAGAATGAGCGACCTCCCAATGAGCGAAGGTTGACTGGGTGCTTCGACAAAATGCCTTGGTTGCCGGAGCGATGCGTGGACATGAAAGGGGAGAGGTAGGAGAGTGCGTGGAGGGGAGTAGAGTGAGATGAGGGGATAGGCAAGTCGTGGGAAGTCCATGTAGGATTTTGGAAAACGGTGAGTGCGATTTTAACATTGATCCGGGATCGTATCAGTAGCCATTTTAATCGATCGGAGTAATGGGGTGACGTGTTTGGGGTTTGAAGAGTGAGGGATTGGGAGAGGCCGTAGAGGGGGGAGAGCTGCAGTAGCCGAGGTCGTCGGGATGAGGAGGGGGCCTCGAGCTGGGGGATGGTAAGCGGGAGATGTGGGAGATGCAGTGGAGTTTCTTGAGAAGCCTCATCGGCCACACGCGTCGAATGATAACGCACCGTGACGTCTCGACCGCGCAAGGCACGACCGCGGCCACGGGCTCGGTCCCTCCCGTCATGCCTTGCACGTCGCATGTCGTCACCGGGGCCCCACGTGTGCGCGTGCGTCCTTGTTTGTGTGCATGATGAGTCCGTCCTAGTTTGTGTGCATGATGCGCACAGCCTTGTTCAGGGCCAGCTCTTAACCGCTCGCTGCGCTCTCGCTGCAGGGTACCGCTCGGTGCCGCTGAAGAACAGCTACAGCGAGGAGCTGGAGCTCGCCTCGCTGCTCATTCACATCGACGTCACCAACGCAAAGGTGATGGCTGGCTCGGCCCCAGCGCCGGTGCCGGCGCTGGCATGTCGGGTGGTGGGCGAGCGCGTGGCTCTCGAGCGACGGACAGACGGACGTTCCGCACGTTCCGCCAGAGACCGGCGAATTCCGCTTCTTCTCCGTTCGTACGGGGTTTTCTTGGGTTAGATCGCATCGTTAAACCCGCCAATCACCCGACACAGGCACTTGGTAAGGTTTGTCACGTACACAAAACATGCCAATTAGTTACTACTTCGGTACAATTCGAGTACGTTTCCCTGGCGATTACGACCGGCTTCATCAGAATTTATATTCTCGTGATCTAACCCAAAAGCGAAAGCGCGCTAAGCTGATTTTAGCGTTTGTGTGCAGGTCGGTGAGCCAGTGAGTGAGCCAGTGAAAGGCTTCGCGAGCAGCGTCGTAGCGAAATATCCGAAACGCTGCCAGCGACTGATCAAAGCGGCCGGTGGGGGGTGACCGTAACGGTCCACGCTTTGTTAAACGGAGACTGCCGTGGAGATTCGTAGGGTTGCGTAGAAACCCACAGACTCGTAGCGACACGCAAAGACTCGCGCGCGTGCGCATACCTGGTGAATATCTGAAAAACGCTGCCAGCGATTGATCGAAGCGGGTGGTGGCGTTACTAAGGCAGACGATACCCGTCAGTGAAACATGGCGAGAAGCGCCGTCGTTATAACCTTTGCGCTGGAAGAATTCCGCAAAACGAAACGTAGAGAAATGTATTGATTTGGCTACTTAATTGAACTAAAATTAAAAAAAAATTTTACCAGCTGAGGCCCCACTGAGCTATCCATCTCTTTTTCAGAAGCGACCTGGCCCCAAGTGATAGCTTAACGAAGTGGCTTAACATCATGTGGAAATTTATAGCAGCCAAATACCTGGAGAACAATCCACGTGACCACTGGGAGAACACACAAACTCCAAATATACAGGTATCAGGGTCTGGATCAAACCCACGACCTCCTGTATACCAAGCGAGGTAGTTAACGTCTCGCCACCGTGGCACCATTTAAAGGCAGGAGGATGAAAAGGCCCCCGAGCCTGAACTGGAAGAGAGGCAGGCAGTCGAGAGCACGGACGGCTGGGGGAATGGAGTTTCAGACGACGGGGGCAGCAGAGGAGAATGAGCGACTTCCCAATGTGGAGGGAAAGACTGGAGGACCCGGAGATAAATCCACGCAATCAAGGGGAGAGACAGAGAGAGACATGCAAACTCCAATTGAGCAATTGGCAAAGCGTCCTGTAAAGGGCATTGGTAACAGAGCGGTTAGGAAGAGGTGTGTGGTGTTACAACTCCTCCCGTATAAACGAAGAGCTTAAGGGGGGGGCAAGTGGACGTGCTCCCGAACCGCAGCACCGCGTAGACTCTCGCCCCTGCCGCTCCGCCGCGCAGGAGGAGGGCGAGGACGACCTCTACTCGTCGATCCAGCGGCTGCGCGACCGCACCACGGAGCTGCGGGGGCAGCTGGCGGCGCTGGAGGGCGGCAACGGTGGCGGCGGCGGCGGCAGCAACGGCGGCAACGGTGGCGGCGGCGGCGGGACTAACGGACGAGCGGCGGACTCGTCCTTCGACGCGTGCTATCGGCACTACCAGCAGCAGCTGGACGAGCTGAGGGCCACGCAGGAGCAGCTGGTGCAGCTCACGGAGGAGAGGAACACCAGGTACGACCACGGCTGCGGTCGTTGTTGTCGTCGTTGCGGCTGTCGACTCAGCCGGGGGTACTTGAGCCCTGGTTTCCTTGCAGCGGGCCGTGGAATAATATTGGGCGGGGGGGCGGAGCACGTGATGCCATACGTGTTGCGTTGTGACGTCACGACGCCCGTACACGTGACCGCTTCATCTCTACCTCTCGTCTCCAGCTGTCTCGTCTCGATTGCTCGTTCACCTTCCTTGCGTCTCACTAATGTAGGATAAAAACGAAAGTAAAAAAAACTACAGTTGGGCATCGGAGTCGCCGAGATGAGATGAAAGGTGTTCCGAGTTTGTAGGGCATATGTATGTAATGATGCATGTTAAACTTCTTTCGCACCATACGTAGCAACCGTGCTAATCGGAGGAGCACCCGGTAAATGCAAATCCTCCGTTATGCTAAGAATAGGTTTTACCCTTTCTGGCAACACAACAGTTGTGTTAAGCTGTTAAAACGCCAAACAGAAACCTTTTGCAAGGAATCATGTCTGCATTAACCACGTAAACTTGTGGTGAACATGCAAACAAAAATCATGCTCTGACAGTATGTGCATTGTGTTTGAAACTGATTTGTCCACACCAGAGACAGCTTTCTTTAGAGCCAAGTCTCAAACCTCTGGTCTAGCCACATGCACGCCCGCGTGCATGTGACGTTCTTCCCGGGAGCTCCCGGAGCTTTTCGCATCTTTGCTTTCCGTTATTATGTACGCAGCCCAACACCATCCCATAGCCAGGCATAAATTAGCACGTTCGTCCCAGCTCTCCCATCTCCCCCCCCCCCCCCCCCACCGCGGGGAGGAAAACGCTGCCTGGTGAGATTTTTTTTCTTTTATAACCACAGGCGACGCGTCGCATCATCACCCCCGCGGCTGTGAGTTAGCTGATGCGGTACGGCCGTCGCTGGTCTCAAACCTCCGGTCTAACACTTAAAGACGAGGCTCGCAAGAAAGCTGTCTCTGGTGTGGACCAATCCGTTTCAAAGACAATGTATATACTATCAGAGCGTGTTTTTTGTTTGCATGTTCACCACAAGTTTACGTGGTTAATGCAGACAAGATTCCTTGCAAAAGGTTTCTGTTTGGCGTTTTAACATCTTAACATAACTGCGTTGTTGCCAGAAAGGGTAAAACCTACACTATGGGGACCTCATTTGCCAGTAAAAATATGATAATTGGTTATTTACCCTTCTATCTGGCAACAAAACTGACACCTTTTTGCAAGGAGTCATGTTTGCATAGACCGCAATGTTTGTATTATGACTGCAGGTATTGCGGTCTATGCAAACATGACTCCTTGCAAAAAGGTGTCAGTTTTGTTGCCAGATAGAAGGGTAAAGAACCAATTATCAGGGTAAAACCTATTCTTATATTTTGATACTGACATGTATCTCCATTATTCCTAAATCGGTATCTCGGGCCACTCCGAGCCTTCGTGGGCCAGATGTGGCCCGCCAGCCACCACCTGCCTTGGTTGTTTGCGATTGTCGTCACCATGACATCACCGGTTCTGCGAATTTTCCGCGCAGGTTGAGAGAGAAGAAGGAAGACCGTCGGAGGCGAGAAATGACCAATCAGGCACGCAGAGGATTCTAAAAAACAAAAAAGGCTGGCACGGACGTTGCTGCCGAACATCCTCCAACCAACCTTCGCGAACGCAACTTGTGAGCGCAAAGAGCTGGCGGTGCAGCCTCTGCGTGCCGGGTGCCCGCGAAGAGAATCGGGCAAAGGAAAGAAGGAGAGAGGGAGAAACAAAACAACGTGCCGAGCGATGTCGCCGTCACCGTCGCGGCAAGCCAGGAGTTGCACGAACGCGACCGCGACGAGGACTCGGCATTCGTTTCACCACCGACCGCCTTGACCAAACGCATAGTCACCCCCCCCTCCCCCACGCCTGCGGGGGAGGGGGGGGTGGTGGGGAGGGAGCCGAACGGGGGGGTCACATCATCATCGGGAGCGTCTTCGCCGTCGATCGGTTGATCGTTGGCCTTCGGTCACCCGGCGCTCCGGCCCGCGGCGGCTGCCGTTCTGGGCGTCCGTGCCTCTTTACTCCTCCGGTGCCTTTCCCTTATAGAAAAGAAAAATTCACACAAGGGTGCTTTGACGCTCGCCGCAGTTTGCGACGCCGCTCGGGGTTGTGGCGGCGGGCGGTGGGCAGCCGAAGAGAACTCGGGACGGAACCGACGCACGCCCGCGTGCATGTGACGTTCTTCCCGGGAGCTGCCGGAGCTTTTCCCATCTTCGCTTTCCGTTATTATGTACGCAGCCCGACACCATCCCGTAGCCAGGCCTAAATTAGCACGTTCCTCCCAGCTCTCCCATCTCCCCGCCCCCCCCCCCCACCCCCCCACGGGGAGGATAACGCTACCCGGTGCAATTTTTTTTTACTTCGTGAAACGTTTCAGGCAGGCGACGCGTCGCATCACGGGCATCACCCCCGCGGCTGTGAGTTAGCCGACGCGGTACGGCCGTCGCTGGTCCCACGGTTGGGCGTGCTCGTTCTCGCAACCGCGCGGGAGAAGACGCGCACAGCTGGGCCGGGCGCACACCTCCTCTGAACGTTCATCGCCCCCCACCGGCCGAGATCGGGCGATGGGCAGCGCTTGGACCGCCCTCCCGCCTGTCTGCGTATCGGCAGCGTAGCAAAGCCGTTGTGTTGTGCCCAACGCGCCCGCGTGCACACGCACTGTGAGCCCTGCCGCTTCTGTCCCGTTGCAGGGAGGGGGAGGGGAGAGACAGTTTTAGGTTTTCAGTTTTGGTAAAAAGCTGGACTTGTTCAGCCTTTTTTTCCCTTTTCTTACCGTCTTACGAATGTAACGCTGGTAGCTCGGTGGTGGTGCGAGCTCGGTGGTGGTGGTGGTGGCGTTGAGGACGAGATCTTTCGGGACCGAAATGCGGGTCTCTTGTTCGAGGAGAAACGTGAAGGGGGAGTGGAGGAGAGGCGGTGAGTGGATCGGGGGGGGGGGGTGGGGGGGAAGGTGGCGTTAGGGACCCCCAGGAAGATGAACCTTGGCGTGACCTAACGTTACCGAATGTATTTATTCGTGCGTTGTGCAAGCGTCTGGTGAACGCTCGGGCTTTGGTTGAGCTGAGGTCGGCTTCAAACCGAGCCCCGGAGAGAAGGAAAGAGAAAATACGGTAATAATTTTAACTTAAATTAACCTTTGCCTGCTTGTCGTGCCCAAACAGCGACGCATTAAAAGGGGGGACGACAGCGCCCTGATTGGGGAGTTTTAAACATCTCTATGTGTGGTGTATTATTCCTATTATCATGATTGGGCTACGGTTATTTATTTATTTTAAATAATCGGGCAACTTCAATGCAGACACTAAAAAAACGGGGATGAGCTCGCCACCCCGGGTAATTTCATTTTTTATTTATGTTGTTGGCGTCTGAACCGGATCGCGGGCCGTCCGTGTGCCGAGCGCTTGACCTTCGGCGACCGCGGTGCAAACATTCGGTGGTCGGGGGGTGTGGGGGGGGGTGCGGGGAGGGTGCGGGGGGGGGGGCCAAGAATATCTCTCAGCCCAAACAGATCCGGCCCACGCACGAACCTCTTAAGGCACGGAATTGATCATTATAAACACGCGCACAATTATCTCTGACTCCGAGAGTAGAGAGTGATTCGGAGGTGAGGGAAACCACAAACGATGACGGCGGCCAGAACCGCCATCAACGATTGCCTGAGGTCTGCGATTCTATATTGGGATGTTTGGCCGCGGTGGCAAGATGTTACCTATCTCGCCTGTTATACAGGAGGTCGTGGGTTCGATCCTGACCCTGGCACCTGCTGCTGTATATTTGGAGATTGCGTGTCTCTCTCCCGGTGGTCACGTGTATCTTTATCCGGGTCCTCTGGTTTTTCCCTCCACATTTAGAATGAACGTGCGTTTAGAGTCTTTGGCTGCTATACATTTCCACGTGAAAAGTCGCTTTATTGGTCTGTCATTTGTGATAGCCAGGTCACAAAAAAAAAATAGCTATTAAACTCGGTGGGCCTTACCTGGTAACATAAAAATAGGCTTTTTAGAAAGTTTTAATAGAGCGCAGACCAGGCATAAATGATGCGTAGCTTGGGCCCCTTACAGATGGTTGGTGTCTTTGTCGCGATCTGAACGCCACGGTTGAGGAGGCCTCAATGGGGGCCACGACTGATCGCAACACGGGGCCAATGGCGCGTCACCGAGCAAACCGCGCGAAAAACGCGATTGAAAATCGAGCGGTGCCCCCCCCCCCCCCGCCTCTTCTGCCCTTCCCTCAGCTGTAGCCAGACTGGCATCGGAGGGCCCTGACTTAAGTTGCCACCCAGGGCTGCAAAGAGGTAGCGGGAGAGGGGGGGGGTCAAAAGGGAGCATTTGTCCCAGGCCTCGAGTTTTTGTTGCTAATGAAAAATTGTGGGGGGGGGGGGCACTTAAGTGGCATCCCCTGTCCCTGTGTAGGTGGGTAGGTGAGGACTGCACCTCATCCACGTGTGCCCCCCACCCTCCGCCGGCTGCTCCCAACACTTCACCTGAGCAAGCAACTCTAAAAGGTTTTTAAAGCAACTTTCAAAGTTTTTTTTTTAAATAAATGTTCCGTAAAAAAATGGACTAAACAGCAAAGAGGAGAACCTTTTTCCATTGCACGAAGGCGTCACAACGGACGCCGGCACGCGGGCTCGCCATCTCTCCTCCTAACCTCAATCTCTCGTCTTTTCTTAGCAAAAAAACTAACAAAAAAACATTTCAGAAGCTCCGATAAATTGTGCATGTGTTCAACGGAGAATCTTAGCGGCACTATGTACGCATGTGCCGCCGCTGCGCCACAATCACAGACGTGTTTTATACAAACGCGAGCAATTGCTCTCCCGTGTTTTGACGACGACGACGAACCGCCGGCGTCGTTTGTGCGCACGGTTTGGTGGTTGCGCTGCGCAGCGCTCCAACGTGTTGGCATTTGCACGAGCTCGCACGCCCGTCGCCCTTTGTGTCGTCATCGTCAATAGTTCCGTCGTCGCAACCAAAAAGTCGCTCTGCGATTTAATGAACGCCGAGCAGCACTGCCGTGCGCTTGACGATGTGGAGTATATCGGGGATCAGGAAACTGTCCGCCGCTCTGAGTCGGTTGCAATGTCACGAGTGCGTTTTAAAGCATTACGAGTTTCAGTTTGGCAGGAGAACACTAGGAAGTACACTACAACATTGATGACGCACGAGTTGTATGTTAAAGATTTCTTGGGAAAGGCGGGGGGGGCTGGTGGTACAGCTGAGGGGCACGGAGGAGAAGAAACGGCAACTTGGCACTGCTGATGCGACGGTGTTCGGTTTTGGTCTGCGAAACGTTGGACGCACCGTGGGCCTTAAGACGCTGCTTCAATCCCCACTTTTTAGTTTAATCGCCGTGAAACCGACAAAATTGTGTTCTCCTTTCCAGTTCCAGCCAGGGCTGAGCCGTTCGGTTGACCTTTGCTACGTGTGCATCCTGAACTGGCACGGTTCGGCTACGTGGACTCATTTTATCGACGCTGCGTGTTTGTGAGTACCGCTTTGTGGGAAGTCGTCGGCGGTTGTATCTACCATTTATGGAGTGCGCGTAAGGAATTTCCCCCGCCTGGCTGCAAACGGAGATGAGCAGTGAATTGCCTCCAAACCCGCGTGAGGAACGGGTAGACGATTTCGCTGCCAACGGCGTCTTGGCAGAAAGGTGGCGGCACGTGGATATCGTTAAACGTCGCCACGAGGGCAAAGCCCCGTGTGATGGAAATGCCCCCCCCCCACCGTGCAACACCCCAAGGGTAACGCGTCGCCGACAAGCATGAGTTTACGTTTTACATTCCACAGCTGTGGTCTTGGGCAAAACAAAAAAGCTAAGCACTTATCTGTTTGTAAAAAGAAAAAAAAATTGTTTCGAAATGTTTGCGTTGGGGCGTAAACACTAAAGCCGCCCCGTGTCCTCGTTGGGAAGAGCGCACAGCCCCGCCCACAGTCGCGGCTGTGGGTTACCCGGCGGTCACAGAATGGCGACCCGTCTGCGGAGACTCGTGCCCGTCCACGTGCCCGTCCACGTGCGTGCGATCCAATCGGAACGGCCACCTCCTCGTCGGAGACTGATTGCGTTTTAAACCCCCCACTTCGTGATCCACGGTCACTGGGCGGCTATTCGACGCGTGACGTGTGCGAGCGTCACCCAAAATTATACGCTCGTGAAAATTGTGGCGTTTTTAAAAAACACTTGGAAGGGGTTCCATAACACCCCTACAACTCGCGTTAAACCAAAAACAAACTTTGGTTTTTTGCTTTTAATAGTTTGTGCGCGAAAGGGTGAAATATCCTTTCTGTCATGTCAGCCTCCGGCGCTATGCAGTTCTAAGATGCAGATCTCTTGCAGGAGGGGGGACAGTGAGCTACTGAGCGGAAGGTTGCCGACGACACGCGATTACAACTACACGCTGTGACTTTACCCCCCTTAAGGAAACACAATCGCACACCAAGCTGTGTCATCGGTTTCCTTTCTGATTCCGTTCCGTGTAGGTACACGGTACGTCATCGGAAGAAAAAGGCCATGCTGGAGGGCGTGTGGGCACAGTTTTGCACCAGCTATCATAGAGTGCGGCGGTCGTGTCGCTACAGTTCTCTGCGGTGAGCACAATGTCTTCAAAAACAGCGGCGCTATGCCGCCTCTAAATAATATTAACACCGAATTGCTTGCGGGTTCCGAGATTCGGTGTTGAATGGGACACCCACCCTGCAACTTGCAGACGTCTCGAAGCTTGAAAGGGTTAAGAGGTCCGTTTGTTTGATTGGAGTGTTCAACGCTGAAACGAACGCTCGGTCCGTGTGGCATGTCGATGCCCCCGGCCCTAAGGAGTCAAGCGTTGGAGCAGGGTTTTCTCCGAAGCGCATACGCGTCAAAAACTTGCTACGTTTAACGACCCGGGTCAAGTCATTCGCTGAAGTGTCCTAAAAACAGAAATGGCTTTAATGTCTCTTAAGAGACGTTACGATGAGTTACAAGTGAAGAGATGAGAAAAAAAAAAGCCTCGCCCCATTATCACTCAGTTGCAGTCGTAAAATTGTCATCGCTTCACGGCACACGGGTACAGGTCGGGGTTTGTGTTGCGGCACGGTTAGCGTTACGATCGGGAAGGTGGCCGCCAGCTTTTATTTGCCATCGATTTCAAATGGGGGAAGGTGTTCTAAGTATTTTACGTGGACCCAGTCTTGGATGCCAGGGAGGCGTCTGTGAACCTATGACAATGTTAATTACTACTTGACGTATCCTCAACTCAGGGATCGCACTGACGCCGACTGTTGTACCGAGTGTTTGGATGCAAAATGTTTCCGTCTGGGGAACTATTGATAACAACCCCACCTCACCTGCGCATGCCGATAGTTTTAGCTAACCGCCGTCCGGCCTTGCTCGGCGAAGGCTTCCTCGCTTCCGTGTAAGTCACGGGAGTTGTTTGGCCATAGTTCGTGCCGGTTGCTAAAGGGGTGATCCCTTGGACCACTTCATACATTTACTCGCCCCTGTGATGTTAGCCGTGGCGATGGTTCGAACTCAGGTCGCCAGGTGGATGGCACGCTGCGCTAACCTCTGGGCCGCTTCTCTCACGCCTACATGCCGAGCGTGGGCGGCCCTCGATCGCTTTGTCCACAGTGGTTTGGAAAATGCAACACCGCGGACAAGTTTGTGTTGCACACGGTAGGGCAGGACTTTGGTGTGTGTTTAGCATGACGTTTTATTTGAGAAAAGACATGACCGTGTGGTCCTGCAAGGATCTGCTCGAGTGTGTAGAATATCGAATTCAAAGAGTGAATTCTGCTGGATGGCAAGCGACACTGATGGTCAAACAACTCCACCCTGGAAAGGTACCCGCGGCAGCCATTGCCAATCCATTGCTGGATGAGGGCCTCCTCACACGACATGGGCCGTGATGACGGTTTACCTGACCGCGATTCGCCACGCCTATCGGCGCCGTTTTTCGCGAAGACGGCGGACGTGATAGCCACGGACGTGTGATAGTACAACGATGCCCTCCACTGCCTACGACCTACCGCACTGTGCTCAATACAGGCGGTGTAGGCCACTGTGGGGGGAGGGCTACCTGTGCTATGGGCCTGGAAATGTACTCGCTAAAAAAGAAAAAGTCCTGCGATGGTTGCGTCTTGTCCTGTTCAGATGGTGTATTTCTATCTTGCACTTTACCTTGTCGATTCTCCTTTGAATGTTTTAGCGACGCGTAAGGCAGCATCACTGTGCCGCAGTACAATCCTCGGCGCACGCGGAGAGACCCAGGAGGAGTGCGGTGTCCCCCAAAAAAACCGACGAAACCGAGCGCCGACATTTATATTCACTACCCAGCCTAATCTCTTGCTGTCTTTTTTGTAGCGTTCGCTTACGAAGCTCTACGGCCGCGACTCGGCCGCTCGTAAAACGGAACCGTCGGGTAGGGGACCGTTCACCGCTACTAGGGGTCGTGGAGCAAACGCCTCGCGACCCTGCCACTGGGATGTTTGTCCGACGCCAGTGACATTGAACGTTTTGAGCTGTGGGAGGAAATCGGAGAACCTGGAGCAAACCCAAGCAGAATTGGGGGGGGGGGGGGGAATACAAACTCCGCACACAAGGCACCCAAAATCGGGAATATAACCCAGCATCCTTGCTGTGCTGTGAGAGGCACCCGCACTGTGCTAGCCTGCCAATGACGGCTCAAGTTGGTTCGGGAAGCCGATAACGTTGACGTGCGGGTGTGCTAGTAGCCGCTGGCAGTGAAACTGACCTTGCCGGACCCCCCCCACCCCCCACACACGAAGTTTTGCCTGCACTGCAGTTTGGCTCGCGCTGAGGAGGGTGCGTGCGCTGCTACTCGTGTTGAAATACCCCCGCTCTGGAGCAGCGCTGCAACCCGTCGGAAGCCCCCAAACCCCATCGCCCAATCCCATCCCAAATCCGGCATCCCCTTTGTCTCCCCGCCCTACAGTTTATTTATGGCATGGCCGTTAACACAACCATAGTAACCACCACCAACCCCCCCTTCCCCCCCAAAGTGGGTTCTGCTTGGTTGCAGGAGTGTTTTTCATTACAGCGAATCTCGGCAGCCTCCCGATTTAAGGCGGCGGAACCTAGCGGAGGTCGTGAACGCAATTTACTGCCCCTCGCCACTTCATCGACGGCTTGGAATTTTTTTTTGGACGGTCGCTCCGGAAGGAACCGCCATCAATGAGCAGCAGCGCCCTTTCCCGTGACCTTGCCTGTGTATTTTTCACTCTGTGCGCGCGCGCACGTGTATGGCAAGGGTGGGCCCCAGCTCAAGGCGAGGTGGCAGCCAGTCAAGAACGGTGATAGAACGATCGCACAAAAAAACGCTTCGTTAAAAACGCTGTGCGAGGACCGACGGAAAACGTCCCGGGCTCTTGCACGCACACGCAGCCGTTAGGAGACCAAAATAAGCGACCTCTCGTGTTGAAAGGACTCGGCGTTGTGAAAGATTTTTAGGTTTTAATTTTACAGTGCGACCCGACCCTATCCCCCCCCCCCCGCCCTCAAGTCCATTGCAGTTCCATTTTTACAGCTTTCACTGCCTATTGATTTATTGCGTAATTTTTTAATCATGTATTTGTCAAACCGCTGCCGAGGTTCAGTTGCGTTTAATACTTTAAAACATAGTCGTTAATAAACTACGTTGTGTGTGTCGCTTTTTATATTGTTTCCCCCCCCCCACCACCTCCCTTAATTTTTTCGAGTCTCATCTTTGTAGACTACAAACTGGCTCTCCGTGTAGGCATGTCATTGCTCTCTGTTTATCCATATCGATCATGTAATTTCCAATAAAACATTTACTTCCAGAAGCTGCCGAGTGGTCTTTATTGTGGACATACAAACACCCAAAGCCCATTGTTTTCTTTTAACAGCAATAATACACGCCCCTCAAAATTAATTGGAATGAAATGTTTTTTTTTCACCAAGGTTTGCTGGAAATAGTCCAACGGATGCGGGAAAGTGGAGTCTCCATCTCTGTTCAGCATGACTCCAGATTTATCTCAACTATTGAAACTATTTTACTGGTAGGAACCTCCTGGTTACACCAGCCCACAGGGGATTATTGTGTCCGTCCGTCGTGCATCCAAACATGGGAGGGGTGGGGCTGGGTGGGGAGGTTGGGGAGGGTGGGGAGGGGAAGGGATGGTGGGGAGGGGAAGGGAGGGTGGGGAGGGGCTGGGTGGGGAGGGGCTAGTCACCCCGTGGTGCCCTTATAAAACTCAACGTTTAACCTACTCACGTCGGCTTGTGCCCGCTCTCACAGTCGGCCATATTTGCGGAATACACCACGCCGCCGTCGACCCTGGCCATTGACCGAGCAACCCAACGTTCCTACCAGCTCCCTCCGCAGGACAATGTGTTTTATTTGACCAGTTAAGGCCCACCTGAGCTATGTAGCGCTTTCAGAAGCGACCTGGCCATCACAAATGATAGACCAATGAAGTGGCTTATCATGTGGAAATGTATAGCAGCCAAATACTCTAAATGCATGTTTTTTAAATGGGGAGGGAAAACCTGGAGGGACCTGGAGAAAAATCCACGCGACCACGGGGAGAGAGACATGCAAACTCCAAATATACAGGTGTCAGGGTCGGGATCGAAACCTCTACCTACTTTATACCAGGCGAGGTAGTCAACATCTCGCCACCGTGGCGCCCCATTAATTCAACATCGGCACCCACGTCATCTCTTCTTGATTATTCGAAGTGAATATTCCCCGTCGTGCTAAAGGGCGGCGTGCAGGAGAGAAGCGTTCCACTGAATGGGAGAAATGTCCACCGGAAGAGATAGCGGAGGGACGTGATTACCCAGCAGTCTGACATTATTTATTGCGCGGTAGCAGAATGCGCCGCACTGGAATGCAAGTAACGCGAGCGTTATTCGTTTGGTGCCCTGTGGGGCTACGTTGTGGGCAGCAGAGGGCAGTCCAGCACTCCCATGTCTATGCTCCCCTCCCCCCAACTTTCACAAACCTGCACTGATCGGCGCCACTGAAAGGGTCGCAAAAAGTCACGTGGAGACTTTTCATTACCCGTGGATCATCTTCGCCCAAACGTCAGCTGTCCGAAAGCGCGGTAGTGACGGTCGGAAGAAACGCCAAAACCAGCGCGGCGAAAATGGCGATGAGCACCAGGTCTCGAAGCACGGAGCCGAAGCGGCCATGCCGCTGCTGCTGGCGCCGCTTCCCGTAACCGCGCTGCCGGAACCACTCGACCACTTCGCCGAACTCCTTCTCGGCGGGCGCGTATCCCAGCTCCCGGCGCGCTTTGCCCACGCTGAAGTAGTGCGTCACGCCCGTCTTGTACACCTCGGCGCGCTGTCAGCAGCGGTTGGAAGTCGACGGCCCACCCGACGGCCGCGTGCAGCAACTCGGTGAGAAACGCGACGGCGTACACGAGGAGCAGGGGCAGCCGCGTGCGCGGGAATTCGTACCCGAGCCCCTCGACGAGCGGCCGGAAGAACTCGAAGTTGTTGACGGGCCTGCCGTCCGACACGAAGTAGGCCTGCCCGCCGGCGGGGCTGCCCCTGCCAGGCGCGGAGGGCGTCGGCCGCGAGCGCGTGGGCGTCCACCAGGTTGTCGACGTGCACAAAGTCGACGCGGCTGTCGGGCCGGCCGTACACGAACGCGAAGAGGCCGCGCTCGATGTAGCTCACGACGCGCGGCAGGTGGCGCCGCTCGCCAGGGCCGTAGATCCCGGCGGGCCGCAGGGCGCACGTGCGGAGCGCGCCGGGCCGACGGGAGGCGAGGGCGCTGCCGTCGGCGCGCAGCACCGCCATCTCGGCGACGGCCTTGGTGCGCGAGTAGTTGTCCGGGTGCTTGTGCAGGGGCAGGTAGGGGAGGGACTCGTCACCGTTCTCGATGACCTGCGCGACGACAGCAGGCGACCAGGTGGGAGACAGCGGGTTGACCACGATCCGGTTTACTATTTCTAACTATTTAACTAAAAATGTTTAATCCATAATACAGGTTTTTTTGGGTTAGATCGCGTAAATATAGGGTGGTTAAAAAAAACATTTTTTACACTTATATGAGACTATCGTTTTTAATGGAAAAAGAACGGATAATAGACTGTAACATGATAACAAATGGATTTCAATAGCTTCAAAAAGTCAGTCTCCACTTGTTCGCCATCATTGTCAACACGTGCCTGGAATTTTGTCCAGGTGGTCTCCAGAGCCAAGAGTTACATTTCACGTGGTATTGTTGCAAATTCTCCGAAGTGTTAACATTTTTATGAAGCACCCTGTATGTAAATGTGTCGTTAAACCCGCCACCACCCGACACAGCCAATTAGTAAGATTTGTCACGTAAACAGAACGTAGCCAATTCGTTAGCAGTGTAGTGTCTTGAAATTACTCACACTGACACGGAGTAACAGGTCACCTGCTTATACTTTATTAATCTTACTCTCGCACCCGTTGTAGGCACTCCTATGACTGCCTTCCACCGTCACCACACTCTCTGCTTCTCCTGCTACCCGCTCTCATCTACTCCGCACCTCACCTACTCTGCATTTCACTTACTCTGCATCTCACCTACTCCTATCTCGCCTACTCTCTCCTATCTCGCCTACTCCCTCCTATCTCGCCACTGCCCTCTCCTACGCTGCCCCGTACCCACTCACCCGTCTGTCCCGGGCGGGGGGTTCAGCCAACACCTGCCCAGCGACGGCGTGAGGGGCAAGGTCCCATTGACGGCTCGAGCAGCAATGGCGAGATGTCTTCTCTCTTGGTCCCCGAACAACTCAACTCTGCTCACGCACACTCCCACTTATATACCCCTTCTCTCATTCTGAGTTCTCACGTGCTCCCCACTGAAGCTGTCGCCTGCACGGCGCCTCTCGCACTCATTAATCCCTAATCATCGCCCCCATCTCCCGTCTCTCCGGCGCCAACCTCTTGCCCCAGCGCGCACACCTGCTCGTCTTCGATTGCACCCGCTCAACCCCTTAATTACTGCCGGCTTTCCGGCGCCAACCTTCATGCTCCAATACGCACACCTGCTTTTCCTCAATTGCACCCGCTCATCTGCGCACACTGCGTACATCTCTACTCTACACTAGTACAGCACACGGGTGTGTTGGAGAGCAAAGCCACAAGATTTACAATCTGAGTACGACGTTTTGCCAGGAATTACAACCAGCTTCATCAGGCGACAGCCAGATTTGTGGAGAAATCCTCCTGTTTCGTTCCTTAAATAAAGGGGTAGATGTGATGATGTCACTTGTGAACCCTTCTTGAGTGAAGTGGAGGGGATTAATGAATGCATATAAATGACAATGGGTAACCATTGACGGTTGGGTTATTTTGTGTAATCAACGTACATTATGCATGCGCATTATACCAGGTAAGGCCCACTGAGCTCTATGGCTGTTTTTCAGAAGTGGCCTGACTATCACAAATGATAGCTCGACCAAGTGGCTTGTTGTCACGTGGAAATGTATTGCAGCCAAATAACTCTAAACGCGTGACGTTGATTTCAAGTGCGGAGGGGAAAAACCGGAGGACCTGGAGAAAAATCCACACGCCCACCGGGAGAGAGAAAGAGAGACACACCAATTCCAAATGAGGAATTGGCAACATATCCTGTAAAGAGCGTTGGAAAAGAGTGGTTAGGACTCGTTTTTTTTTACCTCTTCCTGTACAAAGAGCCTGGGTGGAGCAGATATACTCTGAACCGAAGTACCCGGAGAAATATCCACACGACCACAGGGGAGAGAGACATTTAAACTCTAAATACAGGTAGTCCTCTACTTACGATGGAGATGCGTTACGACGACCCCATCGTAAGTCAAAAATATCGTAAGTCGAAGATGGCCTAGCCTACCCAGGAGTCTTAAAGAATGGTGATCATTTAGCGAAACAGAGCAATTTACAGTACCGTACTGTATAAACTATATACTATATGTATTTATTAATTACAATACTGTATTGCACAGTAAAATGTAAAGTAAAAAAAACAAGGTAAATTCTTAGCCTACCTATGTGAACTGCAATTTAATAGAAAGGCGGGAGATGCGTACATCCCGGCAGCAGTCCCAACGTACAGTATCGTACCTCGTACGCTGCTGCGTTTGCCTGCCACGTGAAATTAAAAATATTTTACAATTTTGTCGTATCGCCATCGTAAGATCGAAATATCGTAAGTCGGACCATCGTAACTCGGGGACTATCTGTATATAGATATCGGAGTTGGGATCGATCCCACGACCTCCTATATACCAGGCGAGGCAGTTAACATTGAGGTTCACCGATCACTTCAGCTACCGCGGTGTCATCCTAGATCCTAGATTCAACTTTATCCTTCGACCGTCAAACCAATCATATCATCAGTTCATGTAACTTTCACCTGAAGGCTCTCACACACCTACGTCCTCTCATCTCCACTGAAACTGCCAACACATTGGCACGTTGCACAGTTGGGTCTCGCCTCGACTATCGCAACTCAGTCCTCATCCGGTCCTCCTCTGGCAACCTCAAAAAACTTCAAAGACTACAAAGCAACCTGGCATGCGTCGTCATTGGCCGCATGCATCCCCGTCTCGACTCACTAGTCTGTCTCCGTGCCCTCCACTGGCTACCTATTGCCAGCAGGGTCACGTACAAGATCGCCTGCCTCTGCCACCGCGCCTTCACATCTGCCTGCCCCCCGTACCTCCCTTCATTATTGACGACTTGCAGCTCAGCACATGGCAGATGCCTTCGCAGTGCGACTTACGACCTCCTCTTGATACCAAGATCCAGGACGGCCATGTCTACGCGCCGCTTCTTGGTGGCTGCCGCAACAGTCTGGAACGCCACCCCCTCTGCACATTCGCAGCATCCCCTCAATCGTTTCCTTCAAGAGACACTTAAAAACTCACCTCTACGACCGCGCTTTCGAGCGACTCTGAGCTTGGCTCCGCGCCTCTGAGTTGCGGCCGTTACGTCCGCAAATTTGCGCGCTTTATAAATTGCATTGTTATTACTAGATGTGCTCAGTGTGCCACACCTGCCCGCCAAACACGACGTTGTAGGTGCTGGTGTAGACGAGGCGCGGCACGCAGGCGCTCACGCATGCACGCAGCACGGCTTCCGTGCCGCCCACGTTCACCTCCTCGATCCGGCGACGCTTCAGCTGCTCGCGGCCAGACATGCCGAACGATGCCGTGTGGAACACGCAGTCCGCACCTGCGCGCGCGCGCACATACAAAGACAAAGATCCCCCGTATAGCTTCAACAGACTGTTGGGGCGAGTGCTGTTAGCGAGTAGCACCTATGAAGGCCGGCAACGGCACATGAGGGGATGGCCAATACCACGCCCTGCTGCCTTTGTCTCCCCAGCGGCAATGTTTACACACCGCACTGAGTACTCATTTGAGGCTGAGTTGACCTAGGGGAGGCCCACGGCCGTTTCGGATAATCGTCACTGGTGTTGGCTGTGAGCGGGAATCGAACTCGGGTGGCCGGGTGCGTAGCGCAGTGCACTAACCGCTACACAACCACTTCTCCCGCATACACACACGCACATACACAGAAAGGGAGGAAATGAGCTTGGGCAATGTCGTTGCTTTACGAACAATACAATACAACGCGAATGTGTCTTCTTACCATGCAGGTGTTCACGGTTATGCTGTCCAACTCTCCGATGTGTTTGTTGGGTTGCAGCACGTATCGTTAGGCGTCATGTCCGACGTTTCACTTCACATGCTGGGAGCTTCTTCAGGAACTGATCCTCTGCTTCATGAGGCCTACCAAATTACAAACGGCCCGCAGGCTATATTTCTCATTCATTGCACGCATCTTCGCTGCACTAATCGGATACCAGAGGGGCACATGTTCGACCTGGCAACACCGTTCCTAACGTTAGCGCGCTCACTTGCTTCTGGCACTGCAGGGGCCTCTTGCGGGGACAGAAGTAACTGAGGCGATCGTTCAAGTGTCGTTGCCAGCCAAAGTCATTCCAGAGTCCTGATCAACCCCAATGATCGGAAGGTATCCTCCACTGTCGATCGATGGGATCAGTTGCCCCATAGATGTGGCTCCAAACCGTTACCGCCACATAGGGCCACCCAGAGGTTCCTGGAGGTCCCATGGCCTGGGGCCCAGTACAGAATGCCAAACGTGGGGTCCCTCCGTGTTCACGAGTGGCCAAGAAAAACCAGGCCACGTTATGGGGGAGCCCCTCTTGTGTGCGGCCCGGGGCACCATCGGCAACAACGGGATGTTAGAGAAGGGGTCGACTCACCGGCGAAGGCCGATTCGAGGCAGCGCTCGTCCGTAACGTCGCCCTGGCGGAAGTCGATGCCGGGAGCGAGCGGCACGGACGGTGGCCGAGGCATGAGGTCCAGCAGCAGCACGCGGTGTCCACGCGCCGCCAGCGCCGCGCCGAGCCTGGCACCGGCGACCCGGGTCAGAGAATCGGAATCTTTATTTATACTGCAGGAGGAATCCGATGAGCTATGAAGAGCTTATTCACAAATGCCCACTAAGGGCGAGTCAGAACGTTCCAACATAAAAACACAATAGGAGTGCACAGTATAGGAAAAGTAAGCAAATCATTAAAACATATATATAACAAAAATTTTGCTTTTTTTTCAAATAAACTATTTTTTTTACCAGATAAAGTGCATCGAGTCGTTAGCTTCTTTTCCAGAAGTGACCTCGCCACAAATGATAGTTCAACGAAGTGGCATGAAAATCATGTGGAAATTTATAGCAACCAAATAATCTATACTCTTTGGTTTTTTTCGATAAAGTCACGTAGGTAAAAAATTAAATAGCTCTCTTCATACGCTACAGCAATTTTACTGGAGCAGTTACACCTGATGATGGAGGCTTGTGTTGCTTCCGAAACGTCGTGATTTAATTTATTAAAACATTTTACCTACGTGACTTTTCCGAAAAAATAGAGTATGAATCCTTGCAGTCACGAAAACTTCAAATCTAAAGCATGTTTCTCAATTGCAAGCGATGGCTTCACGCCTGCAATGGCCACGGTGGGCAATCCAGGTGGTTTGGCGACGTGTTACAGAGAGAGGTTTATCGGAAGGGGGGGTCTCTCTCTGTTCCTCCTCATGCTCAATCCACACTGCCTCTCTCTCTTCTCGCCCCCCTTCACTGGAACAAACTTCCCCCTCCACATTCAGCGGTCACCTTCGCTCACTAAGTTTCCGCTCCTCACTCACAACTCACTCATTGTTCCCTAGCTCGCCCGACGACCGCTTCTTAATCTCCCCCTCATCACCGCCACCGTTACTGTTTCCCTTTCATATTACCATTACACGGCTATAACTCATTAACCCTTTCTTTAAATCCGTTCATCATCATTTACCATCACCAATTTCGCTTTCAACGATCATCACAGATCCTCCCCCATCACTTCCTCTCTATTTCATTCACCTCATGTCCACCATTACACCCACACGCGTTGCTGTTGTTGTACCGTTGTTAATTATTTTAAAATCGCCTCGGTTAAAGGCGCTAGATAAATTCCGAGTCTACAGGTGATGATGACCGTTGCGGTGGCGGTTGTGCGGAATGGACAAACCTGCATCCAAAATATCCACCGCCGCCCGTAATCACGAACTTCTCTCCACCGTCCACCACGGCTGCGCCTTCGGCATTGTCCATGGCGTGGCGTGTGGCAGCGGGGATGTCCTGAAATGTAGAGGACACGCCGACAGTCATCGCCACGCGGGAGGTCCACTGCCCTAAACGTCGTCTGTTTATTTTCATTGTCGGGCGTCATCCACAGTGTTATTGATGCCGGATGCAATTACCAGCGAAACGTCGTACTACTCAAAAATTGTAAATGTTGTGGTTTCACTCTTCGACACACCAGTGGGCTAAAGTCGTGAACTATTTGTCTTTTGTCAACGTGACACTTTTTTGCTGATTGGCCGTGTCGGGTGGTGGAGGGTTACGACACATTTATAAATAACGCAATCTAACCCAAAAACGTTTATTATGAATTGATGAACATGTTGAGGTTTAATTAAAGATTGAGTTTATGTATGCATAATGTACGAGTTTATGTATTTCTACATTTATGTATGTATGCCTGCGTTAATGTATGTGTAGTGTCGGTGTGTGTGGAGCACACAGTCGGAGACGAGCTAGTTGCAGGAGGCACCTTTTATCTATTACACCATTCCGGGCGTTCACACTCACAGGATCGCCTCCTCTCCCGACCACGTTGCCACACAGCCCGGCCTAGAGCCCTAGACACAACCCTAGACACAACCCTAGACACAACCCTAACCGCGTTGCACCGACGATGTCGAACCGAGACAACCCACAACTCTCCGGCCGCGCAATTATCGGGCGAAGGCGGCAGCGACGACGAGACGAGTCCACTCCCAGAACCGACAGCCCGGAGCTCCCGCTCTCCGCTGCTTTTATTCTATTCGGCACGGCCTAGCTCCGCCCTGGCCACGCCTCCCTTCTCGAACCCACTAGCCGGTTCCAGGGGCCTCCCGATGAGGTCTTCCGTGACCCTTGCCCCAGTTCCTCCGCCCTGCCGGCACACAGCCGCGTATATGCGTTTACGTGTGCATGAGTTTACGCGTGCATGCGTTTACGTGTGCATGAGTTTACGTGTGCATGAGTTTACGCGTGCATGAGCTTACGTGTGCATGCGTTTACGTGTGCATGAGTTTACGCGTGCATGAGTTTACGCGTGCATGAGCTTACGTGTGCATGCGTTTACGTGTGCATGAGCTTACGTGTGCATGAGCTTACGCGTGCATGAGTTTACGTGTGCATGAGTTTACGTGTGCATGAGCTTACGTGTGCATGAGCTTACGTGTGCATGAGCTTACGCGTGCATGAGTTTACGCGTGCATGAGTTTACGCGTGCATGAGTTTACGCGTGCATGAGCTTACGTGTGCATGAGCTTACGTGTGCATGCGTTTACGCGTGCATGAGTTTACGCGTGCATGAGTTTACGCGTGCATGAGTTTACGCGTGCATGAGTTTACGTGTGCATGAGTTTACGTGCTCGAGTGCTGTTAAGGTGGGGGCCTGGGGTGGTTAGGGGATCAATTGGGACTTGCTCAACAAAGGCGGCACAGAGGTAGGTTCCTGCAGAAGAAAGTTGAACGATGGGTACAAGAGGGCTGCGCAGCAAAGTCCACAACTCTGGCTCACCGCCTGATGAGGCCGGTTTTTGTCATCTACAGCGAAAAATCGAACTCGAGTTGTGAATGTTGCGGGTTTACTCTCCAACGCGCACCCGTAACTATACAGTATTGTCATTGGGGCCGTCCATAAATGACGTCACGCAATTTTGGACGATTTTTGACCCCCCCCCCTCGTCACACGGAGTCACAAAAAGTCAGACACCCCCTCAAATGACGTCACAAAGCTCTGCCCCCCCCCCTCCCCCCCCCCAAAAAATAAACATGCTTCAAATCACTTTAAACTATTGTCATTGTAGTGCGTATTTAATGTGGCGCTGCACTCTGATGTTGCAGGAGAAAACACTTAATAAAAAGTTTATTTAATTAAGTAGAACGTGTTGTCTCTATTTATTTAAAGTTGCGCATTGATGTGACGTCACATTTCTCAACACCCCCCCTAGGTGCGTGACGTCATTTATGGACGGCCCCTTACGTGACAAACCTAATTGGCTGCGTCGGATGGTGGCGGATTTAACACGACAAAATTACCTTTTTTTCTTGGTTCTTTCGGTAAAGTCACGTAGAAGGGAAGCAATAAAATAATAAAAATAAAATAAAATAATTCTCACGACGTTTCGGCCACAACGCAAGCAGCCGTCCTCATTTTATAAAAATAAAATATAATAAAATAATATAATACCTGAGGACGGCTGCTTGCGCTGTGGCCGAAACGTCGTGAGAATTATTTTATTTTATTATGTTTTATTTTTATTATTTTATTGCTTCCCTTCTACGTGACTTTACCGAAAGAACCAAGAAGATGGATCCCTGCAGTCACGAAAGCTTTAAATCGAAAATTACCTTTATTATGCAATAAACAAAAAACCCATTGTACTGTATTATTCTGCCACGTCGACGGTGAATTCTCACCTTTACAACAACCCCCCAGTGACCGGGATGGTGAAGTATGGTCAAATAAAATCACCACGACCCGTAGCACGTGCCAGGGGGGGTGGGCCAGCAAACCACGCCCGGCCGCCTTTGTCTCCCCCCTCCTCCCCCCCTACCGCACGCGTGGATACTCGTTTTGAGGCCGAGTCGACCTAGAGGAGGCCCGGCACCGCTTCGGATGTTCCAACGGCGGCTCCCCCCAATTGCCACGGTACGACGCGCAACGTTGGGCCGGCGTTCGGTTTACAACAACAGCAACAACAACAACAGCAGCAACCACAACAATAGCAACAACAACAGCAACAGCAGCAACCACAACAACAGCAGCAACCACAACAACCACAACAACAGCAGCAACCACAACAACAGCAGCAACCACAACAACAGCAACCACAACAACAGCAACCACAACAACAGCAACAACAACAGCAGCAACCACAACAACAACAGCAGCAACAACAACCACAACAACGAGGAGACACAACAGCGTTGTCAAACAGGTAACCCCCGACTCACCTGCACGCCACCCCGATTAGAATTCCCAGCGCGTATGGTGGTTGGGGGGGCCCCGGCAGGGTCGCCTATCCGCTCTAGCAAATGCACAGCGCGCTTCCGCCCACCGTGGTTTTTAAAAAAATATTTTAAAACGCCGGCGTGCGTGATGACGCAATGTCGCCCGCGCACGCTCGCGCGCGATGACGCAATGTCGCCCGCGCACGCTCGCGCGCGATGACGCAATGTCGCGCACGCTCGCGCGCGATGACGCAATGTCGCCCGCGCACGCTCGCGCGCGATGACGCAATGTCGCCCGCGCACGCTCGCGCGCGATGACGCAATGTCGCCCGCGCACGCTCGCGCGCGATGACGCAATGTCGCCCGCGCACGCTCGTGCGCGATGACGCAATGTCGCCCGCGCACGCTCGCGCACGATGACGCAATGTCGCCCGCGCACGCTCGCGCACGATGACGTAATGTCGCCCGCGCACGCTCGCGATGACGCAATGTCGCCCGCGCACGCTCGCGATGACGCACGGTCGTGCGCACACGCGCGCGATGACGCAATGTCGCCCGCGCACGCTCGCGATGACGCAAGGTATAGGAAAGATAAACACATTTTTGTTTCATCTTACCAGGTAAAGCCCACTTGAGCTATTCGCTTATTTTCAGAAGCGACCTGGCCACAAATAATAGCTCAACAAAGTGGCGTATCACGTGGACATGTATAGCAGCAAAATCATCTGAACGTAATCCAGTCATACCCCGGTTTACGTCTTCCTTTTGCGTCGTTTTCACAAATACGTCGTCACGTAATGAACACCACGACCCGATTTGCGTCGTCTCAACCCTCATGTCGCCGGCAGCATCGTCCGTCCTTTCTCGTATCCGTCGCCTCCACCTACTGCCCTCTGAGTTGCTTTGGCGTCGTTTCCATATCCGTCGTCGCAGCCTTCAGGAACGCATCCCCGACGTAAACCGAGGTATGACTGTACATGGGTGGCGACGTCGCTGCATTTCGTAAAGACGTCAAAAAGTGTACTGGCGCGGTGACGCTAAACCTGCAACGGAGCTTGTGAATTGCTAAAATGTCACCAGACGTTAATAGTTGGCTTACATAATGTACGGTACTGTGTAGTATATACTATGGAGCAACTGTGGAAGACTTGGGAGGGCTCCAGCCATAGGAGGAGGCTAAGCACACCAGGTGATCACCTTGACTCCCAGTCACGTTTTAGACATAACGCAGGATCAGCAAACACTGCCACTTGTTTGCAAATCAACAGGCTGTTGGACTTACGAGATATCACCATAGCGTCTCCAGAACACACCCCTATAGCGTTTAAACTAAACAGAATTTAAACTGCGAAATATAATTTTTGTGTTGTTTTTTTGGCATATGTAGAATAGTGTGAAAAAAGTACAAGAAAACTATATTTTGGGTGATAAGGAAATTTGTAGATTTATTGACACTTGTTAAGTGCAATGACATGAATCTTCTCGAAAACGTTTGGGGCACTTCATTCACTGCTACATCGGGTGGTATGATGCACCTGGGAGAGTGGCGAAGCAGTTGTGTGCAACGATTTGAAGGCCTCATCGAAACCCAACAAGACCCGCTTGCTTTCCCTCTCTCCGCAAATAAAATACGCGAAGTGATGAGGGCAACACAAATAGTCTCAACGCCATATCCATTCGTGAATAGTGGCTGTTGGTATGCATTGCCAGTTTGGGTATAGTTTGTTCTTGAAACAACGTGGCCATGTTTCCCACATATAAGATAAAAAAAAAAGAAAATTCCACTCTCTGAAGTAAAAAATGTTACAGCATGCCAAGCAATGCTGAGTTATTATTATCTGCATATCCACATTGTGCAGAAATATCACGTCAGGTAGTGCCAGTTTAGTACTGTATTGTTCAGTAGCTACTTTCGCATTAGATTGTGCGATACAGAATTACTTTGTGATTTTAGGCGGTTTCAGCGATGTTCATAACCAGTAATATTGCTTTCCATATTATAAACATAAAATAAATAACATTACGAGCTGTACATGTGTTTTTATGGAAATAATTGGGTTTTGTTGGGAATTATTCGGGTTGTAAGGACATACAATCACACTGTCAATTAATATCCAATTTCCATTGCCTTTCTCAATCGTGTCTTGACCATCTTAACACCACGGCACCACATCTCTCACAGACAGAAAACAAATATCACATTCACTCACATTAATAAACCTCTTGTTTTTTTGCGGAGGAAAAACAACAACAAAATCTGCAGTGAACGGATTCCAGTGACATTAAAAGGAAGCACAATAGTCAATACTGTTTCCAACGACTGCCACAATCCATCTGAACTCCAAGGGGGCGAGGGAGGGAGTCATGGCTCTGCCCTGCAGTGATTTACTCCTTGCGAGCCATCTTGGCCTCCTCCTTTTCCCGCGGTTTTTCAGGAACAACAACGTCATCGTCGTCGTCGTCGTCTCGATCGTGCACGCTCTCCTCCTGCTTGAAAACAAACGGCTGGTCGTGGCCCATTAGGTGCGCAAAGTCCAGGTAGTCGCGGAACTGCGACGGGTCAACGAGGAAGGGCCGCCCGGCCGCGGTGAAGGTGGTGAACATGCGTGCCACGCCCGGCACGGCGACGGCATCGCGGTGGAAGGAGGTGTGGCGCTCGGTCAGAAACGCGGTTAGCGTGACGGCTGTGTACTCATCGCACTCCGGGTTGTGGTAGAGGCGGCTAACGTAGGAGCGCGTGATAAAGTGCAGCGCTGCCGGAGTCATGAACGTGAAGATGAGCCATGCCGTGCCCAGCAACGCCTGCACGGAAAGAACAAAAATGTTACGTGCATTAAATTTCGATTTAAAGCTTTCGTGACTGCAGGGATTCATCTTCTTGGTTCTTTCGGTAAAGTCACATAGAATGGAAATAATAAAATAATAAAAATAAAACATAATAAAATAATTCTCACGACGTTTCAGCCACAACGCAAGCAGCCGTCCTCAGGTGAAGCTTAAATGTACGCTCCAAGCGTGGTGTTGTTTCATTCAGACGCTGTCTCCCCGACAGACCTGGTCTTCACCTGAGGACGGCTGCTTGCGTTGTGGCCGAAACGTCGTGAGAATTATTTTATTATGTTTTATTTTTGTTACGTGCATTGTCAAAAAAATATCTGCAGGCTGAGGTGTGTGGCTATCTTTATAATAGGCAATTCAAAGTGCATTAATGCATAACCTTCAGATGTTCGTTGTAATCTATAAAAAATGTATCCAAAGGAGAGTGGGTAAATGTTATCTAGCGCTCATTATTGGTTACTTTGCAAAGAACATAAAAGCTATATATACCAATTATGTACAGTGATAAATATTTTGTCATGGAAAAACAATTGACGATGATTGATAAAAAACGCAAAGATGTGTTACATTGGAGCATGAATGAATGATGCATAAAAACGACGCTACACAGTTTTTCTGGATTTTCTTAAAAGCTGTGGCTGTTGCAGACATCTCCTCAGCAGAGGTTTGGAAAAGGGTGGCAGACATACCTGGAAGGCAGTACCTGCTTCAGCAAGTCCAGTCTGAGCCATTAGTGTAGGGGCTATGGCCAGGCTCATCACACTGGATGAGTAAGATAGCACCTTCACTCCTACACATCCGACAGACATGCATTATTACACAAAGACAAAGATGCCCCGTATAGCCTTAACAGGCTGTCGGGGTGATGTTAGCAAGCACCTATGAAGGCCGACATGGCACACGAGGGGTTGGGTAGCCAACACCATGCCCGGCCACCTTTATCTCCTGAGTGGTGAAGTTTAAACACCGCATTCGGTACTCATTTAAAGCTGAGTCGACCTAGGAGAGGGTCAGGACAAGTTCAATAAAATAGTCACTGGTGTTGGCCATGAGCAGAAATCGAATGCGCTGCGCGCTAACCGTTACACTACCGCTCCCCACACACATATACACTCTCCAAGTAGTCTCGCCAGACTTATAATGGGAATTAAGATATCTCAGGAATGGGTTAGGTGTGTACTTTGATGAGCTTTAAATTCAGAAATATAGTTATTTCTTAATGGGGTGGAACAATGACACAGTGGTTAGCACATCACGCTATACATCCAGCAACCTGAGTTCAATTCCTGTTGATTGTTAAGAGTGGTCAGTGAGGGTTGGTGAAAGAGAAGTCACCACCAGTTCAGAAAGATATTGCCACTGTGAGTCGTAACTCGAAAATCGAACTCGGATCGGTAATTTCAAAGAGCAGTATGCTAGCGACTGCGCCACCACTCCACCCCACTCATTCTTTAAATATCCAATACGATATTTTATAACATTTCAAATGAGTTGCATATCACACTGACCAAAGAAATTAGCGTGGTTAATTTTTGTTCCGATGTTTGCGAATACTAAACAATTTTTTTTTATTTTATCTTAACAGGTAAGGCCCACTCAAGGATATTGCTTTTTTCAGAAGCGACCTGGTTATCACAAATGATAGCCCAATGAAGAGGCCTATCATCATGTGGAAATTTGTAGCAGCCAAATAATCTAAATGCACGTTGATTCGAAATGTAGAGAGAAAACCCGGCGGACCCGGAGAAAAAAATCCACACGATCACGGGGAGAACTTGCAAACTCCAAATATACAACAGGCGTCAGGGTCTGGATTGAACCCACGTCCTCCTGCATACCAGGCGAGGCAGTTAACATCTCCTAGCCACCGTGATGATGATGAGAGAGAGACACGCAAACTCCAAATATACAGCAGGAGTTGGGATCGAACCCATGACCTCCTGCATACCAGGCGGGGTAGTGAACATCTCGCCACCGTGGCACCCAAAGGACACAATGGAATTAGGACTATCCCCTTCCTAAGAACAACCAGCAGCAGCAACCACCACCCACCTCGGACTCTGCTGGTGAAGTTGCCATCGTAGATGAGCCACCCCTGAGCAGAGGCGGTCGACCCACCGCTCACCTTGCTGCACAAGCCCCGTCTGGTCCACGGCTGCCAGCGTGACGCCTGTAGAGTTACCTGAGAGCGAGCAGAAAGACCGGCCATCAATCACACAAGAATGTGAATGGTGAAACATTATATAAAACAATATTTTTATTATTTTATTGTTTCCCTTCTACGTGACTTTACCGAAAGAACCAAGAATATGAATCCCTGCAGTCACAAAAGCTTTAAATAAAAAAAATTGTGAAATATTGTCAAGAAATTGCACAAAAATTATTTTAATAAAACAGGCACTTACTGCAACAAAAATTACCCAGCCAATGGCAATTCGGCACCACCTACACATACTCTTAGTTCTTTCGGTAAAGTCACGTAAGTAAAAAATGAAACAAAAATTCATAAAAATAAAACAATGAAAATCACGACGTTTCGGAGGCAACACAACACATGCAGCTAATCTGGCTGTGACGGTCCCACCTGATGACGGAGACTTGTGTTGCCTCCGAAACGTCGTGATTTTCATTGTTTTATTTTTTATTAATTTTAATTTTATTTTTTACCTACGTGACTTTACCGAAAGAACTAAGAGTATGAATCCTTGCAGTCACGAAAGCTTCAAATCTAGAACCAACTACACAGTTGCTTACAGTAGCATAAATACTAACAATAACAAAAATACGTCACATTCCTTAATAACCCTTGCTTTATCATTACAAAACATATACCGAATACTGCAATAGATGTCATTAGTCAACTGATCATGTCTGTCAAATGGGCGCGTTACAAATTAAAGGCAATATTTACTAAAAGTGGTTAATCCACAGTACACTGGTACCCATAAAAAAAACATGAAATTTCCAAAAGAGCAGATTAGAATACACAAACTATATATAATCAACGTTTTTGGGTTTAGATTGCGTTACTTATAAATGTGTCGTATCCCTCCACCACCCGACACGGCCAATCAGTAAAAAAGTGTCACGTTGACGAAAGACAAATAGTTCACTGCTTTAGCCCACCGGTGTGTTGAAGCCAGAATTGCCCGATGATGCTGGATGCAATTACCAGCGAAACGTCGTGCTACTCAAAAAGTGTAAATGTTGTGGTTTCACGCTTCAACACACCGGTGGGCTAAAGCAGTGAACTGTTTGTCTTTCGTCAACGTGACACTTTTTTGCTGATTTGCCGTGTCGGGTGGTGGAGGGTTACGACACATTTATAAATAACGCGATCTAACCCCAAAAACGTTGATTATGAATAATATTGTTCGCGAAAGCCTACGTGTTAAACAAACTATAAAGTCTGTTGCGTTGTACCAATTAAAATACAAACGTGTCCCATGAACCAAATCCGAACCGAAAATACAAGCAATCGAAATTATCAACAAGCACGCGATCGTGTTAAAGCCCACGCCGATGTTACTGTTTATGAACATTATCACTGTGCTTATAATAAACGCACTTTGTCAAACAAACCACCCTCGGTGAAGGCGCAAGAAGAATACGAAGTTGCAGCGAGTCGGGGCATCGAGACCGGCTCGGGCCTTCCGTCGTGCCCGGCGATGCGACCCCGAGCCGGGCAGAGCTTCCATCCGAGGCCGCCCCACCCCACGGGAAGCCCGCGCCTCGGGCCCAGCGACAGTGCTGCCAACATCGCAAAATGCCCACGGCCTTTCCTTTTATTTACGATTCACACTTTTTGAATGTCGCTTTATTTAAAGTACAATCTGCATACAATTAGAGGGGTCGGGCAACGTCCGCGGTTACTTAATTCGCGTTTAAGGTTAAATGAGGTTACGCTGTTTGAACTTCAAAGTGCACGTGCGTGAGCAGTGCATAAATGACGTCACGCAATTTTGGACGATTTTTGACCCCCCCCCCTCGTCACACGCGTCACAAAAAGTCAGACCCCCCCTAAAATATGACGTCACAAACCGCAAATAAGGGGCCGTCCATAAATGACGTCACGCACTTACGGGGGGGGGGGTGGATTCAGACATTTGTGACGATGTGTGACGAGGGGGGGGGGTTGAGAAATTTGACGTCACATCAAAATGCGCAACTTTAAATAAATATAGACAACACGTTCTACTTAATTAAATAGACTTTTTAATAAATGTTTTCTCCTACAACATCAGAGTGCAGCGCCACATTAAATACGCACTACAATGACAATAGTTTAAAGCGATTTGAAGCATGTTTTATTTAGGAAGTGGGGCAGAGCTTTGTGACGTCATATTTGAGGGGGGGGGTCTGACTTTTTGTGATGCCATGTGACGAGGGGGGGGGGGTCAAAAATCGTCCAAAATCGCGTGACGTCATTTATGGACGGCCCCCAATTCGTTACTAACTTTGGGACGGATTGTTGTGGATCCACTCTCGAACACAACATTTACAGTCTAAGTACGACGTTTTGCCAGTAATTACAACTTGCTTAATCAGGCGACAGCCAGATTTGGCCAGATTTGGCTGTCGCCTGATGAAGCTGGTTGTAATTGCTGGCGAAACGTCGTACTCAGATTGTAAATGTTGTGGTTTGGCCTTCCAACACACCGGTGTGCTGTACTAGTACACTACACTATACACTACACAATACACTACACTATACACTACTATACACTACACTATACACTACACACTACACTATACACTACTATACACTACACAATACACTACACTATACACTACACTACTATACACTACACTATACACTACACTACTATACACTACACTACTATACACTACACACTACACTACTATACACTACTATACACTACACTATACACTAATATACACTACACTACTATACACTACACTACTATACACTATACACTACTATACACTACACTATACACTACACTACTATGCACTATACACTACTATACACTGCACTATACACTACTAATACACTACACATTACTGCTGCACTGGTGACGAATTGGCCACGTTCTGTTTACGTGACAACCCTCACTAGTTGGCTGTGTCGGGTGGTTACGGGTTTAACGACACGTGTGTGTGTGTATATTTACGCGATCTAACCCCTAAACATCTCTATTATGGAGAGACACCTGCTTATTTGTGGTACACTTTGAAGTTGTTTAACATTCGTGAACTCGGAACCAAAAAGTCGCGGCGGAGTTTAATTTTTGTTTCCACCCGGACCGAAACCCGCCCCCACGCTGCGCGGACCCGGAGTGGGCGGTACCCTTTTATTTTGGCGGGAAGTCGCGGCGTTCTTTTAAACGTGTCTCGCTCCGATCACTTTCCTTAAGTGTTCAGTCTTATTTTATTTCGCGCGCAGATTTTATTCGTCTGATTTATTTTTTTAGACCTGACTTTTAGTCTGTAATTTTAAATCGTAGCGTTTTATTTTAAATTTTTATGGACAGGTACTTTGTGTACACTGTCGCGCTTTCGCCTGACGTGGGCGGCGATGTTGAACGTGAGTCTGGTCTGACGTTTTATAATTTTCGACCAACGTGCACTGCAGTTGTACTTTAATATGCGGTGGCCTTTGACCATGCGCTGAGGTAAAGTTTAAAGCAGGGGTCGGGAACCTTTTTGACTGGGAGAGCCATAAAAGCCAAATATTTCTAAATATATTTCATTGAGAGCCATATAGTATTTTTAACGTATAATAAATTAAATATGTCTTGCTTTTAATGCGACTTCTGGTGCTACATGGTTTTGCTGATGGCCTTGTAGTCTGGTTGAGCTTCGTGCAGGCGTGACCCGTGCAATTTATCTTCAAAACTAATTTCTGTTTACTTTAAAATGACACGGTATTATTAAGCAAATATCACAAGTATTTTAAAATCAGTTCCAAACTGATTTTTTTTTTCAACTCAAAAATTGTCTGGGAGCCATATGCCGTCACCAGAAGAGCCATATATGGCTCGCGAGCCATAGGTTCCCGACCGCTGGTTTAAAGGGATCTTGCCGATGGGTTTTAAAGAAGAACTATAGTTCGCATTGAACGTTGAGAACAGACTGGCCGATTCAAACAGTCTCTTGTCAATTAACACGCAGTAGTCATGACAATTTACACTTATCACAGCCTACGTGTATATCTATGTACTAGAATCTAGTGTGTATTCCAATACAGCACGAATTGCACCTTAATGTAACGTCCCATTGTACAGGGAGGTCCATGTCTTGTGACCCCCCCAATTAATTGACCCCTAAACACTTTTTTCCTTCGCATATTCATTTCTGTTTTAAATAAACCTCACTTAAAATTATTCACTGTTTGATAATTCAATGGGGGGGGGGGCGGTGACAAGACATCTGGACCATCTTGTACAGTCTGCAATGTAGTCTATGACACAGGTCACACGTTGCTTGGACTTTTTATAAGTTCTAGATTTGAAGCTTTCGTGACCGCAAGGATTCATACTCTTAGGTGTTTTAGCTGTGACGGTCCCACCTGAAGACGGAGACTTGTGTTGCCTCCGAAACGTCGTTATTTAATTGAGTTATTTTCATTTATTATTATATTATTATTTTAGCCTACGTGACTTTACCGAAAAAAAACCTAAGTTTTGATATACTATGAGACCTCCTTTACCAGTGGCAAAATATAGTAATAGGTTTTTACCCTTTCAACTGGTACAAAAACTGACACCTTTATACAAGGGATCCATGGAGACTAGGCTCTAAGAAAAGCTGTCTCGGGTGTGGACCAATCAACTTCAAGGACTGCATATCATTATCAGAGTTATTTTTTGTTTGCATTTTGACTGCTTGTGTTGTGGTTATTGCAAACATGATCCCTTGTATTTAGTTTTGATATGTTTATCGGCTTTCTGAATATGATTCACAACGAAACCAGTGGTACGACACATTTTCACAAGCTCGTTCCATCATATACGAGTTGGAATGGTGTGGATAAGTGCTTCTGTACATGCCACATTACATTTTATAACACAGCCCATGTTACAATTTATAATAAAGTCCACTGTGCAGTCTATCATGCGTTTATAGTACTGTAGAACAATGTTAAGTCCGATCCATATTTATATTTAGGTTAAACCACACAGTAAGTAGTTTTATGCCAACATTCTTGCCCTTAACTAATGTCCAATAATCTTGATTTGAAGCTTTCGTGACTGCTGGAATGTCCAATAATTTGGCATCCAAACACTAAGTGGCCAAACCCCAAATCAAATATGTGTGAACCTATTTACTACGAAAACCTACGTTTTAAGCTAATGTTAAGTCTATACCCATACAGCAACTCACATTAAAGTCTATATTTTGTGCCAGAGTTACATTACAGAATAACCCTTTTGCATCCAGGTAACTGCACTGTCAATCTTCTTACTCATGGGTATGCAAACCTCTCTAAACTTCTCTGCTCTATTCAAGGCGAACCAGAGGAGTTCACCGCAGCTAAGGAGTTTTACGCACACATCAAGGAGTGTTTTGTGGAGAGCGTCAACAATAACCGAGCACGTTGCCTTTCAGGTAACAGTCCAACGTGCAATATGTGGAGTGGGTTTCTGATGAGATGATTAATTTGAGTGAGTACCAATGATTATTAAAAAAAATATTGCAAAGGATTAATAGAACACACCTTGAAAAAAGTATGTTATTGAATTTTAGAATTTTTAATTAATTTTTATTTTAGTGAATTTATTTAGACCACAGACAATGAGAAAAAAAGCTGTTTTGTTTCAGTCACACAAATAATGCACCAATAAAACAGGAAAACCTTAAGTTTTTTGTTGCGTAATATTACAATTTAGTGGCTAGCACTTGACAGACGTTTGCTTAATTGTGTAAAATCGCTAATCACCGTGTTGGAGCGATGTTGACTTGTTTTACATTAAGCTGTTCTTATTTTCTCACAGAATGCTCTCCACACACCGTTGCTCCCCCACGCTGGTATTTTGCTGTCCAAGTTGTGGGAAAACATTACCAGGTGCTGTAATGTTCAACACAAACACCTCTTTTATATCTGTGGGACCTTTTTTTCAGTATCGAAAATGATGAAAATTAGAATAGGTTTTACCCTTTCCACCTCTTTTACAGCTACACAAACCCAGGGTAAGCCTCTCCTGTGTGTTGACACTGCTACACAAACCAAGGGTAGGCCTCTCCTGTGTGTTGAACTTCGTTCGCACCGTACGTAGCCAACTGTGCTAATCGGAGGTGCGGGGGAAGGACAACAAACTAAACACAAACAATGTATAAAGAAGTTAGTTTTACATCTAGGTTTAAAAGCACATTGCTTCAGTGATTTCCTACTTGGCCTGTCTGACAATATTTGGTATCTTTGTCAATGATAATACATACTTAAATGTACAAGTGTAATGACCCAGATGGCAAAGTAGCTAGGAGCCACTTTAGTCACACAGAACAATCCGGGCTTTGTGCTTAAAGTTGAAGCTGCACTTTCCCTCGAACGTGCCCTCCCCTTGTCCTCTGCCCTTTTATATCGTTCCTGTCCCCTTTCTCGAATGTTCCCTCATTGTCCTTCCCCTCTAACGCATCCTAACTGTCGCCCCTGGGTTCCACTTTGTTTCCTGCCTATTCTCATTAAAACCCTTTTCTCCAATCAGTTCAAACGCCTGCCTCCCGAACAATCCCTGTGGGGGCCTCTTTCCGCCAATCGTAGACTTTGGTTTATCTTCGAATAGCAGTTAGGCTGCACATTGGCTTGAGGTACGTTTTCGGTCATTGCACATCGGTGCAATATCACTCGCATATACAAATAAAGGTGTAAAGGTGGAGCTGTGCAATTTCTTTCTCATGTCCCTGCTGGTAGAAGCACCTCGGCTAGAAGAAGCTCTAGAGAGCTCCTCTAGTGGGTGTTTGGCATCTTTCTCCCATGCTGGCCAGAATGTCTTGGAAAACGTGGGAGCATCCATGAAAGAAAATCGTAAAATTATTTTCTATCCAGTTTTGTATGATGTCCTCATATTTTGATTTAACCTTCATATTATAAGTTAATTGCCATGCCACGTTGACGATGCATTTCGCTCACTTGACATAATACCCCAGATGTGATCATCAGTGCTGTAGCCAGGACCCATGAAACGATGATGTGTTTTTTTTTTCTCTCTAAATCGCAGTTGCTGAGCACAGGCCCAAAGGCCCAAAACACCAAGTGGCCAGCAACAAACAGCACTTTTGAAGGTGCAATAATTAAAACTTAATACGTTTATTGAGTTGAATAAGACCATAAGAATTTGGGAAAAGAAGCTATGAGAGGGAACTCCAAAGTCGTGCAGCACAGGGAAAGACACAGTCACAAAAGTTGTTTAAACCTATGGTAAGGTGGTGGTTGAACGCAGGATGGATGAGGTGAAATAGTCAGTCTGCTAGATTGATTTCTCAGCATGGCTGATTGAAGTTCACAGGAACAGTAACCATGGTAATAGAAATAGAGTAATACGCTGGTGGTCGATTTACTGGAGTGAATCAGTTTGTGCTGGATCATCACTAAACCTGACTACTTTGCATTGAAATTGTCACATTTCTCAGTGTCTCTATCAGAGGTCACAATCGGATACCCGTACCCTACCCGATACCCGGCTACCCGTACCCGGCCGGGTACGGGTCCGGGTACCCGTTTGCGACCCTGGTGCGGCCGGGTACGGGGGGTAAGGAATCAAAACCCGTTTGCGACCTCTGGTCTCTATCCACACGCTGCGCAGGTGTGCAGCCCCAAGTGGCTGGAGGTGGGCTCGGAGGCGGATGGAGCCTTGGCCGAGTGTTTGTCGGCTGTGCGGTCATATGAGGACGAGGTGGACAGCCAAGACAATGACGAGGACAGGTGCCTACGCTGCACCCTCTTCCACTCTTTCAAAATCTATCTCCTCCAGTGTCATGTTGCTTATGAGATTTAGAAATGTGATGAATAATAGCACAAGTGTCCGTTTTGAGCTGGTGCTTGAGTACTGTTCAGCAATTTTTCGTGAAATTGTCATTGATAATTGGCTCCCAGTTCTCACTTGAATTCTCGTCCATTCTGTGATGCAGCAGGTGTCACATTGGTGAAGCGGCCGAGTGTTTGCACCGTTTGGCAAACGATCTCCCACCGCCAGGTGACGAACCATGCAGGCTTCCCTTCTATCAGCCATGGGCCTACACCAACAATTGCCTTTATCTTGTTGTAAAACAGTCAAGTTATCTATTTGTCTTTATTATATCTACAATTTCTGCTCTGACCCCACGGTCATAATTCCTGCACGGTCTTAATTGTGCATTTGTTATTTTTCATTCTTATTTCCGCGGTGTGCAACAAGGCCGGGCGCTGTTGGACGTCACATGGGCCGCGTACCGCCTGCCCGCCCCTGTCGAGTTCCTCCCTCTGCTCGGAGCCCTGCGGCGCATGGCAGAGTGGCATGCAGCACGGATCTCCGTTTTCTCGTCGGGCACCTTCACGTACGTCCGCCCCTCACTGTTATTTCCCTAATTACACTTTGCTGATGAAACGGTCTACACTTTACGGTAAATGTAACCACCTTCGGCAACGCAGATGCAGTAGTACCGAAGCAGCCAACATTATGTTTAACTGTCAGTTTTTATTAGGTTAGAAGCATACTACGACCGGAGATCAGTTCCCGGCCACCACAAATATCAGTGGCTAGGAGTGATATCTGAACCAGTCTTGGCCTCCCCCGCTTCTCTAACCCACACCGAAGTGTGGTCCGACAACCTCAATGGTCGATACAGAGTGGCGAGGACCTCATTGCAGAGTGGATGAAAGCACTCCAAAAAAATTATGACATTGCAATTTCACCTTGTAGTCTGCTTGATTTTCTTTCATATTACACAACTGGTTCCTGTACATATTGCACCAAGAGAGGTTTGATATTTAATTAAATATGATTTTCATGATGGTGAGCTGCCAAGTGTTTTTCTACTCTTGCTCAAAAGATCATTGTAGCCGTCCTTTCTTTACAAATTCTACATTCTCACTGTGAGAGACATTATTTGCGTGGATTTACCACCATTCACTTCCCACTTTGTTGACTCCGTATTGATGATGAGCTGATTCGCGCACAGATGCTGGATTTAAACTTGTGAGCGTTCGACTGTAGGCACCCGAATCACAGTGCCAACGAGCAGAATCCATATTGTTCTCCTGCATGTTTTGTTGTTTTTGTGGCACAGGGTGAGCCCTGGCATTGTGAGCTTCCTACAGGCGCACACGTGGGAGTTGGGTGACGGCGCGTTGTGTCCAGCGGACGTTGCAAGGACCGTGGATGTACACATGGTGTGGCGGGGAGATGTACGCGTATTCAACAACGAGGTGAGCGTCGTCCCCGTGGCCTGAAAGCATAATGCAATGCAAAGCAAGGAACACAAAATTATGCATATGTATGGATTCCTCAACAAAATGTATTGTGGTGGCATGGTGTGTGGTGAGTGGTAGCAGCGTGTGGCGAGTGATTAACTGGTAGGGGATGTGTGGTGGCAAGGAGATGTATGCATGTTGAACTTCTTTCGCACCGTATGTAGCCAACCGTGCTAATCGGTTCTACAACTCAGTGCACCGGAGTGTGGTGATGAATGGCACGGTGTGTGTGTAGTGGAGAGAGGCCACTGGCAGTAAAGCGTTGGGGTGAGTCGTTGCTGTGTTGGTGCAGAGAGTTACGTAGTGAGAGGTGGGTGGAGAATGGTAGCAGGGTGCATGGTGAGGTGTTTGTTGAGGGGTAGTTGGGTGTGAGGGGGAGGGTCTGTGCTTGAGAAGCTGTGGGCTTCAGAGTGCAACTGAACGTTTTGGTTTATCTAAAAAAAAAAGTCAGATTTACTATTCATCTTTGAATTTGGATCTGGCAGGACCCGAGTTAATGTACTTTGCAGGACAGTAAAACATGCTGTTCTCTGTACGCTGACTTCTGCGCAGGCACCCGGTTCGGATGTGATCTTCCCAGGAGTGAAGCTGAAGACACTGCCCAGAGATTCTCTCTCGGAGGCCCTGGACCCACCCGACAACTCGACAGCGGAGAAAACACCGCGGAGAAGGAACGCTAGAGGGTGGAGGAGGAACGCCGTTCCAGAGGTGCTTGTTGTAGTCAATGGGTCCAGACCAGTGGCTCGTGACATGTAACACCTTAGGTTTACAGTATTTTCCCCATAAACTTATATTGCTTTACTAAATGGAAAATTTCCACCAATATAAGTTGAGGGAAAATGTAACTGAAGGGAAACTAGTTCTATACTGCAAATAACATAAGGTTGCAGCTTTAGTGACCTATTATGCATAATAGCTGATTTTATATTAAAAAAATCGAAATTAGAAACACAGGGGTGGTCAGATGGCGTGATGACGCGACGTGACATCGTAACGTCTGTACACGTCACATTGCGCACCAGCTCACGGTAATTTCATTTCGAGGCCCACAGTGTTATTGCATAAAGCATATCAGGAGTGTTAAGCATACTTTATTTGTGTATTGAAATTGGTGGGAGACGTGTAGAGGCTATATAATTAGGTGTTGTGTTCTCTTTAATTTCCCCGCCATTTAAGGTGACGCAGTAGAGATACAGGGTGCTTTTAAAAAAAATTTGACACTGATATGGTACTATCGTTTTTAATGGAAAAATAACTAATAATACACTGTAACATGATAACAAATGTATGTTAATAGTTTCAAATAGTCAGAGTCTCCACTTGTTCACCATCATTTTAAACACATGCCTTGAATCTTCTGCAGGGTGGTCTCCAGAGCCCGGAGGCACATTTCTTGTGATATTGTTGCAAATTCTCAGAAGTGTTAAAAGATTTTTGAAGCACCCTGTATATATCAAATTTCATGGTGTGAATCTGCGCGTGCTTTGGACCGTGTGCTAGGTGCGCCTGTACTTTGGGCAGAGCCTCGACCTGGTCGGTTTGGTAGACGCAAAGACCATCCCGGCTCACCTCATCTCGGCCACTCGTCTTGAGCTGTATCCTACACCCAGCACGAGGGCCTACGGTTGCGGTGTATGCGGCATGTTGTTATGAGCCTAGGAAGTTGTTGTTTCTGACTCTTGCAGCTCGCAGTGTATGACCATGTGTCAGTATGGAGTCTGGAAGTTGATGTCACAGAACTACTTCTGAGGTCACTCCAATTGCCTCTTAACCACCATAAATGGTGCTCTTTCCCACATGCCCTGTATGTAATGTTCGGATGATACATACCTCAGGTATGATGCATAACTCAGGCAGGTATCTACAAAAATAAGATCTATGTTTGTTTGTGTTTTGCATTGGTTCCATCTTTTGAAAGTTCTTTGACTGAGTGCTGTGGACAGTGTAGCGGAGGATGAGACTGGTTCCGCTGTCCGATTCCTGGAAAAGCTTTCCGCCTTAAAGGGGACGGTACGAGATCGGCTACACAATAGGGCATTCTGGTTATAATTTTTGGATTCACGCTGCAGACCCTAAGCTTCAAGTAATCATGAAAGCAGATCCTTAGGTATATATTTTATGAAGCGTAATATATTGCATACTTTCCTCCTTGCCAACTTTCTTGTTGCGATAATATGCCTGTAAATATTCTACGGTTCAAGTCCCCCCCTAGAGTCTCTATTTGTAGCCCCACACACTCTGCTTCTCACCTGTGGTGGTGATAAGAATATTACAAGGGGACTTACAGACAACACAGATCTCGGATACAAAGACACGCACACACAGACACGTTTATACAGACACAGCAACGACAACAGCCTCTGTCCACCGCTAAGTGATGGTGACATCTCCACAGTGCAGTGTAGGTACTCTTTGAGGTCATGCGAAGTGTGGAAGGCTCACTGGCAAGAGGTCACGGGAGAGACCCCCAGGTGTTATGTTTTACTGACTGAGATGACTGGCACATGCACCACCTGTGCTCCTCACTGTGCCAACTTGCTTTGTTTATACCAAAACACTACACACATTGAAGCGCGCACATTACAATTAATTGTTTTCATCGTGGAACTAATATATCCGTGTTAACCTGTAGATTGATGCAGAAAAAAACACAAAACATATCATTTGAAACAGATGATGCAAACCGAGACGTAAAAGAACAAATTCTTGACTTTTGTCTTTACCAAGACTTTTCACAATTCAGTAAAGTATAGGAGGTGAATAACTAATGACCTCTACTCCCCATGCAGGTGGGAGCCTTGTTTCGCCTGGGCTGCACCATCACTGGCACTGCAGTGCCTCCGCCCAGTGAGCGCAGCTACAGCAAGTGGAAGGAGCTGAAAGCTAAGAAGTCGGATCATCTCTTCCGGCAAGTTGCCCTCTACAAAAAGAGCCCAGGATGGGGTGTCTGGGTGGCTCAGAGCGCTGAGCTTGACACAGCTGCGATCTAGGGTTTGAAAACCAGCAGCCACCTATGGTTAACCAGGTTCTGAAGTGTAGCAAGTTGATAGTCTCAGCTCGGTCACTGATGATTGCACAAACAAACCATTGAAATTAAATTTGGTTCTGCGCTTTATTTTGTTCATTTCAGCTCTGAGACTCAAAATATCTGTTGAACTGTCATGTGGTGAACATTATTCTAAGCGGCAGAATGGTTGAGAAAGCGTTGCCCCCTACTGTGTGGACCAGATGTCGGTTGAAGGTATTTCAGTCGTCGCTCTCTGATATCTGCTTTTTGTGGGCCATTCTTTAATACGAGGGATACGTGGCTCTTGAATAAATCTGAATGGATACTTTGTCTCATGACAACACTAACAGTCTAATCAGCGATACATTTGTAGGGAAAGACAACACTTTTTTAAAAGCCCATAATAAATGTTAGTGTTCATGCAGCTTCCCCTTAAAGAAGTAACCATTAGCTGAAGCGCTTGCTTCTTGTACATTATTCTCGCTTGTCATCGTTACCATCAGCCTGAAAGCTGTCCACTGCTGTGTGAAGACTTTCTCACATCATCACCAACCTTCACAGTCCTCTGATACCCTCACTCACGTGAGCTGATCTCATCCCTCCATCTCTGAAATACTGAAACTGTGTTCCAGACACTTGCGTTGTCCCACGTAAGTTAATGTTTTGCGCATGAGAAAACACTCTAAAGTTGTAGTCAAACATGTTGCTGTTGTGCCCTAGTGACATCGTAACATCACTAAAGTATTGTAACGGTGTTCCATGCAGTATATATTTTTAATTAAGCTTGAGTCTCATGTGGGCCTACCTAGGACGCAAACCCTAGATGTGTCTCCAAGATAAGTGTCATTTCCTTTTTATTTTTTTTGGTTATGCATTACTTATCTCCCCATGCTGCACCATCTCTAATGATCCTGCAATGTATAAATTAACGTAGATTCTACACATGAGCGGACTTCACCACTCCATCTCAGTAGTGGACATCCTTTTGGATGCGTTCCATTCCTTGACTGCCACTCCATTATTATTCTTGACCGTCGGTTGTCATCCCTTCAAGCGACTTGTTCTGCCGAAGCACCACAATGGCAAAATGTTAACTTCCTCGTCTGGTATGCATGAAGTTGTGGGTTCGATCCCAACCCTGACACCTATATATTTGGAGTTTGCTTGTTCTCCCCGTGATTGCGCGAATTTTTCTCCGGATTCTCCGGTTTTTCCCTCCACATTTAGAAACATGCGTTTGGAGCATTTATTTGGCTGCTGTAAATGTCCACATGATAAGCCACTTCGTTGAGCTATCATTTGTGGCCAAGTCGCTTCTAAAAGAAAGGAATATTGCTCATTGGACCTTACCTGGTAAAATATTTTTTAAAAAATGTCATCTAGCAGTGGAGTGATCATGGCTGATGATTACTTTAGTCTACTATTGGTGATAGGTATTGTGTTTTCCCGTCGCTCCCCACCAGTGCCCAATGTCAAAGTCAAAGGCGAAAGCAGCAGCCGCTTCCTGTTCGTCCAGGGGGGCGGCCGAAATGGCTGCCGCGCAACGCTGATACGGACGGCCGACGGGATAAACGGAGCGGCAGCAGCAACCATTGCGCAACAGCTGATCAGCACAAGCCACAAACTTCATTGCACCGGTAATGAGTGAGCCTGTTGCACTTAAACAGATGAAAACTTTGATAAAATGTATTTTACAAATAATATTTCACAACCCTTTCTCAATTGACTGCTGGATGAAGGACTTCCCATGTCATGGGGGTTGTTTGACCACACTTTCCTGAGCTGGTCAGTGGGGGTTGGTGAAAGGGGAGGCCCAAGACCGGTTCACATACCACTCGGCACTGCTGTTAGCCTTGCCAAAAAATCAAACTCGGTTTACCATACTCGTAACGGAGTGTGCTAACAACTGCGCCTACGTCCTACCACAAAATATATTTTATAAAACACTAGCGGGAAGGACCCGGCGTTGCCCGGGTCTTAAAAATAATTCACAACTATTAAAAATCTAACAGCAGTGCATACTGACTCTGGTGGTACCTGCTATGATTACAGCAGTACATACTGTGGTGGTACCTGCTATGATTATATAGCAGTGCATACTGTGGTGGTACCTGCTATGATTACAGCAGTACATACTGTGGTGGTACCTGCTTTCACTGCAGCAATGCATACTGTGGTGGTACCTGCTATGATTACAGCAGTGCATACCGACTGTGATGGTACCTGCTATGATTACAGCAGTGCATACCGACTGTGGTGGTACCTGCTATCACTACAATAGTACATGCTGACTCTATAGCAGTATTTATCGACTGTATAGCACAAAGTACTCACCTGACAGAGTGGCGTGGTGAGGCCTAGTCCCGTACAGAGCCTCCGGCCTCACCTAGATTGTCCAGCTGGCCGAGGTGGCACCTGGCAGGCTGGGGCTGGGCTGCTACCCCTGACCCCCCCCCCCCCCCAGCCACGATCTCCCCGGCCGCTCTACAGTAATATCTACGGTCTATAGTGGTAGCAATTAGCGACTGTGTATATTAGTAACTGCACGCATCGGGGTGAGGGGGACATCACACAGTGAAGAATGAACGTCAGCGTTTAGTGAAATTTTATAGCATTTTTTACGCGAAAGAAAATGTCCCCCTCACTCCGACCGAAGGCGTACGACTTGGCATGGGCCGTCCCCCCCACCAAAGGCGCGTGAGTTTGTATGGTTGTGCACGTGACATGAATAAATAAATAAAGGGGAAGCGCACAGAAATTGCACTAAATCACTAATTAAACGAATTTTAAGTTGACAGATGTGAAAAAGGAATAGCGCTTGCTCACCTCGGGGCTTACGGCGTGGTACCTGGCTATTTTCTTTTTTACGTAAACCCCACCGTTGGAGAGCCAAGCGCACGACCGCCACAAACCCACACGCAATTTGTGAATTTTTTATATATATAGATAGATTAAAATCTGAATCACTTTAAAGTCTGCGCAGAAGTTGTTTGTGTGTTGTGTATTGGGCAAGTAACAATGGATTGATTAATCAATTTAAAATCAGCTATTCCACTCATTATACATGTGTAGTGTCCTCCTCGGTGTGTGTGTGTAGCGCACACTCAGTCGGAGACGAGGTAGTTGCAGGAGGCACCTTCTCTCTCTTTATTTCCGTTACACCACTCCGGCCGTTCACACTCGCTCGGATCGCCTCCTCTCTCGACTACGTCGCCGTACAGCACGGCCTAGACACAACCCTGACCGCGTTGCACTGACGGCGTCGACCGAGACAGCCAACCACTGTCCGGCCGCGCAATGATCGGGCGAAGGCGGTGACGACGATGAGACGAGTCCACTCCCAGAACCAGCAGCCCGGAGTTCTCGGTCTCCGCTGCTTTCATTTTACTCGGCGCGGCCTGGTTCCGCCCTCGCTGCGCCTCCCTTCTCGAACCCACTAGCGGGTTCCAGGGGCCTCCCGATGAGGTCTTCCGTGACCCTTGCCCCAGTTCCTCCGCCCTGCCGGCACACCGGTGTATATACTCGATGGCGTGTGCGCTAACTGTCCACCGCAGTTGCCGCTGCTGGACAGCAGTCGTCGCTGTGTCACTACACATGCCTTGTGCATGTTAGAATATGTAACTGGTTCGCACAAACTCTAATCAATGATTTTAGCTCAAATAGCAACTTCAAAAAGTGACAATTCATCAAATCATCCAGTTCGCGTTTGCTGTGCATTGTAACCATTGTGGATGTGGAGGGAGGGGTGGGGGCATGATGATTAACTAGCGGTGGTGGCGTGAGACCATTGGGAAATTATGAAGTAGGGTTAGATTGGTGGGGGGGGGGGAAGGCGTGGTACTATTGGCATGACTTATATGCACACGGAATGCATGGGAATTGATCAGTCTGACCATGCCTGGTATGCTGTGTGACATAGCTGGCAAAGCAAAAACACATGGCACGAAGTTTGGAGAGCAAATCAGCGTGAAAGTTAAAGCTTCAAAATGTTGAAAGCGTTAACGAGGGTGGGGGACTGGTGGCACATCATTTAGCACACTGCCTTATGAATCCGGTGACCTACGTTTGATTCCCCGCCGTGGATAATTTCACCGGCGAGGGGTGTCTGAGCTGATCTACGCCGCCTCCTAAGCCCTTCACAAGCTTGCGCGGACTGGTGTGGTGAAGTATAGACGATCAATCTTAATGAACGAAATGACGTGGGGAGGGAGGCCTTCATCCAGCAGTAACATGACAAAGCACTATACGTTATTGTAAATTTTAGTAGAGTTAACAAATGAGTATGGTATGGGGACCTCATTTGCCAGTAAAAATATGATAATTGGTTCTTTACCCTTCTATCTGGCAACAAAACTGACAACTTTTTGCAAGGAGTCATGTTTGCATAGACCGCAATACCTGCAGTCATAATTATTATGACTGCATAATTATTATGACTGCAGGTATTGCGGTCTATGCAAACATGACTCCTTGCAAAAAGGTGTCAGTTTTGTTGCCAGATAGAAGGGTAAAGAACCAATTATCATATTTTTACTGGCAAATGAGGTCCCCATAGTGTAGATGCTTGCCCCGAGCTCTCATACTCTGATGGTGCATTGTCCTTGAGTTGTGCGCCTTTTGGCGTCATCTGGTCCAACCCATATGAGACTAGGCTCGAAGGAAAGCTGTCTCGGGTGTGGACCAATCAACTTCAAGGACAGTGCACATTATCAGAGTTATGTTCTTTTGTTTGTATTATGACTGCAGGTATTGCGGTCTATGCAAACATGACTCCTTGCAAAAAGGTGTCAGTTTTGTTGCCAGATAGAAGGGTAAAGAACCAATTATCAAATGAGTATGGTATTAGTGAGTTTATCCTCAATATGTAAATATGCATATCAAAAAAATATGTATTTTTCACTGCCGCTAAAATATTTTTCTCTTGATTTTCGTAAGTGAACAAAGGAGCAGATATGGTTTCTAACAAACGTGTGCGTCCGATAGGTTTTGACGCCATGGGTTTTCTGGGTCGCCTGCCTGTTTACCGCGGCGATGAGCTGGTCGCCGTGGAGATGAGCGTGGCCCATCTGCAGATGCTGATGCTGCAGGAGTGGAATGGTGAGCAACACCTCGCGCTCCTTCCACACCCCTCTGCCAAAACTTCTTCGCAAAAATAAAAAGACAAATGGCTAAAATTAACATCGTTCCAGGTATTTTTACGTGTAACAGAGAAATGAAATGCCAGAGAATAAAAGTCCCCTAAAAAATGCCAATGGATAAGTAAACATCCTACTTGATGTACTGCCTTTTACTTAATTGTACTACCTACTTATTGTGGTTCTCACACTGCTATGAACCTGGCTACCTCAGTGCAATTCCTGACCACAGCTTATATCAATGACAAGTGATATCTGAACTGGTCCTGTGCATCCCCCTTCGCGAAGCCACATTGATAAGTGTGATGAAGTATGTTCAAACATCCCCACATGACCGACATCGCACGGAAGCCTTCATCCAGTAGTGGTTTGACAAGTTCGCTCCATTATCATGTTATTATTATTCCTGTTGTACTAAAATCATGAGCGAGCGTACTTTTAGCCGAACGTGTGAACGGGCGGGTGATTGATAGTAAAGTCCACCATTGGTGGTGCCGTAGGGCGGCGTGAGAAGTGTGGTGACGGAGCGGAGGAGGCGACGAAGAAGGCGGACGACGACCTGGCGCACGTTTTACGCGAGTGCCGCACGCGCTGCGTGGAGCGAGCGGAGCGGGAGCTGCCCCGGGGAGCCACCGCACTCGCCCACGTCGCCCGGCGCCCGTGCCCATCGCTCGCCCAACTCGTTGCCGCACGTGGGTCCCCTCCCTCCCTCCGACTCACAACCCATCCACATCACCCGCTACGGAGAGAGCGGTGAGAGCGACGGTGATGGGTGACGGCTGTGGTGCCCACGAGGTTGTAGGAAAGATAGCACGGTTGGCTATGTATGGTGAAAAATAAGTTCAACATGCATACATATGTAATGACATAGTGACATCTACTGGTTGGAATAGAAAGACACAGGCACCACTATAAACATCATCTAATCCCAAAGGGAGAGGTATCTGGGCCAAAGGTAAAGGGCGGGGCTGGCCGAGATACTCCGGGAACCGGCTAGATGGTTCCACGAGAGGGCGTGGCCAGAGTCGGAGCTTAGCCGTGCATGCGGCAATATAGGCGGAGGAGGACTCGTGGTCAGTGTGGGGAGCCTTGGGTCCGGACTGCGTCGCTGCTCGATGTCATCTCTCTCGGTCGTTCGGCCACGTGGCAGATCTGCGAAGTCCCACCACCCTCGCCGGCACGCCGTCAACCAGCGGCGAGGCCGGGAGTGGGCGGACGGAACCACGCTGTGGGATCGACCGCGTGTAGCCTGTAGGGATGCTAATATCTACGTGTGTACTCGGAGAAGGAAGAGGATAAGGTTGGCCTGTGGTGTGCCCGAATGTGAATAAAGAAGAGCGTACCCTCTACACGACGTGTCGCGCGCGGAAGTCGCTCATTACACATACATACATAACGACGTTGACAGGTGTGTTAACATTCTTGCTATGGTTGATATTGTCGCGTTAACCGAATTGGTGCCATCGTTTTCGTAACAAACTCTCAGTCGTTGTAACTACCTTATGGATACTCTTACATTCATTGCTGCCACCTCATAAACCCTCTCAGCATTGTCGTAATATTCATAATAATACAATCGTGGCACCCAGATTAAATTCTTAACAATTATCCTGATAATGTTTAGAAGACAGTAGCCATGATTAGGATGACAGTAGAGTTAGTGAGATGAACACAAGACAGCAAGGGTCTTAATTATATGATAACGATGATGGCGAGCGTGTCTAAAATATGGTAGTGATCAATATGATTGTGTTAAAAGCAGGTTTAAAAGATAACAACCATGATGCTGACATTGTACGTAGTCAACTGTGATGTTTACACTTAACCAAGCTATCACTCGTAATGTTAACAATGGCACTGTATAACCTAGCAATCAGCCTGTCTGCCACTCGGTCTCAACACCTAAAGTTGGAGGTTCCATTTCCATGAAAGCCGCGGAATATTTTTTGTTACGATGCAAAACGAACATTTATCATGGTGCCCTGAACTCTTGAGCCGTAACCTTTGTTCCCGGGCCCAAACCACAGGTCGGAGGTCATCAACGCAGCTGGAAATCCGGGCACTGCAGAATCGCGAAGCAGCCGAGAGCTGGGCACAGGGTCGCAGGTGAGCGGAGTGAGTGAGTCTATTCATGTGAGCAGAGTGAGTGAGTCAAGTCAGGTAAGCGGAGCGAGTCCGTTTTTTCAGATGAGCGGGGTGAGTAAGTTAATTTGTCCCCACACGTGCACACTGCATAATTCATTTCAGTGTGCATTAACAATCCATGTGTCCACACGTGTCTACACTGTATGTGTGTAATAATGTATATTTATCCAGGAAAGCCTTTCTGTGTCTCGAGACGTTTTTTTTAGGAGAGCCATGCTATTGGGTTGCTTGATCCTATAAGCATCGAACTCGCTAACGCTCAGCCACGCCACTGACATGTGTCCGTGTTCGTCTCTCGTCCACATTGAGCAGCGCCGAGCGTCAGCCGTGGGCGGCAGCCAAGGGGCCCGTCCGCGGGACCCGTCCCTCGGGCCCCTCAGGGGTCCTCTCGGCACGGGAGCTGCTGCTTCTCTTCAACAAGGACGGCACGGCCGCGGCGGGGCCCACAGCCGCCACCCTGCCGGCACCCGTACGGTAAGAGCACACGTCAGGCAAACTGTGAAGGTTATAATAGTCGGGTTCTCATTGCCTTTTGAGCAAGAGAAGGCTTGTTGAAGGCATGGCAGTTCATCCAAAGGACCACGTCAGAGCACTGAGTCCAACTCAGATAAATATATTTTGACACTCTACCACAAAGCCTCGCTAGGGCCTTGCCAGCCTGGCATCTCTTGAGAAGCACCAGGTTTTTTTAGCCAAGCCATGCCGCTGATATCACACAGAACGAATATGTCATTAGCCCTGGCCTTGCTTGGCCCTGAGGCAGATTCGGATTTCTTTTGGGGTCAACATATCATGGTTTGGTTCCAGCGCGGTACTGCAAATATCCAGTGGAAAACCACCCATACTGTGAGGGCTCCATGCTGACTCTGCTTGGAGCACAGAGCCCCCAAATACCTATCTCCCAAGCTAAAAGATGTTTGTAGTTTTATTGTATATTCCTTTAAAGACATTCTGCTTGGTTTATGTTTTATCGGAAGCAGTGATGCAGTGGTTAGCGAAACCGCGTGATGAACCCTATGACCTGAGTTTGATTTCCGACCACGTAAAGTGGCAAGTGATTTCTAAACTTGTCCTGCGCTGCCCCACACCATCTTTACCAACCCGCACTGATCACCATGGGGAAGTATGTTCCAACAAACCTTCATGACCGACACGACATGGGGGGGCCCTAATTATTATATTTATTATTACATTTCACTACAGTTAACCTCTTCCAACACACATCCGGTCAGCGTGGAAGAGTAGGCCAAATATTCTCTAGATTTTGCTCTTGTGAAGGCACTTCCTCCAGCAGTGGCGTGAGCAAGCAATTGCGTGGCTATATCTTAAACTTATTTGCGCGACATTTTGTACTGGTGCTGACAAGAGCCTTTTTCTAAACAGCAGGTGATGCTCTTGAGTTGGTTTCCATAGAATGGCAGTCTGGTAAATCTCATTAACAGTGCTGTTGTGCGTTTTAATGTGGTTCTTTAATTATGTGCAGTGAACGAATAAGCATACCTACTGCCGGATTGAAAACATCTTCTTAATCTCGATTCAGACAAGAAAAAGATGGTGGAGTGTTGGTCCGGGAAGGGAGGGTGTGGGGGTGGGTGGAGGAGTGAGCAGATGGTTTGTTTGTAAAATGAAAAGAAACGGTAACCGGGGAGGGCTTTTTGAAACGTCGTTGAGTGCAGAAGCAAGCCGGTGCGATTGTCGTAGCCTCGTCCCCGCCGCGTAGAGTAATTCCGCTAAATCCTCTCGTTAGCACGATGAGCCTCGACCTGTTGACGTTTAGAGCAGCCTGTTTAAGAGGATTGTCAAAGGAAACTGCAATTTCCGTTCTGAAGGAATTTGGTGAAGTGCATTGAAAGTAGAACATTTCTTTCAAACGTATTATTAACAAAATGGGGCTTGTTTCTGTAGCAATAACACTTGAAGGTCATTATTTTGTGTGGTTGCCCGGGAAAAGGTTTGAATGAACAATATATTGGGGTGATGTTAAGGTGGTGCTCATGCGGTGAGCTGGCCATGTGTTGTGGTGAGCTTTGCCAATTGGCATTGGCAGTGCTTTTCTGTTCCTATTTTCCCTGGTGAGTGCTTGCTCTGCTTTTATTAATGAAAATATATTAAAGAGGGCTCTTAAACGAATGTATGAATTTCCCTATGACTAATTAAGTGATCATTAAATCAGTAAGGACAAAGTAGGTTCATTTTCGTGAGAATCGATTGTGAATAAATATTCACCCATTGTTAATGCTCGTAATAATCATTACAGTTTTAGTTTTTTACTTCCTCAAAAAAGTGTCAGCCAAGCCTTTGGTATATTTTATAGAAGGGTTTGTTTGGTCAAAATGTCACTGAGTTTTTTTTTGTTATGCGTGTGGACGAAAGCCATTCATGCAAAACCCCTGAGGTTGTCCCACAGCCAAATCCGCAAGCCAAACACTCCAGCCTGCTTGCCTCCAATTACCATGCTACATAGCATAGGTCAAGATATCATCGTGACCAGTGCCGCTTATGGGCGTTGTATCCAAAGTTTCCCATTGGGATTCGAGGAGGAGTATTTATGTGCGTATACTTTTCTTGGTCTAAACTTTATATGGGACTCCTGTAATGAATGATACGACAGCTTGCAGTCTCTTCCTTCCATCAGATTCCTCAGCTGTTGCATAGTGTACATCTGACCTCCAAGGTCTGTGTCTCTGACAGCATTCCACCATCTGGGATACTTTAAGGTGGCCAATTGCCTGAAACGTCAATCTGTTATATGTTTATCATGTAAGGCCAGTTAGTTTCATATACAACTATACATTACTACTATAATGAGCCAAGAATGTCTGTGTGTCCCACGCGTGACGTCACTCCATGTCGACCAGCCCCCCTCATTAATAATCATGAACAGGTGACGTCCTCCAAATGGACACCCCCCCTCCCTCCATTAATAATAATTAAGCGGGTGACGTCAATCCACATGGGGGGGGGGGGGGGGGGGCGAGGCGCTTCCTCCCCCCTCAGCGTCAACTTACAACCCTCAGTACAAAGGCAGAACCCTCACGTCACGCGATCTCCGTAACGCTATTGAGACATAGAAGTAAAAAGGACGTCATGATGAAAAGGGGATTATAACCTTTAAATGAAATAAGTCTGTGTCACCGCGGCCTTACAAAATGCACACGAATGGATGCGATGAATATCACGTCACGGTCTGCTTTTCGCTTGCAAGTTTCAGATTTACTGCAATACACACGTCCTTGGACGGCCAAAAGGCTCGTTATAACATAATAGGTATATAGCCCCACCCTTTTCACCCAGACATTACCTACAAATAATAATGTACATTTGTAAAGCGCATTTAATCGGTAGATCCCACCAATGAAAATCAGGAAATAAACACAAACTGCAGTGTTAACGGCCAGAACTAGGGGGTGAAGACCAATTTAAAGGGGTGAGTTTTCAAAACAGACTTAAAAATGAGGTTAATCAGTTTTGAAGCTCATGGCCTCCGAATTGAAATCACAAATGCGCGTAGTTTTAGAAACGCATAATTTAAGAATTACAATTTTACACAATAGCTATAAAATGAATATATATTTGTTTACTTCATGGTTGTGCACAACAGCACATCTTGTACTGCATGTGAACAATACTACTCAAAAGAAGATGAAATCCTTCACAAGAACTGCAGGTCTGCAAGTTGCCTACGTCACACCAGACCATGTTTCGGATTTTAACTATGGGCTCTAGATTCTCCAATTGTATAACAAAAGCAACTTCGTGCAGATCCTCAGGGTAGTAGTGGGAGAATCGTCCCAAGCCATCCTGCTTGGCTACCTCGTTGTTTAATCCTGACCGTGCTGTGATTGGCCGTGATTTATTTTGGTTTGTCTCAGTGGCGGTCTGAGCAGGTGGACGGAAGGGCTGACCGTGGAGAAGCTCTCATCCATGCCCTTCAAGGAGCTTCAACACTGCCGGTTCCACGGGCTCGAGTGAGTGCAGCAGTCGCGAAAAAAATTCTGTGAACCCGTCTCTCCTGACAGAGTCACAGAGCCTGCTTCCTCGTTAATCCTGCCAGAGTTTGCCAAGTGTGGTGTGCCAAGTGGTTAGGATCTGTCCATACCCTGGCTTCGCACATTTTTTTTAATTTAATAAACACTCGCTTTTTACTCAGTGTTATCCCGGTTGTGCCACTGGCGGCATGTCATTAAACAAAGTTTTTCTTCATATCTCTCTTAGATCAGTGCCACCCCTCCCATGATGCGTTCGAGAATGTCCCATGGAAGCAGATATCACAGAGCGACCTCTAAGATCCCTTAAAGTGACCTTTGCTGCACACAGTAAAGGCCAGCCCTTTCCCACCAGCTCTGCCAATGAGAAAAATATTCGTCTCATGACAACTGATTTCGATTTAAAGCTTTCATGACTGCAGGGATTCATCTTCTTGGTTCTTTCGGTAAAGTCACGTAGAAGGGAAGTAATAAAATAATAAAAATAAAATATAATAAAATAATATAATACCTGAGGACGGCTGCTTGCGTTGTGGCCGAAACGTCGTGAAAATTATTTTATTATGTTTTATTTTTATTATTTTATTACTTCCCTTCTACGTGACTTTACCGAAAGAACCAAGAAGAACTCAACTGATATTTTTAATCCTCAGAGGTGAAATGTAGCAACATTTAAGTGTAGTCATTGGTGTCTGGGGTGCGCTCAAAACCTCACTGCAGTGAGAGCCCGGTGTGATCACAGGCAGACACCGAGATTTGAACCCAAGATTTAAATGGTGCCAGCTTAGCACTCTGACCTCTGAGCCCCCAGACCACCCCTTGTTTAATTGTTTTAACTATATTAACCCAAAGTGTTGTTTTTTAGAATGTGCCTGAATGCACCTAATTAGCAGAGCAGTTTCACATATTTTTTCGGTATTAACTAAAAACATTGCCTGGTTGGCAGAAGTGATACACGCAATGACTTCTCACTCAGATTTCGATTTAAAGCTTTCGTGACTGCAGGGATTCATCTTCTTGGTTCTTTCGGTAAAGTCACGTATTTTTATTATTTTATTAGTTCTCACTTAGAATTAAACTTCTCACATGCAGCTCGGATAAAATTAAAGTAGCGCTTCAGTCATTGCTTATTCAGTTATTTTTTAAGCTTACATAGTGGCAAGGGTTACTCCGTAAAGTGCAGGAGGTATTTAAGAGGTGGTGGTCCTGTTCTAAAAAAGCCTACTCCCATGGGGGCTTTGAAGGCGTCTGAGCAGATCGGGGTATGTATAGTCACTTCCCACCCCCTGCCTTATGACACATTTACAAAGTGTACCCACAAGGACAACTTGCTCCCTTACCCACACATGCATGCAACTGAATAGTGGGCACAGACAACCATGCCCTCTGTCTCCACCTTCACGACTATAACCTGTGCAATCGATAGAAGAGTTTTTTTTAATTAAAATAATAATTATAAATTTTATTATTAAAACATGTTTACTTAGCACAAGCCCAAGTGCCCAAAACTGCAGCCATCGGAAAACGGCGCGATAAAATTTGTGAGAGATAAGAGTGAGCACGGTTTTTTAATTTAGCAAGATTATACACGTTTGGGAAAAGAGACGATGGAAGGTAATTCCAAAGTGGAGAAGTGGGAGGGAAGAAGCAGAAAAAGAAGCGTTGTGACCTGCAGTGTTGGTGGTGAGTGAACAGTGTAGTTGAGACAAAACGGTCCGTGTGATAGACCAAGTCCTCAACATAGGTGGTGGAATCAGGGGGTAATGTTTATGGGAACAATAGATGTGGCAGTAGTTATAGAAGAGTGATAAGGAGCTGACTGACCGTCATTGAGCAAGATGCTTGGAGAGTTTGGAATATATGGACCTTTCTGCCATGTTGTATGAAACTTTACATTTTTAACTCTTGCAGCATGGAGCAGAGAACGGCTCCAGAAGATGAGGTTGCATAATGCCTTCTGAAGTCCCCACAATAGTAGAGGTCTCTTTATCCACAATTGCTGAATCGTATTTTTGTCATGTCCTGTGACATGGTTTTAAAAACCTTCTGGCTAAATATTTATATTTTTTTACCTTCATTGAGCTTTCCTTAACGCTTTATAATAGGCGAACATAACCCGCCCATGGGCTCCATACCCATCGCCCAATTGTACCCGTGCTGGCGTAGTGTTTTTTGGCTGCACTCTGTAACCGGCCGTCCCAGTTAAAAATAAACAACGGGAAAGGGTTGGCAGGGTCTCACGTGCCCTCTCGTACCAGCCAGGCATGCCACGCAGCCAGCGATAAAATTTCTCCGCCCAGTATCACAAAGTGAAATCTTTTTATAATTTTTTTAAACGCCAACAATCGGCAAAAATGTAGTGCCACACTCCACGTTGCTCAATGCTCATCTTGGAAACTTTTGTCAGGATGAGACAAGTGGTTTAAAAAATAATTACTGAAACAAACTTTAACACATGTTGATGGTGAGGATTGTTTGGTGCAGTACATCCTAAACTTTGTGTAAACCTGTGGCGTTCCACAGTGTTATGATTATAACATAAGGGACGTTGAGCACATTCTTAATCCTACAACTTGTATTGTGAATGCAGTTTTACCTATCACCTATTAATAAGTGGTAGTTAATTGGACCGTATACTACCCATTTTTACATCTCTTTTTTAGGGTTATGAGATGCCAGGAGAAAATCTAATCTCAATTTATAACCTTAAACAGCTTAGTAGTTTATTTATAAGGTAGTATGGCAATGTATACACTTTTTAATGATACATTGGTCTGAAATAAATGTTTTTATTTGAAACAAAAATACAACTATGAAACACACAGTCATAGAAGGAACATCATGGATATTCCAGTAAAAAAAATAGTCCGATAATAGGTGAGCCACATGCTGTTTCGAGTGTCGGTCAGGTTTATGTGTTGAGCTAAACACTAAGCTGAGGATTGAGTTGAAGTTTTGTTTCTGCGTTGGCCACCGTCGAGTGCGTGAGCCAGACTTACATACAAAAGACTAATATTTTTCCGTATAGCCTTTTTACAGACTGATCGGGAAAGTGCTGTTTGTGAACACCTATTCAGGCCAGCACGATACGCAACAGTGTGGTGTGGCGAGCACCACGTCCGATCGCCTTTATCTCCTATTTTCTGGTGTTGATACAACGCACTGGGTACTCATTTAAGGCTGAGTTGACATAGGGGAGGCCCAGGACAAGTTCAGATATTACTCGCCATTAATGTTAGCCATGACCAGGAATTGAACTTGGGTTGCTGTGTTCCTGAAAATACCGACACACACGTGAATTTTATAACCAAAAATAAGACCGGTTTATTTTGCAAGGGAGACCTGTTGTGTAAAATAAGGAATGTTAATTATATTTCAGTAGGAAACGAGCAATACAGTGATAAAAAAACGAAATCAAACATTAACCTTTGACAACAAAGTAAATACAGTAGGCATACTGTGTTAAAGAACAATCAGAATAAACACTTAAATGTATACATTTCATACAAACATACCCTAAAACCTTCACCACTGCTTGCAGGACACTCAAGTAACAAAATACTAATCTACACTAGCACCTCCCACCTACGCTGCCACCGAGAGTAAAGTTCGCAGGATGACGATGACACCAATATATTGAATATCAGAGCTGGAGTTTACCTAAATTAAACACGGAAGCATATTTCTTACTTGCAATTATTGGTGACCAAGGTTGAGTCCATCATCAACTCACGACACTTGAGAACTTCAGTCAACTTACAACTCATTAGGTGTAGTTCTATGGGACTCTGATGTGAATCGGGCTGGGACCATCAACTTGCTAAAATTGAGAACCGGGTTTAAGTACGGGCAGCTGAAACACAAATGAGATACAAAGATCCCAGTGGTGGTGCCAGCTCGGCCCTCTGACCTCTGAGCCACACGGTCACCTCATTACACCTGACCCAGCTAAGTTAAAACATCCCTTCGCTAATTGGCCGCTGGTTTCCGCATCTCCTTCACGGTTCTCCATTCCAGCTATTGCCTGGACAGCAAGCGGTCACTGCAGGTCGACCGCACGCTGGCTCTGCTGCAGTCCCGCTGCGTCCGGCACGAGACGCGATCGCCCTGCGGCCTCGGCGGAGACATCGCTTACTCCGTCGCCGCCACTGCTGCATCGTCGCCAGCGCCGTCGCCTGCTCCGTCGCCGGCGCCTGGTGCCCCGGAAGCTGGCAGTAGCAGCAGCGTTCTGGACGGCGAGAGGTTGCGTAAGCGAAGCAGGGGGGCGGCTGAGCCGCCTGGAATCGGCAGGAGGTGAGAGCACTAGGCGTGGAGTGGCCTGCGTCGGTTTAATCGATTGGCCTAAGTTCTTGTGATTGAATATCGCTTGTGTGAATTTATGCGAATCTTAAGCTAATGGCCCTTGACCAAATCACCTGGAATGCACACAACCTCGACAGATCTCGGAAGCCAAGACTGTTTGAGCCTGGCTTGTGATTAAATTGAAGATTAGCGTGCCTTACTGCTATTGGAGGTTGTGTATGTATGTTGAACTTCTTTCACACCGTATGTAGTCAACTGTGTGAATCAGGAGGTGTGAGGGAAGGACAGCAAACGAAACACAAAAATACGTTTTAAAGAAATGAGTTTTCAATCTAGATTTAAAAGTGCATAGCGCTAGTGAGTTCCTAATATCGGGAGGAAGAGCATTCCAGACGGCCACAGAAGTGCATCTGAAAGTGCGCGATGCAGTTACCATCTTTGTTTAATGGCTGGCTAAAAGCCGCTGCGAGGATGGCCGGAGTTGGTGTAGATAGTTTATGTTCCTTACAAGATCAGCTAGGTAATGTGGTTCATTTGTGGCAAGCAATTTGTGTGTAATGAGTGCAAACTCATAATGTGGTGCTACATTGTGGGCAATACAGCAAAATACATGATTATACTGTATATATATTTCCATATACATGATCTGCCTTCACTAATCCACACAGAACAGAATGGTGAAATATGGTCAGCTTTCTTTTTGAGCCTAGTCTCAAAACGGTGTTAAACCGTTTTGGTCTAACACCGTTTTGAGACTAGGCTCAAAAGAAAGCTGTCTCTGGTGTGGACCAATCAGTTTCAAAGACAATGCATATATTATCAGAGTATGTTTTTTGTTTGCATTCTGACCACAAGTATTGTGGTTAATGCAGACATGATTCCTTGTAAAAGGTTTCAGTTTGGTGTCCTAACATCGTATCACAGCTGTTTGTTGCCAGAAAAAAGGGGTAAACCTATTCTCACGTTTACCATCCTGCCCCCATTCTATGCCATTGATTCTATAAAAGGAGGTTGTGCTGCTAACTGACATTCAATATGTGTTTAATGTCAGTGATGCTATCCTTGATTAGTAACATCAACATTATTGTTGTTCATACTGTTTATGAAAATTACATTCTTCGTTTTCTCGCTTGAGCGGCAGGATGCTGCGCTCGGAGAGCGGTGAGTCGCTCAGCTCCTGGTCGTCCCTGCGTTACAGCGCCTCCGTCGAAAGCAGCAGCAGCGGTGGCGGTGGCGGCAGCAAGGCCGCCCCCGTCAAGTGTCGACCCCCAGGGTCCTCGCGGGACGTGCCACCTCCAGACGGCACGCCGTCGCTCCCACGCCACACGGTGCCGCATTTCAGTTCAATATCTTTACTCGTATCTATGTATGTTGAACTTCTTTCGCGCTGTACATAGCTAACCGTACTTATCAGAGGTGCAGGGGTAGGACAGCAAACTCAACAAACAAAGCAGTTCTCAGGAAATTAGTTTTTAATCTGGATTTAAAAGTGCATAGCTCCAGTGGCTTCCTAATATCGGAAGGAGAGCCCTTCAGACGGTCGCAGAAAGCACATCTAAAAGCGTGAGATGCAGTGACCGTCTTTGTTTGATGATTATCCAAAAGCTGCTGCGATGATGACTAGAGTTTGCATGATGGTTTATGTTCTGTGACGAAATGAGCAAGGTACTGAGGTTCATTTGTGGCATGCACTTTGTGTGCAATGAGTCCGACCTTATAATGTATTAGTTCAGCATCCGGTAGCCAATGCAGTTCAACGAGTCCCGGACGGACACTGTCAGATTTTGCGGTACCCATTACGACATGTGCCAAATAATTTTGCACAAGTTGCAGCCTTCTAATGTTTTTGCCAGACATCCCATAGAGTCATGAGTTGCAATAATCGAGCCTTGTCGACACATTGCTACACTGCCACCGTGTTGGCATGCAGCATATCGTCCAGATGAATGAAATATTCCACATGGCGGTGACACTCGTTGGATGCGAAACTTAACTAGGTGCCAACATGTAAGTAGTTACATGCATGGTATTTTGCTATGTGCAGAAATGGAGGATTGTGGGTAACGGAATTGAAACAGCAAACTGACACTGGTTTGTTTCGCTATATAAAACGTGACAAGAAAAATATTTGAGTAGACGAATTATAGTCTAAGGCTTCCTACTAACACAACTGCTGCTAAAAACATCTTTCCAAAAAGCCCATGGGTTGATGGACACCATTTTTATTTCTATTTAAAACTTCATTTGATTCACATTTTTAATAAATTATATAACTAATTTAGGATTCAATCATCTACATGGAGGTTTTCGGCTACGTGAGAATGTTATTGGAAAAGGTCGGCCAGTGCGACGTTGAATTTTTTCCCCGTTTCTTATTTTGGTTCTCCACAAATTCCAGGAACAGGTGCACGACGAGAAGCAAGCGCAAGCATCTGAGAAAGGTCGGAGGTCGCTCGACTCGAGTTCAGACGGAGCCTCCAAGAGGCCCAAGGAGTCTCGCTTGCAGAAACACAACCGGGTAAGCAGCAGCAGCAGCTCCTCCTCGGCGAGCCGGAGTTCGCTCCCCCGCTTTGCCAGTATGCCACGGCACGGACTGCGGCTCTGTCGTGCCTCGGAAACACCGTGCCCCGCCTGGCTTGTTGATGCACCCTCGCCCAAATCTAGCTTTTATCGTCTACTTAATCTGCATATTCTCAACAACAGCTTACTTTCGGGAGCGTTAGATGTTGTGCGTTCACCTAACTCCTGCAGCCATGGAGGCGTTAAATAACATTTTCTTTCTTTTTTAAGAAACCACTTTTTAATAAAAGTATGACTTTGGATCGTGACTCATTGCAATGGGGGTGAATTGTTATACGCCTTGTGTGTCGCACTCATTGCACACAAAGTTCTTGCCACAAATGAACTACAATACTTTGCTGATATCATCATGGAGCATAAACCATCACGCGAACACTGGTCATCCTCGCAGCGGCTTTTGGTTTGCCATCAAACAAAGATGGTCACTGCATTGCGTGCTTTCAAATGCGCTTCTATGGCCGTTTGGAATGCTCTTCCGATATTGAAAACTAATTTCTTTAAAACTGTTGTCCTTCCACCACACCTGATTAGCACCGTTGTTTTCGTACAATGCGAAAGAAGTTCAACATACATGCATGAATGAGTGTACGTATAAGCTGGCGTCCCAACGAACACGGCAGTTGCGTTATTGCAACTTAGTCGCGGCAACGTCAGTTGCGCGGGAATCGTGTAGCATTCCCAAAAGAGTCTCTGCGGCCCCTCCCTCGCTCCTAGATGCTGCTTGAGGTCGTCTCTCGCGCCGTAAAAGATCACGGCATCGCGCTCGGGCACCCGTGCTACGACGCATGTAGCAAACGCCTCTTCCAGATCTCAAAGTTGTACCTCAAGGTGAGTGAGGGCTCCACTGGATGTCCACCGTCGTAGCCATTGGTGGCGAGAAGTTAATTACCTCGCCTGGTATACAGGAGGTCACGAGTTTGAACCCAACCCTGACACCTGAACATTTGGAGGTTGCATGTCTCTCTCTCCCCGTGGTCGCGTCGATTTTTCTTCAGGTCCTCTGGTTTTTCTCCCCACATTTAAAAATTAACATGCGTTTTAGAGTATTTGGCTGCTATACATTTTCACGTAATAAGCCACTTTGTTGAGCTGTCATTTGTGATACCCAGGCTGCTTCTAAAAAAGAGCTATATAGCTCAGTAGGCCTTACCTGATGAAATAAAAATTCTTTAGTTTAGTCACTGCGCCGTGAACCCAGTGGTACGAGTTCGATTCCCGATCATGGCTAATATCAGGTGCGATTATTTTATCTGACCCCGAGAAGGTTTACTTGGCCGTGACTGAGTACCTGCTGTGGTGTGTAAATGTCACTTCTGGCGAGACAAATTGATTTTGATGGAATATATAATTTCATGGCAAGCATCTACGGAAGATGTAGCACACCGCACTCTAAACCCAGCAACCCGAGTTCAATTCCTGGCCACGGCTAACAGCGGCCGGTGATGGATATATTTGCCCCTGTCACAAACCCACACTTCCTAGCGTTGTGAAGTATGGAAGATCTTCCAGCAGTGGCTCAACAAAGAGCTGTAAATTCTTATTCTTATGAAATATTTGAGAGTGAATATTTCTTGAGAAAGCGAACGAGCTTTTATGAAGGTTCGTTTTGCTCCCTTTCCTCCTGGGCAGGATCTGACCACGTCAAGAGGTCTACACGAAGAGATGATCAAGTCGGCCAAAAACAATGTCCAGCAGGTACGCATGTCCCTCATCCGCCTCCTCCTTGGGGCTCCGTAGGGAGGTGACATTGCATCGATTAATCATCAATTAAAATCGACTCTTCCGCTCGAATTATACTTTGTGAGAAAAGTTTTGAGTCGGCGTAGATTAACGTCTGCGACCCAAGGTAGGAAATTTGACCTTGAGAATTGGAGCAAAAGTCGAAACGTGCGCACAGAAGCGTGGAGAGATGCGCACTCGCACTGAGCAGTCCAAAATATGAGAGAACGAACACAAGGTAGATTCACTAAATGGTTGTAAAATCTTCTCATTCTTACGCACGATTCGATGCGTGTATTATGAACGGTGGCATCCATTTTCATAAACGAATAACATTTTTAGTTTATTAACGCTGCTGCTGGACTCAGTGGCATGAACTTTTTTACAGGCTAACTCAAGTTTAAAATTCGCGTCCAGTAAAGGCTCGTCTGTAAGATTGACCTAAGCTTTCGCTTCAAGAACTGCTGCAGAAATAAGTGGTTATGTGTGAGCTTGTTTGTGAGCATTATGTAATGAAATCCATCTTTCATAGTTGAGCACAATTGATCCACTGTGACTTTTACATCTTGCTTCATTGGCGGCGACCAATGGTCGATTGTGCACAGCAACGTAGAGAAGTTTACGCAGTGCCAGATTTTCACGCGGCATTCAAATACAATGTGTAGCGGCTAAATGCGACCATATGTCAAGACGCTGTGCAGAAGCAGAGGAGTTCTCAAGAGGTGGTCGGTCATGGGCAGAGGAGATAAAAAAAGGTCTTGAGCCAAGACTTGAAGAGGGACAGGCATTGGACAGTTGGAGGACCGAAGTTCCAGCCTTTGGAGGCAGCTGAGGAGAACAAGAAACGTCCCATAGAGCAAAAGGCTAACTGGGGATTCATCTTCTTGGTTCTTTCGGTAAAGTCACGTAGAAGGGAAATAATAAAATAATAAATTTTAAACATAATGAAATACAATTCTCATGACGTTTCGGCCACAACGCAAGCAGCCATCCTCAGGTGAAGAATAGGTTTGTCGGAAAGACAGCGTCTGAATGTCTTTCCGACAGACCTGTTCTTCACCTGAGGACGGCTGCTTGCGTTGTGGCCGAAACGTCGTGAGAATTGTATTTTATTATGTTAACATTTTATTATTTTATTATTTCCCTTCTACGTGACTTTATTGAAAGAACCAAGAAGATGAATCCCTGCAGTCACGAAAGCTTTAAATCGAAAGCTAACTGGGGACTTTGACACTAGATCCTTGCTTTGCGTTAGCGTACAGTGAATGGAAGGGATTAGAATAAAATGTATTTTAAAATAAATAAAATGTATTTTCTACCTACGTGACTTTACCGAAAGAACCAAAGAGTATGGATCCCTGTAGTCACGAAAACTTCAAATCTAGATTGAAGGGAGTAGAGTCAGATAAGAGGGGAGACGTGGGAGAGTGCACGGAGGGGAGTCGAGTGAGATGAGAGATGAGAGGGTGAGATCGGAGAGTGCATGGAAAGGAGGTAGAGTGAGATGAGAGATGAGAGGGGATATGTAGGAGAGTACTGTACATGCAAGGGAGTAGAGTGAGATGAGAGGGGAAAGGTAGGAGAGTGCATGCAAGGGAGTAGATTGAGATGAGAGGGGAGTGGTAGGAGAGTACATGGAGGGGAGGTAGAGTGAGATGAGAGGGGAGAGGTAGGAGAGTGCATGGAGGGGAGTAGAGTGAGATGAGAGGGTAGAGGTAGGAGAGTGCATGCAAGGGAGTAGATTGAGATGAGAGGGGAGTGGTAGGAGAGTACATGGAGGGGAGGTAGAGTGAGATGAGAGGGGAGAGGTAGGAGAGTGCGTGGAGGGGAGTAGAGTGAGATGAGAGGGGAGAGGTAGGAGAGTGCATGGAGGGGAGTAGAGTGAGATGAGAGGGGAGTGGTAGGAGAGTACATGGAGGGGAGGTAGAGTGATATGAGAGGGGAGAGGTAGGAGAGTGCGTGGAGGGGAGTAGAGTGAGATGAGAGGGGAGAGGTGGGAGAGTGCATTGAGGGGAGTAGAGAGATGAGAGGGGAGTGGTAGGAGAGTACATGGAGGGGAGTAGAGTGAGATGAGAGGGGAGAGGTGGGAGAGTGCATGGAGGGGAGTAGAGTGAGATGAGAGGGGAGTGGTAGGAGAGTACATGGAGGGGGGTGGTAGGAGAGTGCATGGAGGAGAGTGAGATAAGAAGGGAGAGGTAGGCTTGGACAAGTCCATGGATTATCTTGAAGATGGAGGGTGCGGTTTTGAAATAGGATGAACACATTTTTTGTTAAAACGTTGATGAAAACATCATGTTTAATGTGCAATGCACTTTTGGAAATGTTTCAAATGTTACGCTATTTTAAGCTACTCACAAATCACACTGCTGCTGGGACGTAGTGTTGAAGTGACTTGGGCGACAACGCCAAAGCGGTTTGGTAATTATTTATCTTGTCCCCCCCATCCTACTCTTCCCCCTCCCCCCCCCCCATTTGTCGTACACCTCCCCTGGCATCACAAAAAAAAGATGGTTATCTATCGGCTTAACTCATGCTAATCCCCTGCCCAACCGCCCGCGACGCCACACGGCCTGCTGCATGCTCCCCCCCCTAGTACCCTATATAAACACGCGTCTCTAAATAGCTCTCTTCATACGCTACAGTAATTTTGCTGGAGCAGTCACACCTGATGACGGATGCTTGTGTTGCTTCCCGAAACGTCGTGATTGAATTTAGTTGTTTTATTTATATTTTATTTAGTTTTCACCTACGTGACTTTACCGAAAAAACCAAAGAGTGTAATTATTTATCTGTTTCACAAACAGGTGGTGGAGTGGGTTCTGGAGAAAAATGCCAAAAAATGATGCGATTTTCGTCTGCTACTCTGAAAAAAACCCATCATCAAGCCATGATATAGCCACACCCGGATGAAGGCCTTCCCAAGCCATCAAAATGAAATCCTACCCTGCAACGTTTGACAGTCTACTTTTACAATTGACCCTGGAGGTGTTTCTGAAGCTTCTACGTCTCCTTGAGATGCTCCGTAGAATGTTCAGCGTGGTTTTACGCACTCTGTGTTTCTAAAAAGTTGGTCGCATCTGTGCTCGCGACCTTTATAGAATTAGCGCAGCACCCGTGCTGGTCTGTGGCATCCTCGTGATATTGTAAGTTTTACTTCTGTGGTAAGTTGTGAACCAGACACCCTCATCACAGACGGAGCGTGTCGCTTATTTTTACACGGCTAGTTCCACTGTTGTTTTAACTGGCATTGTGCTACACAACTTGGGCAAGCAGAAACGGCTTGAGATCCCATGTGTTAACATTGTTTCGGTGTGAGCTTTTAACTGAAATCTTTTTTTACATGTGTTTTTATTGTACTGCCGTTTTGCGGTATTGTTCAAAGAATGTTTATCCCGCACACTTTTGTTTCTTAAACGGACTGTGTTACCATATTTAAGCTTACCTTTTGGAAATAAAGCCGCTGAAATATAATATTGAACAAGCATTTGTCTAAAAAATAATAACTTGGAAAAATATTTTTCAAATTTGTATTTGATTAAATCTTGACTTAAAGCTTTTGTGACTGCAGGAATTAATATTCTTTGGGTCTTTCAGTCACGTAGATAGGTACAAATTAATCAAATATATATATATAAAATAAACAATAAACTACGACATTTCGATCACAACACAAGCGATCGTCATTAGGAGGATGATGATCGTCAGGAGGATGACAATCGCTTGTGTTGTGATCGAAACGTTGTAGATTTTGGTTTATTTTAAATTTTTTATTAATTTGTACCTATCTACGTGACTTTACCGAAAGACCCAAAGAATATGTATTTGATTAACTTAATTTGTAGTCGATTACGTGGGCCCCTTGAAAAATTCTTCCTTCAGAAGGCAGGAAAGCCCCGACAAGTTGCTCCAAGCATGATGGGGCTGATATTGCCGATGACATTGCCGACACGTGGAAACGGTGACACTTTCCCCCTCCCTCCAAACTACATTCGTGATTCGAATAGTCGAGCAATTGAACGGATTAATCGATCAACGAAGCAAATTAGATCATAATCAAACAGCCGTTGGGATAACACAAACGGGCTCTTGATTTAGAAAAAAATAGCAGGTGTTGCCATCAAAGCATCGTTCAAAGTGACAGCCCCCAATACTGTGATTGTGGCTGCTCCGCATTCAAGAACCACCAATGTCATTGCTCACACCGTGCAGCCGAAACATATATTTTTGAAATCGTTAGCCATAATCGTATCCACTGCTGGATGACGACCCTCCCAGGCTGTCGCCACTCCCTCAGTCTCGTGGAGGAACAGTCCGTCTCGTTCCTGCGCACCGAGCTGATTTCATTGCTCCATCGCCACTTCGGGTGTCTCCTAGGGCATGTTTGCTCCGGCCAGCATCCCCGCTCCGGCCAGCATCCCCACTCCTTTTGTGCTGCAACTTGCCCTAGCCCGCTCACTTTGACGAACAGACAATTCGCGCACGTCATTGACAATGAAAATGGAACGGAAGTGGAGCCGTGTACGAAGAAATGTGTCGAGGTGCATGCTTGGAGACAATGGGCAGGAACGTTTATAAGTATGTATCGGTATTTATTGTTTATTTTTTTCCCTTACACATTGCAGCACAGGTTAAGGCACTTTTAACACAAGCAGCGTATAATTATGGATGTACACGTTTGGCAATAATTTGTAACAACACATTTCAAGTTATGAGTTGCAATTTTATGTCAGGCCTGTGGTATTTCATCAGTCACTTTCATGATTCTTAGCTAAATGTAATATTGCTGACGAATTGACAGCATGGTTAAGCCTCGAATGTATTTACCCGGACGGTGTTGTCAATTTGAAAAACAAATCGGATTGAATTCGTGTTTTTAGATGGTGTCAAACAAAGTTCGAGTCGCTTCCCGAGCAAATGCGTGCGATGTGGCATCGTCGTGTGTGACCACACCTCGGATCCGACACATTGCGAGTGCGCTGCATCAGTGCTCCACGTAAGATCGTGCCATTTTCTTCTTTCGTATGGCAGGAGGGAAAGGCAAGAGTTTTGAAATGTCTTTAAGGTTGAATGCTAATACGTTCTTTTAACCAATCCAGTGCCCAATAAAAAGTCGTGAATACACGTTCTGCCCCCTATTATCTTTGGCAAAAGTCACTTAATTATCCGTGCCACGCGAGACATGAAAGTATAATTTTCATACAATAGGTATTTGTAAGTAATGTGTAGGCAACGTGACTCACTGCCTCAAATATAATCGTAATTAACAATTTACTATGAACATGCATTTACATCACAGACCGTTTCAGTATTTTGTTACATTTTCCTTTTTAGTTATTAATCTTGCTATCAAAATTACTTCATTCACTTGCTTACTTTAACGACGTTACGAATTTGTGCAAGACGTTGCGGCAGCGGTAGCAGCGTTGGAAGGGCTTCGCCAACAAGGAATTTACTGGCAGCCATGACGGAAAAGTTGGTTCGAGCCTGCGTTTCTCCACCGCTGCCAATGCTGTCCCTGACATTTCATCTTGAGGAAGAGGCCTTGCAATTGTGTCCCCAATGATCAAATCGCCAAGGTCTCTAGTTCAGGCAACCCATTTCTTAGCTGGCACGTTTTGGCCAGGGCTTACTTTTAGCCGGGTCTGTCCGGGTCAGTGACCTTAAAAATATTTCCACGTACAGTGTGCCTTCTCGCCTATGGCTGCGGCTGCTAGTCGCATGCTAGTCACGTGCCTACTCCAGTCTCCCAAATGGCCTAGAAAATATCCATGGAGAAATGAAGCCACCATCCCGATGACTCTCACCCATATCGCAGACAGGACCTCTTTAGACTTGGGCACCACGGTGGTGAGATGTTAACTACCTCGCCTGGTAAACAGGAGGTTGCGGATTTGATCCCGGCCCCTGACGAAAACAAATTTGTAGTTTGCATGTACTCCCCGCCGGTCACATGGATTTTTCTCTGGGTCCTCAGGTTTTTTCCTCCACATTTAGAATCCTGCGTTTAGAGTATTTGGCTGCTATACATTTCCACATGATAATAAACCACTTCGTTAAGCTATCATTTGTGGCCAAGTCGATTCTATAGTTCAGTGGGCCTTACCTGGTAAAATAAAAATAAGTTTTTTATTTAGTTTCACTTAAATTGGGGACAGTTTTAGGTAGTTGGACACTGCATGGACCACTGCAATTCACTTTTGTAATACTTGCACTTGAGCAAATAAATAAGATTGTAGTTAATTTGGCACAGGCTAGGGAATACAATGAAATATATTATAATCGTTTTTAAATACATACTTTAGATATCTAAGGAGTAAAGTTAAACTTTTTATTTATTACTAAGTTCACTGCAACCTACATTTCAGCTTAAGCTGAATTCATGCAGCTTCGGCAAATAAAAGTGAAAGAAAATACGAATAATTATTCGTAACATTTTCTCATGTAACGGATTATTATTTTATTTTCCAAAAAAATGCACTGTAAAAATTGATAACCGAGTGGATTTCTTGTCAAGTTCATGCCATTAAAAAGGAAAATATTTGCAGCAGCAGCAACAAAAATTATAACATTGTCTTTTTTAATGATGTCGTAATGTGGAAGGTTTTAACACATTTGCATAGCCCTTTTAAAAGTAAAACAATTAACAGTCATCCATCGCAAACTCTAAATTCTATACTTGCGTACCTTGTACCTCTACGCTACCGTCTCTTGCATAGGTCTGTAATTACACGTCGTTTTCTCTTTTTTACACAGTTTATTCACTGTGCACAACTGTGAGCATGGCATCGATGGAAGTTTGTCGTCAACAATTGCGGTCCTCGTTGCTGCTATGAATGCAGGCACACTACTGGAGCAGGCACACAACCATCATTGGATCACACAAAGGTTGAACCGACTTGACTAATTTGTTTTAATTTACAACGCTTCCACGTTAACACTCGGGCACCCTTCCTCCACCCCCCCAAAACCGTGTACAATGCCGGCGTTTGCGTTGACCCGTCTGGCGTACAGCGCTAAACACGAGGTCGGATTTACAGCCGCACCCCCCCCCCTTCTCTTTGTGCTCCTCGCAATGCATTGTGGGTGTTCCCAAGGAAGCCCAACGCCCCTGGAAAAGACTTCACCGTAACGAGGGCGCCGATTCGCTCAAAATTGACACAAAGCGAGCAACTTCGTCGTCGGCCGGCTTGGCGCTCGCTCACACGCGCGCGCCGTTCTCCCGGTGACCTCGCGCTCATCCCGAAAGTTCGTCGTTATCCCTGCGCGCTTCTCGAGTGCGTGCGAGGTGACGTCGCGTGCGGCTTCACGCGAACAGGCCGAGCCGCGTCACCTTGGCGGAGAGGAACGAGTGGAGGATGAACACCACGGGCTTGGGGCACGAGCGCAGGTCCAGCTGCTGCAGTCGGGGGACAAGCGCACGGAAACGGCGCGGTCAGCGACACGGACACGCTGCTGCCGCTAAGCGCCCTGCGGGCTTACTCTTTGGTTCTTTCGGTAAAGTCACGTTTATACGTGACTTTATAATAAATAAATAATAAATTTAATAATAGCTACTATTTTATTTATTATTATTTTATCTTTATACGTGACTTTACCGAAAGAACCAAAGAGTAATTCCTGCAGTCACGAAAGCTCTAAAATTAAGACCCTGCGGGCTATTAGACGCTTCGAATCGTCAATTGAATACTCTCTCTTTGTTAAGCCACTGCTGTACGAGGGCCTCCTCATGCAGTGTTGGTCAGGGGGTTGTTTGACCATACTTCACCATGCTGGTCAGTGCGAGCTGGTGAATGGGGGGGGAGTGGTGCCTAGGACCTGTTCAGATATAACTCGCCACTGATCTTGGCCATGACCGGGAATCGAACTGAGCCCGTCACATTCATAGCGTCCGTGCACTGATTATTGCCTCACTCCCATCGATTGAATATCCATTATAAAGCTTACTGCGCAAGCAGCAGGGGGGTGGGGGGTTGTCGGGAGTCGGGGGCTCACTCACCAGCTCGCCCTCGGGGCCACCGAAGTCAAGGAAGAGGGCGTGGTCCCCATCGTCGGACGACATGCGCAGGCGCTCGAACGGGTAGCGCAGGATGGGCGTCGGCGCCGCCGCCCCCCCCACTGAGCCTCCCCCGCCGTCGCGGCTCAGGCAGAAGCCCTCCTCAAAGTGGATGCTCAGCGTGCAGTCGGCGTCGCGCAGCTTGCACGCTGAGGGACCAGGGGCGGACACGCGAATCGCTTTTGATCGGCTCTCGCACGAACGATTGGGATGCGCTCATTGCGAGTGTAGGAGTGTTTTTTTTTTAGGATGGACGACGTTGATTCGTCGTCTATGCGCGTACCCACGGACACCTCCTTGATGAGCTCGGCGGCAGTGTGGCAGCCCTGCACGATGAGCCGCGTCCACGCCGCCAACTCGCGGTTCGTCTCGGCGCGGAAGACGCGCGTCTCCACGCCGTGCCGCGAGCCCGTGCGAGTCGCAAACGTCAGCTCCGTGTGGGGCGGCGGGGGAGAGCCATGCAGTGCCCCTGAGTGCACCAGCCTGCAGGCGGTGGCCGCGTTGGGGGGGAGGGGGGGGGGGGCGGGTTAGAACGGTGGTGCTACGGGCGCTGACACGTGCGCTGACACGTGCGCTGACGCGTGCGCGCATGCGACGGATGTATGTCCGTGGATAAGCAAGCCTTGCGCAAATACGTCTATCCTTGAAAGATCCAACACCTAAGATCTCCGAGGTATAATCCCCCACGAAGCTGCTGTTCCACCCTACAACCGCATCCATGGCACATACCATGGCAGTATATTGCGGATGGATAGTTAAACAAAATAAAACTAATATAAAGTTCGTAATGGAAAGGAGCCAAACATAACTATCGGTATGTTTTGTGCTAAATTCTCCATTGCGATGAAACCGCGGATTTGCATGTAAATGTGGCCACGTGGCTGCGGAGTGAAAACCCAGACCGTAGTAGCAGCGTCCCATATACTGCACGCGTCTCATGCCGCAAGTGTGCCGTTCCCACATGTTCTGTATTCCTAATATCACGTCCCAAAGTTTCTTGTGTCGTTCCATGTGCCAGGTTTCAGAATCAGAATATTTATACTGGAGAAATCCTATGAGCTATAAAGCTCTTTTTTCACATGTCCAGTAGGGGTGGGTGAAAACGTTACAACAACAAACAATACAAAAACACGATAGGAGTGCATTGAGACCTCCTTTACCAGTGGCAAAATATAGTCATGGGTTTTTACCCTTTCAACTGGTACAAAAACTGACACCTTTATACAAGGCATCATGTTTGCAATAACCACAACACAAGCAGTCAAAATGCAAACAAAAAGAAACAACTTTGATGATAATGATATGCACTGTCCTTGAAGTTGATTGGTCCACACCCGAGACAGCTTTTCCACACCCGAGACAGCTTTTGGCGTCATCTGGTCCAACACCAATGGAGACTAAGAAAAGCTGTCTCGGGTGTGGACCAATCAACTTCAAGGACAGTGCATACCTTTCCTAAACTTTGCACTCCCATGGTGTTTTCGTATCGGTTGTTGTTGTCACGTTCTGACCCCGTGCCCCCTACTGGACATCTGTGACAAAGAGCTTCACAGCTCATCAGATTCCTCCTCCAGTACAAATAAATATTCCGATTCTGTCTCCGTCAAGTGTCAATCTCAGTTTTCCGTGTGCCCCGTCCTTACGCGTGCTACGCGTTGTGCGTGCCGAATTTCATATTCTCACGTGAACGAGGTGGGGGGGGGGGGGGGGTGCATGTCCCCCCCCAACCCACCCCCCTCCCACCACCATGTCTGCGTGGCCGCACCGCGTGGCGAGCAGCGGGTGGCTGACGAGGGGCGCCGCCCACGCCTCGCGCGTCCACGGCATCGTCTGGTGCAGCGCCAGGTCTCTGTCGGTGAGCACCATGAGCACGGCCTTCCACTGCGAGTGGCCCTCTGCCGTCACCTGAGATGGGGGGGGTAACACGGGATGCGTCGTGAGTGACGTTAGTTTCGTTTGGGGGGGGGGGGGGGGTTTATTGCAACAAAAGTGCGAGCCCCCCGGTACAACGCCCCGGGTAACCAGCAGACGTGTGTGTGGGGGGGGGAGGGGGTGGTGGAGAATCTGAGAAGATTCGACGGGGCAGAGGGTATTGGACTCGCTGCCCCAGTCAAGTGGGGAGCCTGCGTCGGGGGGGGGGGGGTGGGGGTGAAGCTTTATATGGGGGGGGGGTGGGTTGGGAAAGAGGTGGGGGGGGGGCAGAAATAACCAACAGACTTAGGGGAGACACCAAGGATAGGGGGGGAGGGATAGGGGGGGATGGAGGGGGGGGTAAAAGGGTTAGAAGGGTTGAGGGGTACTTTTTTTCACGTTCATCACCATCACCGGCGTGGTGAAGTATGGTTAAACAACGACCATCTAGGGGGCCGATGGTTGTAAATTATTTCCACAGTATTTTATTTGTTCATTGTTATCCTTCGGTTGGTGATATTTTTTTGTATTATTGTTACGCGATCATCGGGAAGAATTGGGCTCGATTCCTCACTCCGGCGCCTCTCCGCGCGCGTGCAGTCGGTGCACCACCCCGTTCTGCATCGGTTTCCTCCGGCCCAACCGGTTACTTCCCATCGCTATAAACGTTACGACGTCATTAACGTTGGCCAAACATCCAAACAATGCAGAAAGGACCCTCTCCATGAAGAGTATTCGGTTTCGGTGTGGCTTTTCCGTGTAAATACGCTTTTTAAATATCGCGTGGCCTGCCAAATACAACACAAGGCACTGCCCACCCCCCGGACCTCACGCACCTGCTGCGCCAGCCAGCCCATGTGCTGCACCGGTCCCCAGTTGCCGCCGCCGCCGCCACCGCCGGCGGCCTGCAGCAGCTGGTTGGCCTCTCGCACCGCGGCCTGCGTCAGGGCGGCCGCGTTGGCGTGCAGCGAGCCGAACCACGCGTGGGCGCCGGCAGAGTCGCGGCAGCGCAGCACGATGGTGTGAGCGCTGTCTGGCGAGTGCAGCTCGATCAGCCTGCTCGCGGGGGGTGGGAACGAGACGTGACCGAATGTACACACATATGTTGAACTTATTTCGCACTGTACGTAGACAACCGGGTTAATCGGAGGTGTGGGGGAAGGACATCAAACTAAACACAAAAAACAGTTCTAAAGAAATGCGCTTTCAATCTACATGATGATTTAAATATGCATAGCTCCAGTGGCTTCCTAATGTCGGAAGGAAGAGCCTTCCAGACGGCCGCAAAAGCACATCTGAAAGCGCGCGATGCAGTGACCGTTTTTGTCAGATGTCTGAGCCAAAAGCCGCTGCTGCGAGGATGACCGGAGTTCGCGTGATGATGGTTTATGCTCCTTGACGAGATCAGCGAGGAATTGCGGTTCATTGGTGGCGAGCGCTTTGTGCGTAACGAGTGCGACCTTCTAATGTATTAATTCAGCAACCGGAAGGCAATGGCTTCCGGCTGCTGAATGAACGGGACACAGTCAGGTTACTGGTTAAGAATGGTCAAAAATATAGAACAAGGTCATCGTTTCTATTTTACTGCAGTGTCATTCTTGCTAAGCACATCTCAGAGGCGTTGCAGAGTTTGCAACGCGTGCGTCTCTGTTTGCACGGCGACGCGGAAACCACAGGCGAGCGGGAAGGTGGCCAGAACCGGCGCCAACGACTGCCCAAGCTCTTTGAACTTATATTGGGATGGTTTCACACGTAGGCTTTCGCGACCATTATCATCCATAATGCCATTTTTTTTGGGTTAGATCACGAAAATACAGTAGAACCTCGGAGATCGAACGCACCAGAACTCGAACAAATCGCTGTTCGAACGATATTTCCGAACATTTTTTGCCCCGGAAACCGAACGAAATTCGGAGGTCGAACGGGCAATCTTGAAAGAACCTGCACGGCTGAGACGCGTATGCCCAGCATGCATGACGCTTGCTCACACAAAGGTGACTCCCCTTCCAAACAATAACACCGCCACCACCTCCTCCTACTCACCATCTTCCACTCAAGCCAACAACTCTCCTTACTACAGGTAAAGTTCAATGTTAATTTATTTTATTTATTCCATATATTTATTCCATTAATTTATTGTGTTTCTTGTTTTGTTGTATGATTTTATGCATGTAATTACTGTAAACTTCGTGTAAAAATGCTTTATAATGAGAGATTTCTTGTGTCTGGAACCAATTAATGTAATTTACATTCATTCTTATGGGGAAAATTTATTCGGTGTTCGAATGTCCTTCTGAAACGAATTAAGTTCGATCTCCGGGGTACCACTGTATATAAATGTGTCGTTAAACCCGCCAGGAGGCCTTCTCCACAAATCTGGCTGTTGCCTGATGAAGCTAGTTGTAATTACTGGTGAAACATCGTACTCAGATTGTAAATGTTGTGGCTTGGGTCTCCAACACACCGGTGTGCTGTACTCGTAACGAATTGGCCACGTTCTGTTTACGTGACAAACCTTACTAGTTGGCTGTGTCGGGTGGTGGCGGGTTTAACGACAAATGTATATATTTACGCGATCTAACCCAAAAAAAAACCTGTATTATGAACGATATTGGGATGTCTGGCCAACTCCACTTTTGAGTGTTTATACGAGTGCGGGGACACTGCAGTGGGATGGAGCGGTGGGGCACAGGGGTTAACCGTCACGTGCTCAGATGCGGGCCTTAACAAGGCCTCAATCCGAGCGATCACCAAATCAACCCGATGAAGCTTGGAGAGCTGAATGGAGTTGAAAGGAACTCGCAAACAAACACCTTGCTGTTAAAGACGCAACGCAAGCAGATCCCTCATGGTCCATGAAAGGTCATGGACCATGAGCTTTCACGAAGCTTTCACGAAGCTCATGGTCCACCCGAAACCGCATCCGCTGGAAAATTAAAAACTCCAGTGTGCGACTGTGGTCATCCAGGACAGACCATACAACGTCTAACAATGCCCGATCCACAAATAGGAAGGAGAGATGACAGCGATACGCTCTGCTGCTCCTGACGCGGTTATCTGGCTGAACATGAAAACGTCGTCATTGCTCTGCATCTGCGTCGGTAAGCCGTACGAGGGAAGAAGAAGAAGAACCAATGAACCCGTGTCGCCGAACCGCACAGGCTCATCCTGTCCCCCGAGCCCCACTGATCCGCCCCCGACCCACCTGTTCTCGGGGTCCGGCTTGCTGAGGTTGCGCGTGACGAAGCACATCTTGAGCGGGATCCGCTTCTTGTCCTTGGCGGCGTCGTGGACCCCCGCGTCCGGCGAGCCGCCCGCCGCGTTGCCGGCCGCTGCCGCCACCGCGAGGCTGGGCTTGGGCGTGAGCGGAGGCGCCACCTCCCAGCCCAGCTCTCCGATGGGAGAGCCCTTCTTGAAGTAGGGCGTCACCTCGCGCAGGTACTTGACTGGCGCGTGCGCGGGGAGGAAGGGAGGGAGAGAGTAGGTCAAGGTCAATAGGTCGTCACGGATGATGTCGGTGATGCCGCAATTGCACAAAATTATCTGCCGCGTCTCGTGACGGGCACTGCAAGATCCGACCAAATCTGTCCAGTGCTCGCTGAGCTGCATTGGCTTCCGGTTGCCGATCAGATACGTTGTAAGTTCGCACTTATTACACACAAAGTGCTTTCCACAAGTGAACCACAATGACCTTACTGGTCTCGTCAAGGAGCATAAACCTTCGCGTGAACTCCGCTCATCCTCGCAGCAGCGACTTTTGGCTACGCCATCGAACAAAGACGGTCATCGCCTCGGGCGCTTTCAGATGCGCTTCTGCGGCCGTCTGGAATGCTCTTCCTTCCGATATTCGGAACCTACTGGAGCTCTGCACTTTTAAATCATCATCTTGATTAAAAACTAATTTCTTTAAAACTGCTTTTTGTTGTTTAGTTTGTTGTCCTTCCCCCCCCCCCCCCCCCCCCCCCGCATATCCGATTAACACGGTTGGCTACGTACGGTGTGAAATAAGTTCAACATACATACGTACACCGACAAACCTGTATACCTTCTGCTAGCGCCCTCAGAGGTCACGTGGTCAACGTGTCCTCCTTGGAGGCTTGTTATTAGTCTCAACATCATCACCACCATCTGGGTGTAGGTCTTCCCCTTTGATCACTGACCTCTGGATGCTCACAACACAAGAATAATAAGTGCGTCAAGGCATTTCCTCAGGAGGCACCTTCATTTGGATGTTTTGGTCAAATTTCTGTTGGAACTAAGTCAGGAGGTTGGCAACCAACATAACGGGAGAAGAGCCATTCTTTTCGAATTCGGTCCAAAAAAAAACTCGACAGTATTTCAAGAGCTGCGGTGGACGTCCTGAATACGAGACGGTGGGTCCTTAATAAGGCAACCCGTGGCCTCGGAGTCGTGGGTTGCCGACCCCCCCGGTCTGGTGACGCGATGCTTGCGACCGCCTGCCATTGGCGACCGGCTGCCATTGGCCGCCAATGCATTTTACGGCGGCCGTCCAGTCCTTGAGGAAGACTGCACAGGGCTCAGCGCATTTGCGGCAGCGGAGATGTTGAGAAACGAGGCGGCTTCGTCTGCTTCTGTTCGTGCTCAGAATATTTTTTCAAGCGAATATTAATAATTATAATTAACTTATTTATATAGGAAAGCCACACTGAGTCATCGGAATCTTTTTAAGCTGTGTCCCCTGCATTGGGTTTTTATTTTAAGAGATTTTCAGCCAATCGGTGCCTCTGTGAAACACGTGGGAGGAAATCGGATCAACTCGGAGAAAACCTACGCGTTGCGCAAGGGTGCAATGCTCTATCCCCGTACAGATGGCGATGAGTCCACTTTCTCCGTTGCCTACACCTGGCGAGCCAAGCAGGGTTACGGCACCTAGACGCCCACGGGGAAGGGAGTTTCACAACATCTGCGTGTGATCCACTGACCCTCGCTGCCGACTCCACAGCGCTGGGTCACAGGCAGCCGCGAGCAGCAGGGGAGCTACTGCCGCAAGGCCACGCCTAAAACGATTCTCCCAACTCCTGGTCTATTTATGACTCTCGACCAACACTGGCTGGAATAGTGGCGCAGTGGTTAGCGCACGGCACCGTACGTAGCCAGACGTGCTGATTGGACGTGTGGGGGGGGGGGACAACAAAATGAACACAAAAAGCAGCTCTTAGGAAATTACTTTAAAAGTGCACATCTCCCAGTGGCTTCCTAATGTCAGAAGGAAGAGCGTTCCAGACGGCCGCAGAAGCGCATCCGAAAGCGCCGCGCGATGCAGTGACCACCGTGTTTGTTCGATGGCTGGCAGCCAAAAGCCGCTCCTGCTGCGAGGATGACGACCGGAGTTTGTGTGATAGACCAGCTGCTTGAGTTCAATTCCTAGCCAAGGCCAACATCAGTGGCGAGTGATGTGCGAACTGGTTCCTGGGGGGGGGGGGGGGGGGGCATACCCTGCCCCCCATCCGCTTCATCACCCAGGACTAACTATGAAGTATGGTCAAACAACCCCTCTCCTCATAATCAAACGCTGCACGGGGGGGGGACGCCTTCATCTGGCATTATATAATGATAAAAGGGCTGCAAGTAACTGTACACTGGATGAATGTGACGCCCGCGTTAGTTTGGACACCTCGCTTGAATCGGCTGCCGCACGGATTGGATTGCATCCCCTGCCCCCCCCCCACCCCCCCGTGCGACGATTCCGATGAACCGGACCAAAACCGAGCGACGCACTCGGGGTTTTCGCACAACAATCCTCGTCGGCACGCCAAGTAACACGAGACCAGACTTCTTTTTTTTAATGGTCACATCCCGCCCCCCTCCCCGCCGCCCAACCACGCTGCCCCCCCCCCCCTTACCTCCAGTGAGACCACTCGCGGTGCCCAAAGAACCCAACACCCGCGGGGGATATTTTAAGTAAACGGGCACCGCTCGGCTCGCCTATTTTGGGTCCGCGGCGAGCGGCTCACGGGGACAGATAACGACGCCCCAGGCGAGGCGCTGGCAGAGACGTTGGCAGCGGCGTCACCCCACAGACCTTGAAGCACCTCTTCCACATGCCCTCCCACCCTCCCACCTCCACCTCTACCACCCTGCCTGCACAATTCCCATCGTCAATTCCGCGCGGGTCTTGTTGAGTTTTCCCGCGTCTGGGCTGGAGCGGTGGGGTCTAGCGGTCAGCGCACTTCGCCACAAACCCGGCCCAACCGAGTTCAATCCTTGACCACGGCTCACATCAGCTATGCCACCCCTCTGTGTACCGTCCCGGCCTTCGTAGTTGCTCGCTTATCAGTCCGTGTTGCCTCCTGGGGGGATTTTCGTGTGCGAGTGCGAGCACCTATGAAAGAATGGCACGGCACACGAGGGGGGGGGCATCATCCTCAACCGTAATCCACTGCTGGATGAAGGCCTCCCCACGTTGTCGCTGTCCCTCCCAGGATGCAACAATCCGTCGAGCGCCTGCGCACGAGCTAATCTCATCGCTCCGTCTCCGCGGCGTGCGACCTGCACCGGGCGCATTCCCTCCTTTGGCTGCCACTCCATCCTTAGTCTCGCCCCACCCAAACCGCCCACCCACCACTACGAGCGACACATCCTGCCCAAGGCCCCCCCCTCCTCCCACCCGCTAACCGCTCTGATCGGTCAATACGGACATCTCAAATTTTGCGTGCGTTTCTTGAATCTGCGCGCGCGTGCGCGCTGACCCACGCCTGCAAGTGCGTCGAACGTTCTTCTCGCCGCCACCGCACATAGCGAAGCGTGCGAAAGTCGTTGCTTGACGCTACCGTGATCTCAACACGGGGGGGGATGGGGGGTTTGCTCGCTAAACAGCGTCCACGGGGGGAGGACGACGAGGCGGTGAGCAGAGAGCGCTGCGAAGCCGCCGTTGCGCGCACGCAGACGCCAGCAAACCCTCCCGCTCCCGTCCTGGGGCCCGCACGGCCACTCGTGGCAGGGAAATTCCTCCGAAAAATTCCTGGGAGCCGCCCACTGGCCGCCCCAACCCCCCACACCCGGCCCCTTTCGCCGGCTCCTTTAAGTAGAAGAAGAACGGGGAAAGAAAAAAGAAATACAATTTAAATAAATAAAACGTGGCACAGCTGCGGTTTTGGCTCCGTGTTTGAAGTTGAGAGCAGTTTTCTCGTATGGAGTGGGGGGGGGGGAAATGTTACAAAGCTCAGCGCCCTAAACCAGAATATGGACACGTATACAGCGATGCGATTGATGTTGTGTATTTAAACCAGGTGGGAGCCCGATGAGATCACACGTGTGTCTTTATTTTTTTTAGGGAGACCTCGCGGGTCCAGGAATTCATCTCCCACAGGCACTCTACGGCAAGTGGCAGAGATTCAACATTTTTATGGTGAGGATCCATCTCCCCTTCGAATGCCCCCCCCCAAAAGAAAATCTGCCCACCCCCCACTCCACAAAATTTTCTCACAGTGATGCGGTCCCATCAGGTGGACTTCACTTTATTAATTCCAGATGCTGGTAGTTTCATTGGGCAGACTTTAATATTAAAGTAGCGTCGGTGGTTCAAATTTTGCTAAACGGTTCGTTAGTCCACCGTGCGGAGCGCGTGGCAAGGGTAATTGACAAGAGCGCGAGCGAACATAACGCATCACCACTCTGCGTCTTTTCATCGAACGGATAACTGCCGGGATCCGTTGGCTCGGAGCGTGCGCCCAACTTCCAGGGCGCGGCAACGCCCCCCGGCTCGGGGAAAACTTTGACCCCACCGATGGCCTAAATTCCAGCAGAGGCCAACGCACCCCTCTCTCGTCAAGGCAATGGAGCGTCCGTGGCCAAAACCTTTCCCTTGGAAGGGAAGGGGGCTGCAGCCGGCTCACCAGCTCGTACACACGCACTCACACACTCACACGCTCGCACACGTGTGCACACACACACGTGCGCACACACACCATCGCACTCACACACATGCGCACTCTCACACGCGCACTCACACACGCACGCATGCCAGCTTGGGCGTTAGCGTGGCGCCCAGTGGCGCGGGAATATTCACGGCGCGGTGTAACGCCACCGCCAATGCCGCGTAGTGCGACGGGGACAGCCGCTGCCGGGTATTTTCAGTTACCAGATCGATGATGCCCCCCCCCCCCCTGCTCCTTTCGTTTCCTGTATCCGGTGACTCGAGGCCTCGCTCGAAAAGGCGAGGGGTGAGGTGGTGGTGGTCGAGTGGCTTGGGGGGGGGGGGAGTAACGTGTCGCAGCTACCACTGAGAACCTGGGTGCTAATCCAGGTTTCGACCGTGGGCAGTAAGACTTGCGGAGTGCTGCGAGTTCGCGGTCGGCAGTGGCTGGGCAAACAATAAAAATCGTTAACTTTTGGGGGGGGGGTCTGCATAAAATAACTTTTACGATCCTCGAATATGCGTGGATCCGAAACGCGGGCATGGACAAAACCTGCAATGACCAGCGTG